AGAAAGATTAGTGATGTCATTTGATTGTGATGTCATGGATTTCATTTAAGGATTGATTATGTATATCTTTCAGTTCATTGAGGTATGCATCGAAAAAACGGATTCTTACAAAAGTTTGCACATCGGTTTAGGAATACATACGGGGTAGGAATACATACGGGGTAGGAATACATACGGGGTAGGAATACATACGGGGTAGGAATACATACTTTGGCCTACAAAGTCAGTAGCCAATGAATGGAGTGTAAGATCAAAACAATGTTCATAGGACCTGTCAATCAAGACAAGAGGCGAGAAGCAGTGTAACCGATTGTCACTGGCCCAAACAAATCTGTCCAGGAGAAGGCGGCTGTTTCTAAAGACATGGTCAGTTACTGCCTGATTCAAGTATTAGTTCCCTGAGAACGGGAAGACACAGTTGTAAACATGCTTGTTAGAAATAAAACCCGAAGATATGAAAGTTGTGGGATTGACGAGAGCAGGGGAAAAAACGGCAAGCGAGCCTGCACGTTTGCTGTTTCATTCCTTCTCAGGCTTGGGTCTCAAAGGGTTGTTTGGACAATGAATATGCATGGATTTCGCTAAAGGTCCTGTGCATGATGATACACGTGAGCAGAAAGGGAATTCCCTCGACTGTATTATTGGGATTCCCCGACATTCCGTAGTAATAAAAGTCGTCCACTTAAGTGGGCGTGTCTTAATTTTTTACATTCGTTGGGAAATGAATGCAATAACACGTGACCAATTCAGCTAATCAGCATGCAGGAATTTCAATAAGAACAAGGAAAATTCAATTATTGCAGCATATCTCCTTGGAGATGTGGCTTGGTCTTACCCAGGGATATCTCCTGAAGAAGCTAGTTTTGGATGATAAAATAGTACAGTTGTGAGGAAAAGTATATCTTCAGGGAGGGTAGTGTTGTAGTGTTGTGTGTTGTAGTGTTGTTGTAGTGTTGTGTTGGTGAACTATTTGTAGTTCTTGTGAAGCAGTGTTTTTAAAACTGTGAAGGAACATCACAGTAATCAGTAGTTGTGGAGCATCATGCCCAAGTAGAGATTATCTTGGAATAAACGTGTCTCAGACATAAAGATATTAAAAAAATATAGGGACAGATGGGAAGATTGGCAATTTAAAACCATAATTTTTTCAAATCTCATTTCAGATTTATGTGCTGTCATTCAGTCATTCATTTTCATTACAATTTTTTTTAGACGAAAAGTAAGGATTCTTAGAACTTCATTTTTGAATCCTTGAAAATCAATATTGCAATGGACTGATTACCAAGAGGATTAAATTTAGTTTGAAGCCAACATATTAAGAAATGGTGAAAAGAGAGGTACCGGGTAGTTGCTGGATAGGTATTTGCAGACATTATAATGAAATATTTTCCTTGATATTTCCTGTTTATTTTGTTAACACAGAACATATTTTCATCTATTTTTTTTTCTTTTTAAGCTTTAAGCATGTGTATCAGGTTAAAGAAGCTCTTTGACTGTTTGCAAAACATTTCCAGACCTTAAATATTTGTGAGGTTGATCAAAATGTACACATGTTCCACTGACCCGATGGAACTATGCAGCCAATATTTCTGTGGCAGTACAGCCCCGCTTGTCTGTCTGGAGACTATACGACTGTTTTCCCATCTCCTAGCGTACGCTCCCTCGGTACAAACCTGATCCCAAACCATTAGGTGATTACGGCAGTCTTCTGAGCCACTGCAGATGATCATCAGATGCTGCTTAGATGCATACATTAGCTTAAGGCAATAACCAGGGTATTTATTTTTCATAATGGATTGTATCATGCTATTTACTCTATGCTACAGTCTGACAGATGAAGTCCTGTGGGATATCTGGCCAGATTTAACCTCTTATTCCATTAGTCGTGGGCCAAGGGAGGGACGCATTTGGAACAGGAAAATAACAAGTCGAAACAGAATAAATATGTGTGGTTCTGTAGGTCACAAACATTTTACTGTCATCCTCAGTACAGGACTCTCAATAAAGTACTTGTATCAAAGTATGTATTAATAATTAGTTTCATTTTACAGAGTTCTTTTGAAACAGAGACATCACTTCTTAAAACCTTGAATACCATAATACCATACAAAATTTGTTCCCTAGTATCCCAAATAGCATCTTGATAAGGGTCTTTCCGATCAATGGTTATAGTCGTCATTGTGAGCCTGGCCTGCCGAGATGGACTCTCTCGTTTACACCTTCCAGGATTGAGAGATCATTATCAATCACCCGCACACTGTTCAAGAACTGATCACACGGCAGAGGTTGGCAAAGGGCACACCACTAGATCATCCTCTTCAGATGCATTTGCCAGTTTCCCTCACCATGATAAAAGGTGACCCCTACAATCAGTCTTCATGGCTACCAGGGTGTAAATGCTTCAATACGGTTGATAGTTAGGTTACTGGGTTCCGTTGCTTGACAGAGGGTTTTATGTTGGGAACAGTTTCATGTCATCCTTGTCACATGCTGTAGTTACAGTCACGTTATCATGCTTGATTCCATGAGAGTAGCAAGCACATTGACCCTGAGAAGGTCTGGGTTAGAATGGTCTTCACCAACCCATGCTTATCAGAAGAGGCGATTGAAGGGAGCAGGAGCAGGTTCGTTGATTTAGTTGATGCATGTCATCATATCCCTGTTGTGTTGAGATGTCAATCACTGGATTGTCTGGTCCTGACTCCATTATTTACAGACAGCTGTCATATAGCTGGAATGTTGCTGAGTGCGGCGTTAAACAACCATCAAATAAATAAACAAAGTAAGCACATTGACAGACATTATGGTCATCATGAAGCACATATATAAGGTGAAGGTCCATAGTAGATGGTATGTGTTTTTGTTTGGTGTTTAACGCTACACTCAGTAATATTCCAGCTATGTGACGGCAGTCTGTAATAATCAAGTCTGGACCAGACAGTCCAGTGATTGATATCATGAGCATCAATCTACACAATTGAGATACAATGACATGCTTCATCCAAGTCAGCTAGCCTGACCACCCGATCCTGTTAGTTCGATGTTTTCAACAGGTCTTTATCATAGTATTTCAAATCATTTATTTATATAAAATGCATTTTTAGCCGCCTCTTATGACAAGCACCTTGAGGCTGCAAGAGAGGACACTAAATAGGATGACTATGGTACTGTAGTTTGTTGAGCCTAGCTTGTCCTGGTATTCCCTGGAGGCTGCAAGAGGGGACACTAAATAGGTTGACTACGGTACTGGAGTTTGTTGAGCCTGACTTGTCCTGGTATTCCCTGGAGGCTGAAAGAGGGGACACTACATAGGATGACTACGGTACTGTAGTTTGTTGAGCCTGGCTTGTCCTGGTATTCCCTGGAGGCTGAAAGAGGGGACACTAAATAGGATGACTATGGTACTGGAGTTTGTTGAACCTGGCTTGTCCTGGTATTCCCTGGAGGCTGAAAGAGGGGACACTAAATAGGATGACTACGGTACTGGAGTTTGTTGAGCCTGGCTTGTCCTGGTATTACCTGGAGGCTGAAAGAGGGGACACTAAATAGGATGACTATGGTACTGGAGTTTGTTGAACCTGGCTTGTCCTGGTATTCCCTGGAGGCTGAAAGAGGGGACACTAAATAGGATGACTACGGCACTGTATTTGTTGAGCCTGGCTTGTCCTGGTATTCCCTGGAGGCTGCAAGAGGGGACACTAAATAGGATGACTACGGTACTGTATTTGTTGAGCCTGGCTTGTCCTGGTATTCCCTGGAGGCTGAAAGAGGGGACACTAAATAGGATGACTACGGTACTGTATTTGTTGAGCCTGGCTTGTCCTGGTATTCCCTGGAGGCTGCAAGAGTGGACACTAAATAGGATGACTATGGTACTGTAGTTTGTTGAGCCTAGCTTGTCCTGGTATTCCCTGGAGGCTGCAAGAGTGGACACTAAATAGGATGACTACGGTACTGTAGTTTGTTGAGCCTGGCTTGTCCTGGTATTCCCTGGAGGCTGCAAGAGTGGACACTAAATAGGTTGACTACGGTACTGTAGTTTGTTGAGCCTGGCTTGTCCTGGTATTCCCTGGAGGCTGCAAGAGTGGACACTAAATAGGATGACTACGGTACTGTAGTTTGTTGAGCCTGGCTTGTCCTGGTATTCCCTGGAGGCTGCAAGAGTGGACACTAAATAGGTTGACTAAGGCACTGTATTTGTTGAGCCTAGCTTGTACCCAGGTATTCCCTGGAGGCTGCAAGAGTGGACACTAAATAGGATGATTACGGCACTGTATTTGTTGAGCCACTTGTCCTGGTATTCAACGTTGGGGTATGTCTAGGATTGGTCCACCATATATTACCATTCCAACCAAGTGCCATTATCACATAACTTACTAATTGCATGAATTAACAGATGTATTATTGCATGCTAATTACATGTACATTGGGAACTGGTGTTCCATATAGGGCGGTGGTGTTTGTTTGTCGTAATGAATTGTTTGTGTATTGAAACATGACATATTTACTGGGACTTTGATGACCAAACTTTGATGAAGCAGCAGGGGCAGTTCAGATTGTTGTCAAAGTGTAGATATTGATAAAAAAGAGCTGGCGCAAGATTAAATACCAATTAAATATGGCGGAGCGTGAGATGGAATTGGATCGTGAGTTTCTGGTGTTACGTGTTTTGCATATTTATGTTTGGGGGTAAAAGATATCCATGTGAATAATCTTTCAGTACATTCTTTTGCTGAGATAAGGAAAAGAAAAAGATTTAGAATCCTAGTGATCCATGTTTTCCCTTGTGTAAGTCGACACTAAATTCAGCTGCTTTCAAGTGGATCCCACCTGTGTAATCCTGAACATTTGGCGTATTGCGGATCTAACATTCTGTAACAATTAACCCAATATCGATGAAGCCACTAATAGTACTCTGATCATGTGACCTCCAGGAGACACTATGCACATTGTTTACAGTATTTGAAGTATATGTGTTATTTTGTGTGCCATATTTTCAGATGTGGGTGTGATTCCTCCTGGGATGTCCGATCGGACTTCGGAGACTGAGAGTCACGGAGGCGACAGCGGACATATTTCAGGGACATCTGCGGAGAACACCCCTGAACACAAGTCCCGACATCACAGCCATTTGTCCATACCGTCTCTTGTATTGACGTCAACGTCTGCGGAAGAGGTATTGTTGTCATAGTCGCTCTCCACTAGTGCCTCCATCGATAGATATCTTGCATTCAGTAATTGTGTGGTATATGTAATACAGAGGTTATTTAATTTCATTTAAATTTTTTTAAATTAAATGTTAATTAGTCACATTTTGACGAACACCTCTCTAGGCTAAATGAGCTGATTTTGATAAAGTAATCTCTTTTTTTTTAACAAGTACCTCTTAATTCATATCCTTTTAAATATTCTATGAATGTTTAAATAGTATATGACTAGCAATAACATTATCTTCTATTTTCGAGCGACAGGTTTTAAACTTGAGTTGAGAAAGTATAAATTCATTGATATGATAATATTACATCATGTAGTTATACCCACACTTACTGAAACTAGGACAAGGTGTTAAACTTTGACATTCTTATGCAGAGGAATCTCATATTCAAACCTTTAACAATTGTCAACTATTCACTGAATGTCAGTGGTTTGGAGATTATCTCCCTTAGCAGTGAAGTGATGTTTGAGCGCCTTGGTTTGGTTTTTATACAGAACAAATTAAGTTAGGGACCATGAATATTTTTGGGATATTTTTTGTTGAACCTAGAAAATCTTGTGTTCAGTCTTCACCAAAAAAAATCGCCAAAAATATTCATGATTCCAACTTGTTTTGTTCAGTATATAAACCAAGGCAATCGTCAGGGGAGATAATCCAAAAATTCAGTTAATAATAATAACTCTTTTTGTTCAATATATGTACACCTTGGTCAGACAGTAGTAAGGATGTCAAAGTCTATCACTTGCAATATGTACCACACTGCAGCTTTTCCTGTTGCCCATCCCTTCCGTATGTGTGTCTATGTATTGTGTGGCCTGTGTGTGCGCGATGCCACTGCAGTGTAGCAATGGTCACTTCTCCATGTCATCACAATGAGCACTTTGCTTCCTGTGTGTACTGGTTACTAGCCAGATGTCAATGTTGTCTTGCATTTCCCACACTTGAACACATTCCTCATCATCGAGATGATCAGCCTTCCATTCCACAAAGAAATCTAAATGCTACAATCTTTCTATCACTGCTTTCTACATGTGTGGCTGTGACAGCAAGTGTAGCACTGTGATAGCCTTGTGGACTGTTCTTGGATATAATAAACTGATGCAGGTGGTCACATACCTGATGTGGGGTCAAGTATAAGGTGGTTTTCTGAGGACTGTACTTGAGCATGGCAGAATGTATGTGTGTGAAGTCCTTTGAAATGGGTTGTCTCCCTTTGGAGATGTGTGTAAGTAAGTTGTCTCCTCTTGGAGATGTGTGAAAATGAGTTGTCTCCCCTTGGAGATGTGTGATAATGAGTTGTCTCCCCTGGTCCCATAGCAGCAAGACAGAGAAGAAGAAGATGACATTGATGACCTGGTTGCCTCTCACAAGTCTATTGGCAGTTTACGTGGTAGTCGTGGCAACCTTCATTCCAGTCTTACAGTAAGTCTGTCTCACAAACTGATAAGTTCTATGGATGAGAAAGTCTGTTCTCTGTTGCCTGTGTTCTGATTCTAATGATACTTGTGAGACATGTTTTTTTATTATTCATACATGCTTACTAATAAACAATTGAAACAGTGCAATAGATTAATTAAAACAGTTAAGGTCTAGTTTATTTGTAGCACTGATTACGGGGTATATTTGTTTATACATAACTATCATTTTCAGCGTTCAAGCACACTGTCTTCGGTAATAGTCATTAGAATTTTTGCATGATCAAATAAGGCACCGATAGGCCTTCTTAATGAAATATTCTACGTACAAGGTGTTTGGTCATTGGCAGAAGTTTCATTTTCTTATTTTAAATATTTACTTACTTTTATTCATATCACATACAGAAACAGTGGCTAGTGGAAATATTAACTGGACAACACTTTTATGTTTACTGTTTTTGGTGATTGTTTTTATTATCAGCAGTGAGAAACAATTACTGGTATCAGGAAATATGACTTTCAGATGATGGGACAGTATGCTGTAAGTTTTGTTGAGATTGAAGTTTGTTGTTATGACTAAACACCAGAACGTTTTAGTTATCGGAATTACGATTTAACATCCACACAGAATTTTCACACAACGTTGACATATTTTAACAAACTAATAAGACTTAAAACTAAATGGCATTTGCTTTGAGTTCGGAGACTAAAGACTGAAAAACTAATACTGGCATTACAATACGGCTTGTTGATACTTGACAAACAGTATTAACCTGCAGTGAGTGAGTGAGTGAATACTGCAGTGTTTAGTAGAATATTCTTTGTGATGCATCTTCAAACAAGTTGCGCTACTTTCTTCACACCTATACCAGGGATGACAGTGTGAGTAAATTTTAATCATCGAAAAACTGACCTGTTCAATCCAGTCAGATATGAATCTAGCAATAAGCAATAATGTATTATTAATATTAATATGTATGATAATATGTATTATTAATATTAATATGTAGGATAATATGTATTGATAATATTAATATGTAGGATAATATGTATCATTAATTTTGATATATAGGATAATATGTATTAATAATATCAACATGTAGGATAATATGTATTAATAATATCAACATGTAGGATAATATGTATTAATAATATCAACATGTAGGATAATATGTATTAATAATATCAACATGTAGGATAATATGTATTAATAATATCAACATGTAGGATAATATGTATTAATAATATTAATATGCAGGATAATATGTATTAATAATATCAACATGTAGGATAATATGTATTAATAATATCAACATGTAGGATAATATGTATTAATAATATCAACATGTAGGATAATATGTATTAATAATATTAATATGCAGGATAATATGTATTAATAATATCAACATGTAGGATAATATGTATTAATAATATCAACATGTAGGATAATATGTATTTATTAATATTAATATGCAGGATAATATGTATTAATAATATCAACATGTAGGATAATATGTATTAATAATATCAACATGTAGGATAATATGTATTAATAATATCAACATGTAGGATAATATGTATTAATAATATCAACATGTAGGATAATATGTATTAATAATATCAACATGTAGGATAATATGTATTAATGATATCAACATGTAGGATAATATGTATTAATAATATTAATATGCAGGATAATATGTATTAATAATATCAACATGTAGGATAATATGTATTAATAATATCAACATGTAGGATAATATGTATTTATTAATATTAATATGCAGGATAATATGTATTAATAATATCAACATGTAGGATAATATGTATTAATAATATCAACATGTAGGATAATATGTATTAATAATATCAACATGTAGGATAATATGTATTAATAATATTAATATGCAGGATAATATGTATTAATAATATCAACATGTAGGATAATATGTATTAATAATATCAACATGTAGGATAATATGTATTTATTAATATTAATATGCAGGATAATATGTATTAATAATATCAACATGTAGGATAATATGTATTAATAATGTTAACTAACAATGCTAACAAATTTTCTTTCATAACAACCATAATTTTGATAACAAAAGTAGATTTGTTTATTGTGTTGTATAATGACTACTCAAGTGTTGTCTGTTTAATGGTACCATGTGTGTTATTACTGCTAACATGCCACGCCCACAACCATGAGCTCCTTGCACTGTAGTGCACATGTACCTTGCATTCACTTCACGCTAGTATCAGCAGCTTCCTAACTTTTTGTGTACACTATATATTACACAACAGTGTGTTTCTCTGTTTGCTTGTCAATGTCTCATGTTTTACGATTTATCAAGATGATATTATAACAACAGCTTCATGGATATATATATATATGTCAATTCATTTTCAGTCTAACTTCTCAAATGTGGTTTTGACTGTGGTTACAGAAATCAGGCATTTAGCTTCTCAAGTTGTTTATAATTCTTTATACAGGTCATTTTTCCTTGTTTTTGTTGTTTACTGGTGATTAGTTTTTACCAGAACAATATGACTTTTTTTGTGTAAAATAACATATATATATTTTAGGTTGTTGGTTTTTGTCTTTTTGACTTTATTGAGGTAGAGGGTTACGAACAGTCATATTCAGAAGCTGCATCTATTTATTTCACTTCCTTTGTTTGAAACTGTAACCATCAGCACCAATAGGGCAAGGGTGGATGGTGGACACGTAGCCTGACAATATATCATGCTCAAGGAATTGTTCCTGATATTTTGTATAACATCTCATGATATAGGTCATTCTTACACTTATAGGTTGTCTGGGGAAAATGTGATAAAAAAATGTGATAGTCCTGGTTGTCTGGGGAAAATGTGATAGTCCTGGTTGTCTGGGGAAAATGTGATAGTCCTGGTTGTCTGGGGAAAATGTGATAGTCCAGGTTGTCTGGGGAAGATATGATGGTCCAGGTTGTAATGGGTCCTGGTTGTCTGGGGAAGGTGTGATGGTCCAGGTTGTAATGGGTCCTGGTGGTCCGGCTGAAGATATGATGGTCCAGGTTGTAATGGGTCCTGGTTGTCTGGGGAAGATATGATGGTCCAGGTTGTCTGGGGAGGATATGATGGTCCAGGTTGTAATGGGTCCTGGTTGTCTGGGGAAGGTGTGATGGTCCAGGTTGTAATGGGTCCTGGTTGTCTGGGGAAGATATGATGGTCCAGGTTGTAATGGGTCCAGGTTGTCTGGGGAAGATATGATGGTCCAGGTTGTAATCGGTCCTGGTTGTCTGGGGAAGGTGTGAAGGTCCAGGTTGTAATGGGTCCTGGTTGTCTGGGGAAGATATGATGGTCCAGGTTGTAATGGGTCCTGGTTGTCTGGGGAAGATATGATGGTCCAGGTTGTAATGGGTCCTGGTTTTCTGGGGAAGGTGTGAAGGTCCAGGTTGTAATGGGTCCTGGTTTTCTGGGGAAGATATGATGGTCCACTCAATTATTCATTCAGATATAATAATATATTGTTAAGAAAACATTCAGAAGCAAAGGTTGGCAATGCTTTTAGGGACATATTCATCCCTATCAACATAATTCACCATCACCAATATTTTGAAGGAATTTTGGGACATTTCTCAAACCAATAAAAAAGTAGAATTTAATTTTGGTATTGTGGAAGATGAGTAATTTGTATCTACCTACAGAATGTTACTAATTTAAACTCTGCATGACCCTGGTCTGGTGCCTGATATTGTCAGACATCTTTGGCGTGTGTACATCAGTTGTATTGTGGGTACTACAGGACAGCCGAGAGAGTCTGTACAGCGTGTACAGTGATGCTGGAGAGATCAACTTCGGGAATATCCCTGCTACCGGGGAGATACTTTTCGGACTGGACTACAACTACAAGACTGGGGCCTTGGAAATCCACATCAAGCAGTGCAAGGATATCGCACCTGTCGACACGAAAAGGAATCGTTCAGATCCGTGAGTTACCACTCAGTAATATCTTGATTTATACACTACTCAAACTCAAATGGCAACTGCAAAATCTGAATTCTTATATATGATTTGGGTGAGAAATATTTGGTATTTCCCTTAATCACATGGAAAGGGAAGACAAAGACGTATATGTGTCTTTGGGGGAGACAACCCTTATAGCAGTCAGACGTTGAGCCAACGTTAGACTCGGGTTTTTTTGGATGCTAGTATGCTATATTTTGCCCACAATCAGAGCGGCATATTTTTCGTCTTCGGTCATGAAGTTAGTGAACATGGTGTTTTCAATTTCTGGGAAATAATTACTCGTGTTGGTATTTCTGAATGAACAATAGTTCTTTTCTTCTGGGGTACTGTTTGAACATTGTAATATGACATTAATTAAACACTTACCCCTATATGTCCGATGAAAACAGTACTCCGATGACTGAGCTTGTACTTGTGTCACATCGCCTGCTCGAAGAGAGGCACAAAACCACAGCACCCTCTATGAGAAGCTGTCAATTTAGAGTAGCGTCCTTTGAAAATAATTTCTGAAATGCTACCTGACATAGTAACAACGTTGGGCCAACATATGAAAACTGACTGTGACACTGCCAACCATTACCAATGTTGGGCCAGTGTCTGAATGCTATCTGGGAACTACTTCATTATCTGGTCAGATGTTGATTATCAGTGATGAAGGGGAGACAACTCTGGTGACATGTTGTAGGTACGTGAAGACCTACCTGCTGCCAGACAAGACGCGGAGTGGGAAGAGGAAAACAAAGATCAAGAAGCACACCCTCAGCCCCACATTTGATGAAGTGTTGAGAGTAGGTTGCCTTGCCTATCAGCTGCTGAAATATATCTCCAAATATATAGATTGAGACTAAACTGTCATTCTATATGTTGTCGTGTTGTAAGAAATAAAAATATTAAGATATAATTAACACAAATTGAAAAAAACCCACTTGTTTTCTTAGAGTCCTTAGGGATTGAGGAATTGATTTATTTTTTTTACTTTATTCAGAAAAAGTGTTTGAAAAATAATGTTACCCCTCCCCAAAATATTGTTTGCAGGCATACAGAGCCCACTTGCAAAACTGATCTTAGCACTTCAACTATCATGAATGTGTTGAAATATGGGAATGACCATCATTGTGGTGCTAAGATAGCTTTGTGCATGTGGACCAAGGATATCCTGAATAAAATCTGTTGGTCTTGAAGCAGTGACCCCCAAAATAATCTCATTAACGTAATAACTACTAACTAAAAGTCCCAGTGCAAATGAAGATTCAAGACCATGAATAAACATCGTCCAGAAACTTATACATCATGTTAATGGAGTTCAAATTAAGAAAGTTTCACTGTGTGCTACAATCATCAGTTAGACATATTCCGTTCTTAATGATTTACAGTATGTGTTGCTATGTTACAGTATGTCATCTCAAAGAGCGAAGTAGAGAACAGGGCATTGTGGGTAACAGTGTGGCACAACGACCGATTTGGCAGGAACGACTTCCTTGGTGAAGTGATGATCCCCATGGACTGCTACAAGTTTGGCGACGCCTCTCTCAAGTGGTACCCCCTCCAGGACAGGGTAAATCAACTTACTTGTACAAACTAGGCAATATGTCGTAGGGCATTGTTTGTTTGTAAAATAAAGAACTTGGTTTACAAAAGAAAAATGAATACTACCTTCCATAATAGTGCAGAAATTCTGTACAAATAGACCCGTGAAGATCAGGGTTAGGATAGATCTTCAACAACCCATGCTTGCTGTAAAAGGAGCCTATGCTTGTCATAAGAGGCGACTAACGGGGTCAGGTGGTCAGGCTTGCTGACTTGGTTGATACATGTCATCATATCCAAATTGCGTGGATCGATGCTCATGATGTCAATCACAGGATTGTTGGATCCAGACTCGATTATTTACAGACTGCCATCATATAGCTGGAATATTGCTGGAAGTGAGGCGTTAAACAACAAACAAAAACAAAAATCTGTACATATACTGCTAGTCCACCATACAACTTTCATTTATGAGGGGCAGTGGGGTAGCCATGTTCACATATCACCTGGTTCAGTTGAGTATAGTGCAAGGAGAGCAGTCTTTATGTCTCCTACTGAGTTGGGATATTCTAATAGTGTAACTCATATATATGTGAGTAAATATAACTGACAGAGTTATGCCCCTTGTTTTTGCAGTTGGACGCTCCTGGTGCCCAGCCAGTGTCCTACAAGGGTGACCTTGTCCTGTCAGTAAAGTTTGTCACTGCCGAGAACCTTGATAACGACGGTTCTCGGAAGGGCAAGTCTAAGAAGGGCAAGGCGCCACCTCGAGGAGAACTACAGGTGCTCGTGAAGGAGGCCAAGAATCTGACAGCCGTGCGGTCTAATGGCTCCTCAGACCCCTTCTGCAAAGCGTACGTACAATTGGAATATAATTTTCTGTCATCTGGTTGTGCAGGCCAGAAAAACAAGAATTTGACGTCTTAATGCACAATGGTTTTCTCAATATTAGGTAGGCGTGTAATCGAATAATATTTCGTGCATTAAATTGCTAGGGAGCAGCTGATCAGTTATGTTTAAATATAGAAAAGACACTATAAAAGGATTGAGTGAGTATGGTTTTATGCCGCTTTGAGCAATATTCCAACTTTATCACGGCATGGGGACATCACAACATCACGACGGGGGACTTCACACACACTAAAAAGGAAACTAATACTAATACAAGATAACATCAGGTCAATGGTTTTTTCTTGATAATATCAGTCATTGGCAAAGCAAATCCAGAATACTTCATATTTTTCAACAGGGGGTTTGACAGAGATGAGAAAGTGATTAAAGATATGGTTGTCACTAGTTATTGATGTTTGGGAGATATTTTGTGTTGGTATGAGGGCTTCACTGAATGTTGTGTGTTGTTCAGCTACCTTCTGCCCGAGAAAAACAAGAGTAACAAGCAGAAGTCTGCGGTGGTGAAGCGGAATTGCAATCCCACGTGGAACCACGTGTTCCTGTTCGAGGACGTCAGTCTGGAGGAAATGAAGGACCGCAGCCTGGAACTGACCGTCTGGGACTATGACAAGATCACCAGCAACGACTTCCTGGGCGGCGTCAGACTCAACATAGGAACAGGTATGACCAATTTGTTGCATCTAATAGTTCCCCAGGTAGACTCTACACATGCGCTCAGGAAGGTAGATTACCGAATAGCTGTAAGATTGCTGATGTGGCGTTAATCATGCATTCACTCACTCAGAATATAGACTTGAAAAGGCTTTTTACTGTTAAAATCTTATTTTTGAGGATCAGAAAAAAGGTTATATTCGATGAATATTTATTAGTTTCACAATGAATGATAGTCATTAGGTAAACAACCTTTCCAAATCCAGCTAAAACAATGTTTCTGTCTGCAGGGGTAGCATCAGGCAAGACTGTGGAGTGGATGGACGCACGAGGGGAAGAGATAGCTATATGGCAGTCCTCAATCGACCGACCCAACTGCTGGAATGATGGAACCATCGGTCTCCGGGCAACCATGGGCAAGAGTGAGATACGCAAATAACGCCTGGTGGACCTAGCTAATCACATCATTCATAGTGGTGTGTCTGTAAATACATGGATTGGTCACGTACTTTAAGTATGCTGTTTACATGGATGTTTTGACAGATTATTGTGAGACGTTTGGCCTTGCCCTTGTTCTGCCTTGTATCATGAAGCCAACGCTAGACATGGCTGCCCTTGATTTCTGTCATTTCTACCTGTGACAGGGTGAGCCTAGCGTCTGTGTTGTAGGCAACACCAGCTGTAAACTGTAGTTCTGTAGACAGTCGAGACTAGATCAACTCACTCCCATCGGAGTCTAAATCAGAATAGTTCACCATTTCATTAGTTATAAAAAGACTTGCACAGACCTCATATTCAGGGCCATACAACAGACCATTCTGTTCACGTGGGGGAATCAAGCTGTGGAACAGTCCATTCTGTTCACCTGGGGGAAATCAAGCTGTGGAACAGTCCATTCTGTTCACATTGGGAAATCAACCCATGGAACAGTCCATTCTGTTCACATGGGGAATCAAGCCTTGGAACAGTCCATTCTATTATATGGGGGAATCAAGCCAAAGAAGCATCCATTATAAACATAGCATGCACGGTGTGTCTGTGGACGAGATGAATGGACAGCACCGTAGGTCCTTTGCCTGGAGCCGATACAGGGGAAGGTGTGCTGGAGCTTGTTTGCCAACAAGGACAAGGAGCAAGAGGTGGTCCTGATGTTTTTGGCTGTCCTCTATCAGACATTGACCTGGGTACATTTGTTTTGTTTGTAGTGTATATTACAGTCCTATGTTATTCTATAGTAAAGTATATCAATGTAAGTGCTAGTGACAGCCGCTGAACATGAGAGACAAATGCTACAAATAATATTTTGTGGTTTACAGTTTGTAACAAGCTAATGAATGTGGTGTGAGCCCATTACGTGTAACAATATATTTGTATATCTGAAAACGGTCAATTCCGACCAGATGGAGGTTATGTAATGTCTATTCAGTAACAAATGTTCACGTCAGTCGGAGGAGTGTTTGTTTGTGTTGCAGTAGCCAGAATCTTTGCCACACATTTGACCGTAATCATTTTAAAAACCTGTTTATTGTATTTTATACTCAACAGATGGCCATGAATATTTGGTAAATTTTATTTATGTTTATTTAATTTCGGGTAGTTGACTTTAGGCTCCTTTCTTTTGACCCATAAAGAAACATACGAAGGTTAGAGTTATAACTTTCCCGAGTTCCCCAAATACACCAGTATTGGAAGATGGCTGTGATGTCTGTCAGTGGCTTGTGGACATGGACAAGATGTTTAGCAGCACTCTAAAATGCTAGAAATAACTAGAATTTGTTTAGGTTTAGAAATAATTGATGTCATTCATGAAGATACATAGCTGGCAGATGGACTGAAGGTAATCCTAGAGCTCTGCTTTGTGTGGTAGGATTCAGCTGGGCTCATATTGTAGCAGGTCCTGAGAGAACGCTTTTCCCATCCACTGTGTGGGGCGTTGGTCACATGGTCGACCTCCAGTCAGTTGGATCCAGACTTGATTACTAAAGCTGCCATGTAGCTGTTGGGCTTTCTGACTGTAGCATCCATGGACTCGCTCACTCTACATCAGTGCATCAAGGACCTGTGCATCAAGGACCTGTGCATTTGCACTGCAGTGTTTGAACTAATGTTGGTTATACCTTGGAAGATAGTGCACACAGACACATTAACGGCGTAGTGCTCGTTCAGAGATTTCCTTCAACCTTTCTGGAAAATATACATATGTTTACTAATATATGAAATTGTATGAGATGACAGTTGAATCATGGGGCACCTGCTTCATGTGGCAGTTGTGTTACAATGTGTACCAGGACATGACAGATAGTGTAGGATATAAACATTTCAAGACTAACAACTGTAGGATACGGGAAATGTATGTCGAGCTGCTGTGAGTCTGTGTCTCTGTGGAATTGTATGATATTCATGTCTCAAGCCTAACAACTGCTTCACTGGAACTGTATGAACTGTGCATGTCTCAACCAAGCCGATGTGAGTCGTTGGAAGTGTGCATGTCTCAAGCCAAGCCGATGTGAGTCATTGGAAGCGTGCATGTCTCAAGCCAAGCCGATGTGAGTCATTGGAAGCGTGCATGTCTCAAGCCAAGCCAATGTGAGTCGTTGGAAGTGTGCATGTCTCAAGCCAATCCGATGTGAGTCATTGGAAGTGTGCATGTCTCAAGCCAATCCGATGTGAGTCATTTGAAGCGTGCATGTCTCAAGCCAAGCCGATGTGAGTCATTGGAAGTGTGCATGTCTCAAGCCAAGCCGATGTGAGTCATTGGAAGTGTGCATGTGCCAAACCAAACCTCTGTTAGTCTTTGGAAGTATGCATGTCTCAAACCAAGTGGCTGTGAGTCGTTGGAAGTGTGCATGTTCCAAGTCAAGTCCCTGTGAGTTGTTGGAAGTGTGCATGTCTCAAGCCAAGCCGCTGTGTATGACAATTGTATATAGATTCTCCTAATGTCTGTCTTTATATTTTCACACATCCAGAGCTTTCTATCTGTCTTACTGTACAGTTTATACTTGTTGAAGTTTATACCTTTTTTAATATATATTTTGTCTTTCTATACATATTGTACAAATCTGTTTCCTTTCCAATATGTTATCCTTGGCTGGAACCAAGATGTATATGTCAGTTAACTGCAGAATTAGTTTGGGTCATAAGATTTGTTTTGTTGTGTCATCCATATCTAGGTTCTATGCATCCACATTTGTCATGATACCAATTCTTCAAGCAGGAGATACCACTGACAAAATCATTTCACAGAGACTTGTCTGTAGCAATGAATGGTGTGTAATAACATCCTATAGTGAGATGGGCAATGTTCTACATTGTTGCTGTATCTTCTTGGAACAAACACACCATCTAAAGGATATTGACTGTATACAACAATGTTAATATATCATCAGTCTTGTTAGAATCAGATCTTACTCCAACACAATACCTCTCAGCGTCAGGATCTGAAGCCACCTTCACAGACGGTTAGGCCAGGTGGCCACTAAGCGAACTTAGACCACCCAATCAAAATGAAGGATGCATGGGTTCTTGGGCCAATCAGATGTCAGCTTTCTAAAACAATCTCTTCATTTGTTTACCGTCTTTATTCAGAAATTTCTATCTCTGCCAAAGAAGAACATTACAGAACTCAAATATCCTCTCCCGAGTAACCCTTTTGGGTGTAGATGCCGCGGCGCTCGCAAACACCAGGACGTGTAACATATCCACAACAATGTAACAGTGTGGCAATATTTTTGTGTGCATGCAGGTTTCCTTGGTTATTGTTTTTTTATTTTTAAACAAAAGTCAAATTTGCTTCTCTGATTGCTGGGTCCTCAAGTCGTCATGCGGGGCGATGGGGTAGCCTAGTGGTTAAAGCGTTTGCTCGTCACACCGAGGACCCGATATCGATTCCCCACATGGGTACAATTGTAAAACCCATTTCTGGTGCCATTGCTGGAATATTGCGTAAAACCATACTCACTCAAGTCTTAATGCAGAGAGGTATTGTGTTGGGAGTAAAATATTTGATTTGAATGAGATTGATGTATTGTTAGAGCACAGCTAGAGGCCCTGATCCATTAGGCACTCATCATTGGGGTCATGTGTAGTACAATCATATCCCAATAATGTTGTCCAACCAATACTCTTTATATAACAGTGACGCTCAATCTACCTCAAGATTGACACAGACTTCTGGGCTGTGGGTTTGAGTGGAAAGTGCAGTTTGCGCCAGCTGTACACTGTATACACAGATAATCATTTCGGGGAACTCGAGTACTTGGCTGTGCTCTAAGAGAGATAGAGGACTTGTGACAGTACTTTATCAGGATAAAAGGAACAGTTGCAAGAACAAAGGACTCTGCTTTGCCTTATGTTGTTCTTGCAACATACCTTATATATCTTGATAAAGCACCTGATCATATAATTATCATAGATTATTATATCAATAAACCAATCAGATAAACTTATCACAATCTGATAAATATGCAAATGAGGTCACCAAGGAAGAACTACTTTTGATCTCCATAAATCAATTCCATGTCTACTTGCCAAGTAAACTATTGACTTTTCCCAGTAAGTTTAAATAGACATTTTCTGATGTGTGGATGACTATGAAGACAAAAGTGTCTGCAAATCATTTGGCACTGCATAATATATAGGGTTTCTAAAGCTACTTCATCGAGCGAAATTACATCTTAAACGTTGAGTAATTAAAGACTGACATTATATGATATAGAGATTTATACCCTCATGTGTTTCCGAATGGTAAATATCCAATATTAGGGATATCCTATATACAATATAATATATAGAGGATTCATCACGAGTGTTTTTTAGTATGGGAAATATCAACCGAGTCTTAGTTAATCGGAATTTGCCGAGCCTTTGATAAATATTCCTACTTGTCCCTTGTCCTCTATCTGTTATTGAACTATACAGAAGCTGGTAATGGGACTATTAACCTAACTGTGATATACATTTGTAGACGATTTATCTTATTGTCAGTGCTAGTGATTGGTCTTTTATATTGGTGACCTTGCCCTTTAATCAATTTATAGTATTGATGTTTTGAGTCCTATTTCTTACCATCGAAACATGGTTTATTACTGTAGGGTAGAGACATATTAGTGGCCATTAATTTTGGATTTTTGCAGAACCAGAAATAAAACCTACTTGATCTGAAGTGTACACTGATGAACGTCAAATCTTCTGTTTAATTTCTCAAGAGCATACAATTTAATTTACAATCTATGAATGGAACGTTAAATCTTCTATGTAGACATTTTCAGTTTATTGCCTCCTGCCACAAACATAGAGAGAATCTACAAAACAAGAAATTAAACGCAGGAAGAACTAAGCTGTTTCAGTGAATTATTTTAATATATGTCTGGGTCTGTTTCACAAAGCCATCGTTAAACGACGTCCATAATTCCTATACTTTAACATAGACTTACGGCAGTCAGAACACCACAGATGCATTGTGGGACGGGCCAATTCATATACTAGTATATCACTGTGCAATATATTCATCTGTTTTCAGACTGGTACAAGTTGTGCGAGCAGATCATACAATGAAATCCCATGTACATTGAAAAGTTTCCTTAGTTATTTGACAATCACCCTGGGTCCGACAAACTCCGGCTGATGCTCATCCTGTCCATGTCTGTTGCTTGGGAACTACTTTTGTTTGGACTACTTTTTGAGTAGCTGTTGCAGAAATTCTGTGTTTGACTCTTTGATGCTTCTCCATCGTGAATCATGTGTAAATACTGGCATGTCAGTAGATGATGAAGTATGCAACAATTCACTATGGAAATACTCATGTTACGATATACGATTACCTTGCTATTGTAATTTCAGATCAAATCGACTTGCCAATGTATTTCAAATATTATCTTTGTATATAAACATATATAAATATATGGTTGGGTTTTATTGCAAACAATATAAATAATACTTTTGTTTCTTATTATGTACTAGGTGCAATCTCTTATACAATTTTCACTCATTTCTCATTAAATACTGATCTAAACAGCAGAGTTCTGTATTTCTTGTCCAAATGGACTGTTTTGTTTGTTGTTTATACTGCACTCAGCAATATTCCAGCTGTTTGAAGACAGTCTGTAAAATATCAAGTTTGGACCAAACAATCCAGTGATTAATGAGCATCTATCCACACAATTGAGATATGATGATATGCAATCAGCCACCGAGCCTGACCACCCGCTCCCGTTAGTCACCCCTTACAAGAGCATGGATTGCTGGGGACCTATATTCTTACCCAGAATCTCCACAGATCAAAAGTGACAAGTTGTACCACTTGGCTCCCCCAAGCTGACACAACCGGCCAGGTACAACTGAGGTGAAGTGTCACCTGGAGACATCAATGACATAACAACACTACTCCTGTAGGTAAGATTTAGGATTTATTCCATAATGTATCTGTGTGTGACACCAGCCACATCGATCGTAATGACCAGACTCCGGGGATCCTTTCGGTTCTTCTTACAGACGACCTTGCCCTCTAGCTTCTCTCCTGCAAACAACAATGGGTGAGTCGGTGAGGCTGTTAGCAAGGGAGGGAGTGAATGTTGTTCAAGCTGCAGACAACAACGGGTGAGTCGGTGAGGCTGTTAGCAAGGGAGGGAGTGAATGTTGTTCAAGCTGCAGACAACAACGGGTGAGTCGGTGAGGCTGTTAGCAAGGGAGGGAGTGAATGTTGTTCAAGCTGCAGACAACAACGGGTGAGTCGGTGAGGCTGTTAGCAAGGGAGGGAGTGAATGTTGTTCAAGCTGCAAACAACAATGGGTGAGTCTGTGAGGCTGTTAGCAAGGGAGGGAGTGAATGTTGTTCAAGCTGCAGTCAGCAAAATTCCAGCATTACAAATGGGTGTCAGGTCTTTGATGAAGATCATTCACCTGATGAATGGGCAAGATGCAGCCCTGAAACATTATACACATCCATAAAAAGTTTCATGTCTTTCAAAATGAAGGGGGCCTAATCAAATCTGTGCCAGGCAATCTGGTAGTGAGGGTGCATGCACGCACGCATACACGCACACACCTTCCCCTGAATCCCAAATATGATTTTTAACTGAGTCTCATTTGCTCACCTCTGAATCTTGATTACTACTTAACAGAGTGAGTGAGTGAGTTGGGTTTAACGCCACTTTTAACAGTATTCCAGTTATTTCAAGGCGTGTCAGCTTAATGTGGGAGGAAAGCCCGAAGTGATGCAGGTTTCAGACGTTTACCACTTCGGTGAAACCCATGAGCACGGGTAAGCTGCTGACAAACCTAGAAACATAATCGGGGCGAACTGGGATTCAAACCCACAATCATAGGTTTCTGGCGTGCCCAAGGGACGCAACTCTGCACAGCGAATCATGGCGCCTTAAACGACTGGGCCACAGGTGCCCCCTACTATCTCAAGAGCACATGTCAGAATTCAAAGAAGTCGATCAGACAAAAACCATAGAACACATTCCTAGGCCATAAAAGGGTGCGATTTGAAGGTAAAATAACTGAAAAAAATATTGAAAAAAATTAAATTTGTGAAGGAGTCCCGAATCCTGTGTACCAAAAAGGGGTTGGTAATCTCAGTAGTTGAAAAGCATGAGTATGTTTACTGGGCATGCTACTCAAGAGACACATTGTTACCACACCATCCTTATCAGTAGGTGCTTACATCAAGCATGGACTAAGCCTAATCTATTCTTCCCCTGAACCACACAGGAGGTTCTAAGCCTTATAACAGTAACAGTGCGTTATCAGATTTATAAACTGTCAGTGAAGGTGTGCCTTTGTTATACTTGTCCTTGCTTAAAAACCTTGACAGTTAACCCAAGGCCATCACCCCTGTGTTATTCCTTGGAGTCTGATGGGGGACATAAATCTTGTAAAATTCTTGGATAGGTCTTATCCTTAAAAAAAAAGGTGCTGATGACCAAAAAGAATTCTGTCTTGCACAATTTATGGATGAAGTAGCAGTTGATGTTGAGTGAGTGAGTGAGTGATTTGGGTTTAACGCTGCCTTTAACAGTATTCCAGTTATATCACAGCATGTCAGCTTAATGTGGGAGGAAAGCCCGAAGTGATGCAGGTCTCAGATGTTTACCACTTCGGTGAAACCCACGAGCACAGGTATGGTGCTGACAAACCTAGAAACATAATCGTGGCGAACCGGGAATCGAACCCACAATCATAGGTTTCTGGCGTGCCCAAGGGACGCAACTCTGCACAGCGAATCATGGCGCCTTAAACGACTGGGCCACAGGTGCCCCCTACTATCTCAAGAGCACATGTCAGAATTCAAAGAAGTCGATCAGACAAAAACCATAGAACACATTCCTAGGCCATAAAAGGGTGCGATTTGAAGGTAAAATAACTGAAAAAAATATTGAAAAAAATTAAATTTGTGAAGGAGTCCCGAATCCTGTGTACCAAAAAGGGGTTGGTAATCTCAGTAGTTGAAAAGCATGAGTATGTTTACTGGGCATGCTACTCAAGAGACACATTGTTACCACACCATCCTTATCAGTAGGTGCTTACATCAAGCATGGACTAAGCCTAATCTATTCTTCCCCTGAACCACACAGGAGGTTCTAAGCCTTATAACAGTAACAGTGCGTTATCAGATTTATAAACTGTCAGTGAAGGTGTGCCTTTGTTATACTTGTCCTTGCTTAAAAACCTTGACAGTTAACCCCTGTGTTATTCCTTGGAGTCTGATGGGGGACATAAATCTTGTAAAATTCTTGGATAGGTCTTATCCTTAAAAAAAAAGGTGCTGATGACCAAAAAGAATTCTGTCTTGCACAATTTATGGATGAAGTAGCAGTTGATGTTGAGTGAGTGAGTGAGTGATTTGGGTTTAACGCTGCCTTTAACAGTATTCCAGTTATATCACAGCATGTCAGCTTAATGTGGGAGGAAAGCCCGAAGTGATGCAGGTCTCAGATGTTTACCACTTCGGTGAAACCCACGAGCACAGGTATGGTGCTGACAAACCTAGAAACATAATCGTGGCGAACCGGGAATCGAACCCACAATCATAGGTTTCTGGCGTGCCCAAGGGACGCAACTCTGCACAGCGAATCGCGACGCCTTAGACAACTGGGCCACCCGTGCCCCCAGTTGATGTTGAGAGTTCACACAGACTTCAGTCTCACCTTTCCTGACAGTCCTGGGCTTGTCCAGGAGAAACACGGTCTGCTTCCAGTGTGTGGTCGGACTCCCTGGCGATGTAGAAAAGCTCACCTGGAATACATCACAACAAACGTGAAGCTCACCTGGCAACATGTCACAACAAGCAAACTTCAGGAAATCAGGCAAACTACAACGCTACTAACAATGACCAAAACAATGTCAAACTAACTATCTGAATAATTCGTACATAGAAAAATTAACTTGAATAATTTCATATCTACTATAATATACATGTACTACTCAACTACTGGTAGGGACATTGAGACATTTCATATTTTTACAAAACTCAGTATGTAAACTTGTTTACTTATGTTCACTTTAACTTGACCAATAGCAGAAATGCTCCATTTCCACGGGAACCATTGAGAAATATTTTCATAAGAACTTATCCAAGCAATTCGTTTCATTCAGCTCCAATCTTGACATTCAGAATATTCCTAAAAAGATTTGAGTAGTATAATTTAATAAGTCTATGTACTAGTTAACCAGTTTTATTCATTCTAGCCAGATGAAGTACAGTGTCTATATATCTTGCCAAAGAAATGTAAAGATAATTTTTTTAAGCCGTGAGTCAAAAAGGACCACTTATCATAATATCACAAATGACAAGTCTTCATATCCTATACACTATCATGATACAACACATCTGTCTGCTGGATCTTACTGAGGATAAAGTGAATTGTGTTACTCTCACACCCACCTTTGTATTACAACCCTTCTCAAAGAAGATGTCGAAGTAGCCCACTATAGCTGACAGGCAGCCATCATGTGTGCAGGTCAGACAAAAGGGCGACTCAAACTGAAGGTCATCAAGGCGACATCTACAGGCATCCAACTCCTGTATCAGTAAAAGGATGAAAACTAGGTCACCAAGTTTCTTCAATAGACCTATGCAAGTAATTATATGTCAGAGTTAGTGAGTGAGTATGGTTTTAAGCCACTTTTAGCATATTCCGGCAATACGAAACTGGGGGTAACCAGAAATGGGCTTCACACATTGGGAATCGAACCCTGGTCTTCGGTGAGACGAGCAAACGCTTTTACCACGAGGCTACCCGACCACCCCTATGTCATATTTAACAATGATTACACTTCGTATAGATACTAACTGGTACAGCTACATCACATCAATAGATGTGTAATATGTTTGTTTATTTGTTTGTTTATTTGTTTGTTGTTTTGATGCCTCACTCAGCAATATTCCAGCTATATGATGGCGGTCTGTAAATAATCAAGTCTGGACCAGACAATCTAGTGATTGACATCATGACCATCAATCCACACAATCGGTATACGATGACCTGCATCAACCAAGTCAGCGAGCCTGACCATCCATACCTGTTATTCGCCTCTTACGACAAGCATAGTCGCCTGTTACAACAAGCATGGGTTGCTGAAGACCTATTCTACCCCAGATCTTCACAGGTGCTGTAATATGCAATGTGACACCATTCTCGACAGTCCTAAAGCAAGCAGAGAATTGGAGAATCTGATCTGGCATCTAGTTCAAATGATTCCTTTACAATATCAAATACATAGTAATCAACTACAGAGGGAGTGAGAGAGGGAGTGACCCCGAGGTCATTGTTTCTGGCAAGCCTAAAGAACGTTACTCTGCCAAAATCTTTTTATAGAATGGGCAAAACATGCCCCATCAAAGTGTCAAGTGCATGAACATCTTTCAATGCTTCTGTAATATGACCACAAACTAAACCAGTCAGTTGAAGCATTCATCACTGTTCAGAGACACTGTAGTCTCTATTCACTGCCAGTGATCATAAATAGAGATTATTATACGAGTATGTGTGTCATACTGGTTTAACGAAACAAGTGTCAAAATTCTTGTATTTCCCGAGTGAGAATGCGGGTAATACATGAATTCTTACACAAGTTTTGTTAAATCTGTATGACACACATGTGAGTGTAATAATTTCTTTATTACCCTTTATTTCTTAATCCTTTGAGCCCCCCTTTACAAAAAATGCAGTGATCACCATCACTGTCCTAAAAAAACACAACTACCGAAAGACATAAACAATCTTCAGCTATGATGTTTCTAATGTGACGTCACACAGGGATGAGAATAGATATTTTCCTTTTCAGCTGAAACGTCTTTGCAATGGAGCGTGGTCCATTATTTGGGGATGTTTATGGGGGAAGCCATCAGATTTTAACAAATTTGTGTTCACTAAAATTTGCTGTTCCCCAGAAGATTCTCATCCCTGGTCACCACAAAATTTGAATGACGTCAACGATGCCGTCTGGATGACAGAAACACTGGTAGGCAAGATGCTACTCACACTAGTGCACATACAATATTTATGAACTTGGTTATTTCTAACCCTGTGGGTAATAAACAGTGCTAGTTGCCCACAGTGCTCGTACTGGCAGCTGTCAGGACTCTCTGAGCCTCACCTTGACAACACATGGCTGGGTGATACTTCCGCCATCCTCTACCAGCTCCACAATGGCCTCGTGTATCACCTCCGCCTTCATACAGGACATCTTGAAACCATACACATCATCCCAGAAACTGATGTGCTTACCATGCAGGTCAAGGTCACCTGACCCTACTAGGGATAGCGTGCATCGGTCAGGAAACACTGTAACATGGGAAGGGAGATAATCACACCTTAGCGTTACTAAGGGAGATAATCACACCCTATTGCTATTGCTATTGCTACTGCCACACAACGATCTCACTACAGATCACGTAAGATAGAACCAACCAATGAGCAACATTAGCCAATCAGAAAGCAGTTTTCTCGAGCTTTATGGCAATAGTTTCAAAACTGGAGACTCAACAAAAGAAAGTTTTTGAATGTATAAGATTGTATGGCAGTACTCCCCATGGGCTGTGGAAAGTCTCTTCTGTTTGCAATGTTTATCCCATCGAAGCGAGAGATAGATGATGATTGTGAAGGAATCGGTTGTGCCGCCCTTAGCTGTCATTTGGAATGCTCATGTTAACCTTTTCAAGCTTTATTATTTAAAAAAACACAGTCAGACATTCACTTCGTCATTCTGATAAGCGATGCTCTGATTGGTTGGATGAAAGGTGATTCTGATTTGAACTGTAATGCGATGTCCTCATCATGCTCATATTTATGTTTTGTTTTGTTTATTTGTTGTTTAATGCCGTTCTCAGCAATATTCCAGCTATGTGGTGGAGTCTGTAAATAATCATGTCTGGACCAGACAATCCAGTGATTGACATCATGAGCATCGATCCACGCAATTGGGATACAATGACATGCATCAACCAAGTCAGCAAGTCTGACCACATGATCCCGTTAGTCACCTCTTACGACAAAGCATAGTCACCTTTTACGGCAAGCATGGGTTGCTGAAGACCTATCCTACCCTGGACCTTCATGTGTAGTGTATTGGTAGCGCACTGAGATCAAATTTCTATGAACTTGCAGTCTGTGTGTGATGCAGAACAGCCGATGCAAGCATAGACAGCCAGAAGCGCTACCTATTCCATCCTCCTTCAGATAGGTGTCTCTAGCATACAGCACTGTGTCCAGCATAGACTCAAACAGCAGGAAGTACCCCATCCACTCCGACACAATGATATCCACCTGTCAACAGAGTATTACTCAAGTCAGTGTCAGGTAGTCCTGGACCAGGTCACAATTAGGGTTAAATAGTCTAAACATAGATTATCCTTTACTGTGACATTTTGACTAAATGTTCTTACTCCTTCAGCAGCTTGGCAAGATACTCATTTTCACAAGTGAAACAGAACCATGGTTTCCAGTTTCTTGTGTCAGACAAACTCCAAACTGTGGACACAACCAGGCTTCCAGCTGACACCTCTACACAGTCAAGCTGCTGCCACACAGTCAAGCTGCTGCCACACAGTCAAGCTGCTGCCACACAGTCAAGCTGCTTCCACACAGTCAAGCTGCTGCCACACAGTCAAGCTGCTTCCACACAGTCAAGCTGCTTCCACACAGTCAAGCTGCTTCCACACAGTCAAGCTGCTGCCACACAGTCAAGCTGCTTCCACACAGTCAAGCTGCTTCCACACAGTCAAGCTGCTGCCACACAGTCAAGCTGCTTCCACACAGTCAAGCTGCTTCCACACAGTCAAGCTGCTTCCACACAGTCAAAGCTGCTTCCACACAGTCAAGCTGCTTCCACACAGTCAAGCTGCTTCCACACAGTCAAGCTGCTGCTTCCACACAGTCAAGCTGCTTCCACACAGTCAAGCTGCTTCCACACAGTCAAGCTGCTGCCACACAGTCAAGCTGCTTCCACACAGTCAAGCTGCTGCCACACAGTCAAGCTGCTTCCACACAGTCAAGCTGCTGCCACACAGTCAAGCTGCTTCCACACAGTCAAGCTGCTGCCACACAGTCAAGCTGCTGCCACACAGTCAAGCTGCTTCCAGACAGTCAAGCTGCTTCCACAGTCAAGTTGTCTTCCACACCAGTCAAGATGTCTTTCACACCAGTTAAGTTGTCTTCCACACCAGTCAAGATGTCTTCCACACCAGTCAAGATGTCTTCCACACCAGTCAAGATATCTTCCACACCAGACAAGATTTCATCCACACCAGTCAAGCTGCTTCCACACAGTCAAGCTGCTTCCACACAGTCAAGCTGCTTCCACACAGTCAAGCTGCTTCCACACAGTCAAGCTGCTTCCACACAGTCAAGCTGCTTCCACACAGTCAAGCTGCTTCCACACAGTCAAGCTGCTTCCAGACAGTCAAGCTGCTTCCACAGTCAAGTTGTCTTCCACACCAGTCAAGATGTCTTTCACACCAGTTAAGTTGTCTTCCACACCAGTCAAGATGTCTTCCACACCAGTCAAGATATCTTCCACACCAGTCAAGTTGTCATCCACACCAGTCAAGATGTCTTCCACACCAGACAAGATTTCATCCACACCAGTCAAGCTGCTTCCACACAGTCAAGCTGCTTCCACACAGTCAAGCTGCTTCCACACAGTCAAGCTGCTTCCACACAGTCAAGCTGCTGCCACACAGTCAAGCTGCTTCCACACAGTCAAGCTGCTTCCACACAGTCAAGCTGCTTCCACAGTCAAGATGTCTTCCACACCAGTCAAGCTGCTTCCACACAGTCAAGCTGCTTCCACACAGTCAAGCTGCTTCCACACAGTCAAGCTGCTGCCACACAGTCAAGCTGCTGCCACACAGTCAAGCTGCTTCCAGACAGTCAAGCTGCTTCCACAGTCAAGATGTCTTCCACACAAGTCAAGATGTCGTCCACACCAGTCAAGTTGTCTTCCACACCAGTCAAGATGTCTTCCACACCAGTCAAGATATCTTCCACACCAGTCAAGTTGTCCTCCACACCAGTCAAGTTGTCATCCACACCAGTCAAGATGTCTTCCACACCAGACAAGATTTCATCCACACCAGTCAAGATGTCTTCCACACCAGTCAAGTTGTCTTCCACACCAGTCAAGATGTCGTCCACACCAGTCAAGATGTCTTCCACACCAGTCAAGATGTCGTCCACACCAGTCAAGATGTCTTCCACACCAGACAAGATTTCGTCCACACCAGTCAAGATGTCTTCCACACCAGTCAAGTTGTCTTCCACACCAGTTGATGTCTTCCACACCAGTCAAGATGTCGTCCACCCCAGTCAAGTTGTCTTCCACACCAGTCAAGATGTCATCCACCCCAGTCAAGATGTCTTCCACCCAAGTCAAGATGTCGTCAACACCAGTCAAGATGTCTTCCACCCAAGTCAAGATGTCGTCAACACCAGTCAAGATGTCTTCCACACCAGTCAAGACGTCATCCACCCCAGTCAAGATGTCATCCACCCCAGTCAAGATGTCATCCACCCCAGTCAAGATGTCATCCACACCAGTCAAGTTGTCTTCCACACCAGTCAAGATGTCATCCATACCAGTCAAGATGTCATCCACCCCAGTCAAAATGTCTTCCACCCCAGTCAAGATGTCATCCACACAAGTCAAGTTGTCTTCCACAGCAGTCAAGTTGTGGTCCACACCAGTCAAGATGTTTTCAACACCAGTCAAGATGTCATCCACCCCAGTCAAGATGTCATCCACCCCAGTCAAGATGTCATCCACCCCAGTCAAGATGTCTTCCACCCCAGTCAAGATGTCTTCCACACCAGTCAAGATGTCATCCACCCCAGTCAAGATGTCATCCACACCAGTCAAGATGTCATCCACACCAGTCAAGATGTCATCCACCCCAGTCAAGATGTCATCCACCCCAGTCAAGATGTCATCCACACCAGTCAAGTTGTCTTCCACACCAGTCAAGATGTTTTCAACACCAGTCAAGATGTCGTCCACAGCAGTGAAGATGTCTTCCACACCAGTCAAGATGTCACCAACACCAGCTAAGATGTCTTCCACCCCAATCAAGATGTCGTCTAGAGCAGTCAAGTTGTCTTCCACAGCAGTCAAGATGTCGTCCACACCAGTCAAGATGTTTTCAACACCAGTCAAGATGTCATCCACCCCAGTCAAGATGTCATCCACCCCAGTCAAGATGTCATCCACCCCAGTCAAGATGTCTTCCACCCCAGTCAAGATGTCATCCACACCAGTCAAGATGTCATCCACACCAGTCAAGATGTCATCCACCCCAGTCAAGATGTCACCCACACCAGTCAAGATGTCGCCCACACCAGTCAAGATGTCATCCACACCAGTCAAGATGTTTTCAACACCAGTCAAGATGTCGTCCACAGCAGTGAAGATGTCTTCCACACCAGTCAAGATGTCACCAACACCAGCTAAGATGTCTTCCACCCCAATCAAGATGTCGTCTAGAGCAGTCAAGATGTCGTCCACACCAGTCAAGATGTTTTCAACACCAGTCAAGATGTCGTCCACACCAGCCAAGATGTCTTCCACACCAGCCAAGATGTCTTCCATCATGGCGTACTACTCACCTTGTCGACGGGCAGCTTCACATCTTCAAGTCTGCCTTTCAACAATGTCACCTTGTCACTGAGATCATTCTCCCTAACAAGCAGAAAATGTTTTTTGATAAATCATGCTATTGGTATGTAATGAATATGCTGGTATAAATAATTTGATATGAATATTAAGTCAAAACAAAAACATTCTTTGTTATCAGGCCATCTTGCGGTTGTAACTCCCCCTACCAATCTGTGAAAGGAAAATGCCTGAGAATTAACGTTCTTATTTATTTAAGCCTTAGGCTAAACAATTAATGAGATAATCATCCATATCATTTCATCTATCAGCATCCTTAGCCTTATTTTCAAGGTTAACACTACAGCAAAATAGGTCATTTTTGCACTGGTTTACTTGAAACTGAGTCTCATAAATCCAAATCATAAACAGAATACAATGAAGCAGGGGATTTTAAGAGATCATAATGTGATAAGTCATCTATACATGCCTTACGGTAAAATACTACTAAATCTACACAGCCTTGCATCAATATGACATTTTACATTCCTTGTCGTCATTTCCACAATCAAATCTAGGTTCATGTAACACAATTACGACACTAATGAGTGAGTGAGTTGGGTTTAAAGCCGCTTTTAACATCATTCCAGTCATGTCACGGCGTGTCAGCTTAATGTGGGAGTGAAGCCCGAAGTGATGCAGGTCGCACACGATTACCACTTCGGTGAAACCCACGAGCACAGGTATGTGCTGACAAACCTAGAAACATAATCGGGGCGAACCGGGATTCGAACCCACAATCATAGGTTTCTGTCATGCCCAAGGGACGCAACTCTGCACAGCGAATCGCGGTGCCTTAGACGACTGGGCCACCCGTGCCCCCATGACTCTGATGATGCTGAGGCCATCTTGCAGGACAATTGAGAGCTCAATTTCGTCAACCCATACCTAACTATGTCCATAGCTTGATAAATGATTTCTGACTGGTCAACCCCGATGACAAGTCTGGCGCCAGCCCGTGCTGCGAACATGGACAAGATGCCTGTCCCACAGCCCACGTCCAGGACAACTTTGTCAGCAAACAAGTCTTTGTTCTTCAGCATCAGGTCTCGGTAGCTCTCAGTACGTACCTTGTCCTGAAGAACAAATGTGACATTTTACACTCGGTACTCCACAGAGAGCGGAGCATGATGTTTGATCTGTTCTGTTGTCAAGGGAATAGTGCCCATCTGTTGTACATAAAAGTCATCATAATCATCATCATCATCAGCAGCAGCAGCAGCAGCAGTATTAGCACAGTTAATCTTCACATTGTGTGCTTTGTGAGTGAGTGAGTGTTGTTTAAAGCCTCACACTCAGCAATATTCCAGCTATACGATGGCGGTCTGTAAATAAATGAGTCTGGATCAAACAATCCAGTGATAGATATCATGAGCATCGATCTATGTAATTGGGATAGTGCGTGCGTGCGTGCATGAGCGAGCGAGTGCAGTTTCATGCCTCCATCAACAGCACCAAATGAATGTCACAATGGAGGACAAATGTTACCCAGGAGGGAGGATCAAACCCATTAACAACCACTAGGCCGCAAAATTGGCCTCATTAAAAAAGATGTAGGTGATATAATCGTGTACAACTAATGAAAAACTAAAGATAAACAATAACTCCCCGCCCTGAACCCACATCCAACCTTCAACATCTCCTGGTGAATCCCGAAGTGAGAGTACGACGAGAAGTAGGCCTCATCTTCATCAGCCTGCAGACTCTGTATAGAGGGTGCCGAGTGTGTGACCTTCACCTCTGGTTCAGTGGACATTAAGGTCTTCATAAATGACCTGCAATAGTTTGTGAAGTATTTGTAATCAAACAGTAACAGTACTTACCTTTTACAGACAATCTTGTATCCACCAGTTTCGACAGAACTGACAGAGTGACATGCGTGAAGTCAAAGAAGTAACAGACTGACGTATTAAACAGTCCCTGCTGTATTCCACAGCCAAAAAATACACATTCTCGGGTAATTCTGTAAATTCTGCAGCCAAACGTTGATAATTCTGCATACAATTCTGCAAACTTTTAAGCTTAGTTTTCACGAATATCGTAGTTTTGCGCCTGTTTCACTTGTCACAGGCATATTTATGATAAACTTATCCACAGCTAGAATAACTTATTGAAGTGAACCTGGAGATGATTAGTGTAAACAAACAGACATGCACTTTCGACTCTCATGTTAAAATTCTTCAGTGTATTTCACGAATTCTGCATCATGAGTTCTGTACAAAATATTATTTTCTGCAAAATAGACACAATTCTGCACCGAGTGGGCATTTCTGCAAAATATTCTGCGACAGCGGAATTGCAGCGGGGATGATTTGACAACTTTACTGATAACCTATATTTTCACAAAAACATAACATTTGACCCTAAATACTTCGTTAGAAATGTCTTTCTTCATCCTTCATGTGTTTGAAAATTTGGCCCGCCAAGTATAAACAATATGTTTTCTGAAGTGTACGGTATGTGTGTTGTTTAAAGTCATACTCAGCAATATTCCAGCTGTTGACAAGGGTCTGTCAATAACCGAGTCTGGACCAGACAATCCATTGACTGATATTGTGAGTAAGGTATTCTTAAGGTTCATAATCAGCAAGTTTCAAAGTGTTTTCAAAGTATGGTTATAAATAGTCAAGTCCCTCTAATCCGACATGGTTGGTTGCATATGATATGTCGGATTAACGAGTATGTTGGATAAACAAAATTAAGTAGTATCAACATTTGTGATCGAAAATTGGACAACTACAAAAAAAATCACGATACAAACACGTCATAAAAATTGTTATATTGTTTGCGGAATATGTTTTCTAATCATGCAACCTCTAAAGCTCAACACAAAACCATTGTTACGGGCTGCATGACTGATATTCAAAATACTTTAAATGAATGTCGCCAGTTTGGAACTAGTCCCGCAGAGCTAAGAAAGCTGCTTTCTTAGTGGCTAATGTCGACTTCCTGTTAGTCATTTCATTGGTCAGTCAAAGTTTACGAAAGGTTGTTCTGACGTGACCAGTAATTGGATGTCCTCAGCGGTAGCAAGAACTTGTATCTGATTTTAATGAGATTGAGTTAATCTAAGTTTCAAAGTGTTTTCAAAGTATGGTTATATACACTGCATGTGAGATCATTTCACGACAAAGTATCAAGCTCAATGACTTCTGAAACCTCAAGGGACAATGAATCACCCAGTCCTGACCAAGTCGCAATGGAGTCCCGCTTTGACATACACGGTACATCCAGATGCGAACATTCTCCAAGAACTCAACAATTCCTCTTTATTTGAATCCTTAACATCACAAATTAATCACAACTTCTTTCAATGCGACTGACCTAACTTTCTCCAAGTCTGCGACTGCTCTTCTCAGTTCTTCTTCGGCCTGCTTGGCCCGAACCTCGGCTGTCATAGCTCTCTGTTCTAGCTCTGGGGTGCCACATGTGGCTGAAGTTGTCTCCCTTTGATCTGTATCCCGCTGTATAGAACTGGTTTCCACGGACTCTATATCTGTAAATAACAGTGAGACTAGTCCTCAATACATTGATGCATCACAGTCAATGTTGCTTAATATGTTATATTAATTTAACCATATAAAACAAAATCTTGGTATTGCACAGACTTGTTTGAGAATTCTGTACCCAGGTTAAACATGTTTTCACCTCATGTATAGTCTGGAAGGAAATCACGCACGTTGAGACACCCAAAGCTATAATCCGTATTCGTGCGTGTGTGATTCCCGTGCACCTTTCGAGTTGAGTTGATTGGCTCAACTGTGTCATATGGCCCTGTGATGCAGGGGTAGTAGCATTATGCAGATGGCTGTTTCAATGAATGCTCGTTCCACCTGTGACGAACAGGTCTGGTTTTTGATGAAATATAGTGATAGCTAAATAGACAGATTTTTTATTCATGCACCGATTATCTTTAAATGTAATATCAAGTTATGTATGACTGTTTTATAACCTCATACCAACTTTGACTGGAGTAGGTCCGATAGTTTTTCAGATATTGTAGTAAACGTCGGTACCTTAAAGTACCTTCCAGACTATACATATAGTCTCCTTTCTGGTCACATCTCAAATGCTTTGATAAATTGGCTCAGAGGCATCACAACAATGTAAACAAAGAAGTTGTCATAGATACAATTGCTTGTTATTAGAAAACCATGTGTCTACCAAAACACAACAGGGATTTATCCAGACCCACTTAGAGGACGATATTCAGCCCCATGTCTGCAGTAAATGTCAATAAGAAATTCCAAACTCGGATAAAAATTGATCGCATTCTTGTTAAAACATATATAACTAATAACCTATTTTATGGCTTTGTAGATATAACCTGTATTTTATTGATAACAGGACCAAATGAGGTTAATAAATAACAACAACAATAATAATAATAATAAAAATAACAAAGAGGTTTTAAATAATTAGTCTTATGTAATAGTATTGAATTCAATCTCAAAATACAATGTTAAAATACATCTGATTTTTAGAAAATAAAAACTTTAAAAAAATTCCAATTTTGAACAAAATAACAATTTTCCCCAATTCGCATGCCAGGGGCACTTAGTTTAGAATCTTGGACAAATTCCTGCACGTAGGCGTTCCCCATATCCAGGACTACCTACCGTACTGTAACAGTAGATCGTCATGGTCTGATGGCTGCATGAAGTCATCACTGGCCCAGGGGACTGGTAACGTCAAACTGCTTAGAGACGACGGACTTGGCTTCTGAAAACACAACATCAATACATCATTTCAAATATATGATCATGTTATTCTGACACTGAAAGGCAAATTTGTGGGGGGTTTAGTCATGAGAACGGGCAGGGATGATAATCCAGCAAATACTTAATCACGGCCTAATCTTGATGGAACACAAGAAAGTCACTAAACCATTTACCTGTTTTCTGATATAGTTGATCATCTTGATGTAGCCAATACAGTCAAGGCTGAAGCGTCGAGCAATCTGCAGGATATTCAACTGGTGTGAGTCCTGGCAGTGACGGAATGCCTCGTCTACACTCTGGAGGATACCATCACAGAACAAGCACCTGACTGGCCCATTCAGCATCTCCATTCCCTCTTCCTCTTCATCATCCCACATGCCATCATCCTCTTCATCGTCCGACTCTGGACACCTGGTCCCAATTGTGTTTTCAGTATCTGTAAATATGTTTCACTAATTGTGTGTCGGTTGTAGATACTGTATGTAGATATTTAGTCAACACTTGAAACAATCCATCTTTACGAATTTTCGGTGAGGTAATCAGTTTTAAGGCATCTTAAAAATTCACTCTGTTGGTGGATGGATAAGAGGGGGGAAATGGCACAGCACCAATATCATAAAAAGTCACACTTCTTCCAAAGAATCCAGCGAGTAGCATTTCTAGGTTAGTATAAAGACATACAGTAAACGCTTTGTTTATTTTATGATAATGAGAACTGAGATTGGCTAACTACTGAGTGTACATAAGGCTCATACAGTTATGGAACACTGACATTCAAGCTTTTCGTTGGGTTATTAGCCAAGTCTGTCAATATGTTCTTTTAAATCCAGCATACTACGTATTAGTTGTAAGACCTTAAATGCGATTTATTTTGACAACCAACAAATAAAATAAATTATGGCTGACATGAATTCTTCATGGTCCTTGGCTAAAATCCATCACTGTGATAAATCACACTTAAACATTCATGGTAAATAACTGTTATTATTAACAAGTACATGTCACTTTGAACAAATTCAAGGCTCCTCAAATTATTTTGGTAATATTAAGGCTTTCAAAGGTTGACACTGAACATGCTGAAAATCAAAGTTTTTCAAGAGGGACAAGCCTGTATCAACCTTGGTGGAATAGACTGGATTTCATTAGCAAATATGAAATGATCGTTGTCTTCTTGGGCCAACATTTTGGATAGAATAAGGATTCTCTGACATCTCTCGTCTCACACCGAGCACTCTGACCTCTGCTCTGGTTTGTAATCAAGAACTAACAAACTTTTAAACAATCTACACAAAATCCCAAAGGCCAAGATCAGTGATGGACTCAAAGCAGTATGCGAGTTCCTGCATGTTGTGTTAGCAATGTTTTGGGTCAGAGTCTAAAGCCATATCAAGGAAACGACAATAAATAGGACTTCAGTGTACACCTGTACCCTAATGGTCAAAGCCAGGATATACATGTGAACTGTCTTCTGTGAGGGCATAACGACAATGTATCACTAGTGCCTATATCAAGTTGGTTGGTTGGTTGGTTGTTTACGCATCATTCAGCAATATTCCTGCTATATGACAGCGGTCTGTAAATAATCAAGCCTGGACCAGACAATCCAGTGATTAATGACATGAGTATCGATCCACGCAATTGGGATACGATGACATGTATAAACCAAGTTTGCGAGCCTGACCACCCGATCCCGTTAGTCGCCTTTTACGACAAGCATAGGCACCTTTTACGGCAAGCATGGGTTGCTGAAGACTTATTCTACCCCGGATCTTCAGGGTGTATACCGTGACTGGTTTTTGCACGATCCGGTTCTGTAGACAATCGCCTGGTGTACATAACGAAGGATGTAAACGTGCTTAATCATAACAAATCATGTCTGTCTGTATATTGCATTTTGACGCAGGGAACAGCATTGCCTTGCTGTGAGGGTGACAGCAAACGGGCACTCAATGTAGAGCAAGCCATATTACTATCTACAAAAAGCGTAGTGTGTGTTACTTGCTCAAACACAGACGTGTAATACATGAGTAAACATAACTTGTCTAAAATACGTCATTAAGAATCATTAACACTGCCATCGGTAAATATTTGGCACTGATTTGGACACACGTGTTCCCTTACCACCGGAAGCCATGGTTGTTGACAAGGTGAAGGTCATAATTTGTTTTTAAGGTCAAGGCTGAAGGAGTCGAGGCGAGAAACGTTATCTGTCTTCCAGCCGAAATGATGTCGGTCGAAGAACCAGACAATCATGACAGTGATCATTTCGTGTTTATGGGTACAAAGCCTGAGTATGTTCAAGGGCGTTTCATCAATATCCACACCTATTTTACGGAGAGAAAGTTCGTTTTGAGGGAATTCGAGGCCATACCCAATTTTGAGTCAACAACAATTTCACGGAAACATTTGGTTGTTAAATATTGTCATTATTTCTCAATGCCAAGTGAATTTGAGATTGGGAGAATGATGGGTCAAATGACTTGCATAGGATGTGTTGGTGACATTTTCATTGCCCAGTACGTCACCAGCGACAAACACGCACGGTTTGTAAAATTTGTTGTGATAGACCGACGCTCCAAGCACGTGACAGCATTCGAAGATACCCATCATTTCTTTCACCGCGACTCTGCAACAGTTTCACCTCTTGAATGCCTCCTCAGCCCAGACAAGATGGTGTGTCTGCTCCGACTCCCTCAATCAATTCTCAGCCCAAAGAAATGGTCAAAACTTCTCATTTGTAAGAAGGCACAGGAACAAGATCCTGTAGGACATCAAAATCCCGTCATCGGAACATCACCAAGCAGTTTCAGAGATCGAAAATTCCAGCTTATGTGTTTCGATCCTCAGCACCCTTGCAATTTACTGACGGTATTACTGGATAGCTACTGCTCCAAATGTAAGTTCAGTATGCACGATTTTCAAGTTGGGAAAGACGTGTTGCAATGTTCCAGAAAGCTGTATCTGACAAAACAGGAGAAGGAGAGTGGTTCTGATTCAGATAGTGAGGACGAAGAGTTGAGATACCTCTTCCTTCAAGATTGTTCCATGACATACTGTCGAAGTGGAGACACCATTCTCATTTCTTGCACAGTAATAGACAATATGTCAAATAAATTCTTGAATGTGTATTTTTTTAATTCAACAACTTTGAAGCTCGTAGGCAGTGAAGAATTCAGCTTGAGCTCATTTCAACTGAAAAAACATGAAATGCTTGTGCCAGTCTTTTCTGTCTGTGATTCAAAAGTGACATTCTGGTTAATGGAACGAGAGCAAGCTGAATTCACTCAATTATTTACGTGCAATGTACCAAAACCAATTAATCTGAAGTCATTTTGTCGATCAGTTATTAACCAAGCCATGGCAAGGAACATGTATAGTCAATCTACTTTACCCTTGCCACCTTCATTAATCAAATATGTACACTTTTCTCAGATTGAATGAAAATTCAGTCTGCAGGCTTGTAGCCAGAATATGTCCATGAAATCAGGCGAACACATTTTTATGCAAGTGGAAGAATTAAGGAACAAACAGTAGCTTTTAACAGTATTCCAGTTATATCACGGCATGTCAGCTTAATGTGAGTGGAAAGCCCGATTTCAGTGAGACCCATGGGCACAGGTATGGTGCTGACAAACCTAGAAACATTATCAAGGTGAACTAGGATTCAAACCCACAATCAAAGGTTTCTGGCATTTCCAAGGGACACAACTCTGCACAGTGAATCGCTACAATTCTGAACCAGTTCTCAGTGCTTCAATTTTGCTACAAATTGGAAATTATTAACACTGACAGAAAATGTAAACATAAACATTATTGTCATGTTCAAGCAGGAATAGCTACAAACTATAAGAACAAGTGAAATAAAGTTTACACTAGTCCTTCAGACTTTATTAAACAATTCTGAGGCTGTACTATGTACAAAGTTAAGTTAACAGCTTGTTATAATCTTCTAACTGAATTAGGCCACACTTTGTTTTATTTTATGTTTCACGGATTTATTCTACTTTTTCCACACAAGGTTGGGACCCGTGAAGATCCGGGGTAGAATAGGTCTTCAGCAACCCATGCTTGTCGTAAAAGGCAACTAACGGGATCGGGTGGTCAGGTTCACTGACTTGGTTAATGCATGTCATCGTATTCCAATTGCGTGGATCGATGTTCATGATGTCAATCACTGGATTGTATGGTCCAGACTTCATTATTTACAGACCGCCATCCTTTAGCTGGAATATTGCTGAGTGCGACATTAAAAAACAAACAAACAACACACAAGGTTGGTTGAAATAATGTCAATCATTTATTTATTTATATGAAAGTCATTCTGCCATGGAGTTAAAACTGCAGCTGGTTTCTTGAATCACTGATAATGATGTAGACATGGAACTTAAATATGACATGTTATATTGTATATTACTACTGGGAGACATAATAAAAATATATATTTTTGTTTGTTTTACTTTTTCCCCAGCTGCTTTTCAGTAGGGGCGGCGGACCTGTTAAACGTAAATTAGAAAATGTGTGGCCATAACTTGATACCCATATTTGTGGCAATGTGAACATCTCTAATGTTGTTCCTCTTGGATGAGGTGGCACAGAATTTGCCGCGGTGTTGCTGTGCAGGTATGCATCCTTGGGCACGCCAAAAACCTGTGATTGTGGGTTTGAATCCTGGTATGCCCCGATTATTTATAGGTTTGTAAGCATCATATCTGTTTGTGGGTTTATAACTAGAAAACTGTTTAAAGCGGTGTTAAACCCAATTCACTCACTCCAATGGCTGAAAGTCATTTGTATCAATGCTTTTAAGCCTACTGCCACTTTTGACTTTTATATTGTAGGTATATTCCTATGTCGTAATAACCTCCTGGGTATGAGGTTTTACTTTTTCCTTGTAAGACCTGAGTAGCAAATGAAATTTGGACTTGGTGTTTCAAACGTCCAATGTTCTAAAATCGAAAACAAGAAATGAAACTTTTTCATTATGGACGACGGGAATCAAACCTGCAACCTCACATAACGTGTAAAGTTTTGTAACCCACTGTTTTTCCCACTGAACCAACGGAGCAGGTGATAATTTCTGTCCAATTTTACATGTCATGACTTCAAATGTGTGCATGCTGCAAGTGGTCTTTCTCTCACACAGTTCAATCAAATTACACATCGTATTGTTTCATTATAAGATGTCACAATGTTTTTTTCTGGAATTTCTTGTATTTAGATGGTTCAGAAGTCTGATAAACCACTCCTTCTCGGTTATGGTTGAAAATGTAACACCTCAAGCTTGGGAAAAGACCTCCGGGCCTATGAAAAGGCTTTACAATTGTCTCGTTATAACATGCCAAATGTAAATTGAATATTGTTTCAATTGAACTCTTTTGACGGTTTATAAGCCAGAGAAAACACTACCCCTCGGTTTGGGTTGAAAATGTAAACACTCGAGAGTTGGGAAATCCCCCACCTGTTTAGATTTTCAACTCAAACCTCAGAGGTGTTTTCTCCTGTACTTAACAAATACTGGATTTGAGATCAGCTGATAGTACGCATGCCTCTTGATGGTTGACACCAGGAGATACGTGTCATTATACCACATCAAGTATTGCTTCCAACTAGTCAAACACAGTTGTGTCAAACTTTGATGTGCCAAACTTATGTTTTTCTCAAAGTAAAACTTTGGCCCCTTCGTATTGATTCTTTATTCATCATTTTCGATTGTGTCAGACCTCGGATTACTTGAAGTATTTCTGTAGGTCCCTTCAACTTTGACACAATGTTGTTTGACTGTATACAGCTCAAAATAGTTAAAGAGCATCCACAATTGGAATGTTGTCGGGGGTTCATTAACTTCTTTTGAGTAGTATATAAAGGTCATTAGTGTCAGTTTCCAACTCTTCACTTTGACATAACTATAGTACTGTCAATTTGAATAGTAAAATATTTTCACTTAACCCATGTTCAAATGTTCTCAGGATTTCAAATAGAAACGTTAAAAAAGAAGAACTGGGCAACTTTTTCAGGAATGCTCATCTGGCAATGTGTATACAAGTGATCTACACAGTTTGTTCTATGTATAAAGGATATCTTTTCATCATAAAATTTGTTTGATTTTGCAATTGTGGAATTCTCAAAATATATACATTTTATAATTTACTATAAACTTTCAATTTCAAATTAAATATATAATACATCAACCGATCATCAAAGAAGGAGTATGATGTGGTAGCATATATATTGTAACTATTTTTCAGGTGATTTTAGAGGCAGCAAATCAAAGACTCATAGAAAATCATAAGCATGCCCACAGAAGGTCGTTATTTAGAGTTACTTCCCTTAGTTTACAGTCTTCCAGAAATAACTTGATTGTTTGAGATGTTCAGCGAGGTAGCCGTCACTTGAAGGCTGGCTGTATCGTTATAAGTTCGAGACAAGGGCAATTCGAGGCCTTCTATTACCCGACTTGCTAAGTGATACCTATTGCGGAAAACATCGACTTATTGCCTTCTTCCATCACAGTTTACCATTCCTACCTACTCCTGTCTTCCAATATAATTTGTGAATTATTCAATGGTTGTCTGTGGTAATTTACTGATTTCACAATTTAGTTTGTACATACCAATTTCTTGGTTAACCTTCCCCTTTTCAACTAACACGTACCGGTAGGTGATAATACATGTACCAATAGTATTGTCGGAAGCTTCAGCTCGTATATTTATGTACTTATGTTTACTGAACCAGATTTCTCCTGCTGGTCTCAATAATAGATATATGTAAATCATCTTGTTGTCCAGTGGTGGGTTAAGAGTGTCGGTGTGGGATGCTTTCCTCTCATACTGGGTATGTATCCAGCCATGAAATTAACCACAAACACCTGTTTGGTTGATTTATTTTATTTCTCAGGCAAGCCTGGCGGATGATCTTGTTGCATTTAGTTGCCATACAAGAAAACGTAACAAGTATCGCAGTCTTTCCATCAAGGACCTAAGTAGTCCTGAGCAGAATGGCTCGGTGCAGTTGCTTCAAGAGGCAACGTAATCTCAGCCATTGAGCACATAGTTTCATGGTTATTACAGACAAAATAAGTATGGAAAGGTTTCAGATTGCCAAATCAACGAATAACAAATAAAAGGAGTTGCTTCAATAAATAGTTTCATATTACGCTAAAAAAATAGTCTTGGTTCTCAGGCACAGCCGCATCTTCATAAAGTCTGACACGTGTATAAGCCGATCATTTTCACACACAAGTTTGCCGAAATTAATGTAAACAATATTGAATGGTAAACGGAATATAATATTGTGTGACTTTTTGTTTTGTTTTCACTCCTTGAAGAGTTACCAAGGTGACCACAAACTGCTTCAAATTTGACAATAGGAGATAATTCATCAAAAAAATTCTCTTCAAAGACTGTTGGGAGGCCTTTTCTCAGCGTGATTGAACACAACTGCTTATTTTGTAACATACTAGTGTGGACACACCAAAAGAAGGCTTCCTGTCCGCACTATTTTTCCAAAAGCCAATGCATGAGAACCAATTTCATTTTTAGCCTTAACAGTTTTGCTTCCTACGAGACCAGTATTAGTCCGGTTAATTTGGACGTTAAAACAGAGGCTTCATGAGCATTGTGAACTTGTTTCTTGGACATCTAATCATAAGCAGGCCCAAGTTAACAACAATATCACAAAGCCTGCACTTAGTCTACAGGAACACAGTCCGTCAGTAGGCTAGTGAGCATGTGGTCAGCAATCTATCAATGCTGATACGTGTCCTCTACATGATGATATATAGCTGCAAGCATTGTTACAAATCGTCCATAACTCCATCATAAATTGCTTAACAAAATACTGTTTACACGGATGATACTCATGATTTTAATGTGTTATTATAGGTATCAGCATACATTTGTTATTGTCACATTATACATTATGCACAGTTCTGTCTCAGCATTGCAGCAAAATATGGTTAATCTGTACACAACAATGATGGTAAAAATCTGGTCAAAACTGATGCACCAAACATGAAATTAGTGATTCCTTAGTCAGCTCACCAACTCCACAAAGTCAAAATACTTCATGATAAAACGCCACCTGAAAATTGCCCACTTTAGCCTTATAAGGCAGGGTAAATGATATAAAACTTTGAGAAGAAAAACAAAACACAAGGAAAAGTAGCTAAAGCCTTTTACAGGCAAGAAACATCTTTTACACATTTAACAACTGGGAAGTTTTTTAAATATTTTTTTTGGTTTTTGGTGAGGCTTTTTTCTTAAAATTGTGTCACGTTCACAAGCAACAGCCAAACAAGGATTTCATTTCTGTCTACTACATCATAGGATTTAATTCTCTCACTTGGGCAGCTGACATACACACACATACATACAAACATACATACAAAAAGGGGAGCCATCGGCCTCCATAGAGGAATCAAAGACATAGGATAGGCATTTTGAGGCACAAAAATGTAGAAATGAAAGACACTTTGACAATTAGTGACTATTTTTTTTTTATAACTTAGATTTTTTTTGTTCATCTGCATAAGACGGCAAAAACTGACATCGACTTTAGCTTGTAACTCAAACAGTTGGCGTCCATGGTAGTCGGGGCTGTATAAAGCCTTTTGTGTTATCGGGGCCTTTGGGTGCTCTGATGATCATCATGCGCTGCCCAACCTCGTCCGACATACTTTTCAGCCGACTGATAAGGCGTTCTGGGCGCTGACGGTCTCTGGGGAAAAGAAAAGACATTATGAAAGAATTACTGGTGGATCTAGTAGAACCATTTCAATCTGGCACTTAAGTTTGTAGGAACTTGTAATCCCAACAATATACATATTCTCTTTTCAACCCAGTCTCCTGTGCTTGTATCCCTGCTTCCTTGATAATCAGAATGCCTTGAGTTACAGGCACTGAATCTACACTAACCTTGTATTAGTATGGTATCAGTGTGTGAGTGAGGAAGGTCGCTTGACACTTTTCACACTATTCCAGCAATATTACAGAAGGAATAATGCTGAAGAACTGGCTTCACACATTTCACCTCTCACAGGAATCCCCCAGGTCTGAAGTGGCAAGCAACAGCTTTACCCACTAACCCTCTGGCAATATGAATGACCTGTACAATGGTGTTGTTATGTGATGGTATGATCTAGGGCTAGGACGGGTAACTCAGGTACTCAGGTACTCGGGTCGGGTAGGTACTTAGTAGGACCCTGGTACCCACAGGACTACCCGGACCCGTGGTTAGTCACGTGATATATTGTTTCATGACAAAAATTCACAATATAACTACATGGTTACACGACAATTTTAACTCTCTAATGTTTGCATTTCTTCATGTCTATGAACACGTTCCTTCTTCCCTTATACAAGTTTGAACAAAGTTATAACGTCAGTCAACTTCAGTGTATGCATGACCACCTCATTTTATATGTGTATCTAAATACATTCTGCCAGGGCTACTGTCAAACTATTCCCAATCGGACATTTTGTACCTAACTCTTGACACCAACAGCGGGTACCCAGGTAGGGTCGGGTAATAGGAGTATTGGAACCCAGGTATTAAAATTGGACTCGTCCTAGCCCTAGCATGATCAATACTTGTAAATTAAAACAGTATCTGTGGTAAACTTTATCCAAATAACTGATTCTGATATGGTTAACCACCTTGGGTGCTACCAATGTTTACTTTTTAAGCTGTTGGACAGTTTCAATTAGAGAGCAAGCATGTTCAGATAAGCTTACGTGATTTTCCTGAGACTGCAGGCTGAGTATTTTCCGTTTCTTTGGTTTTGGACAACGACAAACTCCACTTCATCCCCTGGCTGAATTTCAGCTCCATCATGGACTTCTGTCATGTGGAAGAACAGCTTCTTGCCTTCTTCTACCTCATACTGGATAAACCCAAACTGGAAAACACATGTTAACATCAATCACCTTTTCAGATTCGTAAGTCATACAGAAAAATTTACCTTCTTGAAAATTGGAAGTTTTAAAAATTGTACATTAATATGCTTATCCTATCTCACTTCCTACTTTGATCCTGTTGTGGAATGGCCTCAGAACAAAATTTCCAACTTAAACAAAACACCGCATCCAAACACATCCATATTCATCACCACGGTCAATCCGATGATCCATGACATCGCTTGTAGTAGGCGACTGACTGCTGTTGATGATCCCAAGATGTAGGGATTGTTTTAGTAGCAGTCATATCCTTTCTGGACAGCCAATCCTGCACATGAGTATGTTGTGGCGACGACACACTCCATGGTGATCTGCTATGATAGATGCTATTTTGATGACGATCCACAGATGCAATATCCTGTAGATGATGAGTAAGAGAGGCAGAGTGCTGTTGATCTCTACGCTGATCGTTACGGGTAGATTGGGTCGTAGTGTGTAGTTTCACCAAGGCAGAGTCCACCTGTTGGTGATGATCAGTAGCTGACTGTTGTCGCTGTCATTCCAACTAGGTGGGCGTCGACGACGTTCTGAAATGTGCTGTCGACTTGTGTCACATGACTGGTATTTTGTGTCATGCTGACAATCCGATAGTTGGAGAAAGCTGATCCGAAGTTTGATGTTGATCTGCTGGGCATTGATGGCAATCTTGGACAGGTTATCTAGAATGAAGATCCAAAATCCGATTGCGCAATCCTTCAAAGATAAATCCGAACTCAGATAGTTATCCGTGAAAGGTGATCTGGAACAATATTGATCCAAGAATTGATTGCGATCTGCAGAGGAAGGTCGATCCAATAGCAGATTGTGATCTGCTGATTGTCTATCCGAGTGAGAAAAGCAAATTGAGATAGGTGATCTAGAATGACAATGATCTGAGAGTCAACTGTGATCTGCCGATTGTTGAGTACTATCTGCTGGGGCAAGGTGACCCTGAAAGACGAAGTTGATCTGGGTCAGTAGGATGCCTGAATTCCCTGCCGATCTGACAAGGGTATAGGAGAATGTCAACTGGATTCACGAGATCGCCATCACTCCAGGCGACCCAAACTGTTCTGCCGATCTATGTCATTTGATTGCTGAGGTTCATCCACGCGCTGTTGATCAGACTGTGAATTATGCTCCGAGGAAATCACCACATAATCCTCCTTGGTTCCTCTAGTCAGCTCGTGGTGTTTGATGTAGGTGAGAGATCAGCTGAGATCACTCTGTGTCGATCAGCCATATCAAAACCCGGGCATGCTCGTTTTGACGAGAATTTCATCAGTAAGCAGATGTGTGATCCTAGATCTTCTAATAATGACCACCTGGGAAGGTACGTAAGTCCAGTATCATTCAAGGTATCATTTCCTTTCTCTGTGATTTTAATCGTAGTATTTTTGTTGATTTTAACTCTTTGGCTAATCTGTCTGATAATCGCCAGTGCCCAGAGGGATGGTGTAAATCCTGCTGGGGTACCATGTAGGTAGCAGAAGTACCGTAAGTCCCCATGGTCCCTAGTATGGTGGCCTAACTTTGTTTGCTGGCGATCTACAGCCCGTTTTTATATTGTATTGTTTGAATTGTATCTGATTATTTTATTGCTCTAAAACTAGTTTTAAAATTATAATCTGTGATATATTGCTGGTTGTTGTACTGTCCTTCGATGACAGCTTTTAATATATAATATCAATGCCTAACTTGTTCAAGTCACGATATGGCTGAAATACTGCCGATGTGACTTTAAATATTAACTCACTCACTATAACTGAGATTGTTGGTGGCTGTACCTTCAAAGGGGGTTGAAGTAACGTAAAATAATTGTCCCCCTGAGAAGGTATGTAAGTCCCATTTCATTCAAAGTATTTTTCATTTTCCATGTTTTTAATCGTAGGATTCTTGTTGTTTTTTAATGTGTTGGCTTAAACTTACCGACAATCACCAGTAGCCAGAGGGGTGCGTAAATCCTGCTAGGTTACCATGTAGGTAGCAGAAGTATCGTAAGTCCCCATGGTACCTAGTATGGTGACCTACCTTTGGTTATTGGTGATCAATAGCCCATTTTTATTGTGTACTGTTCTGAATTGTAATGAATTTTATTATGATACGCTAGTTTTAAATCTACATCTGTGATAGTCTAGTGTTTTTACTGTCCTTCGTCGACAGATTTTAATGTCTATATGTATTAATATATAACTTGATTTAGTCACTATATGGCTGAAATATTGCCGCTGTGACTTTAAATATTAACTCACTCACTCACTCTAATAATGACCCAGCATAGATGAAACAGCGACCATGGCTGATCTCACTTCTATTAACGTGACACGTTTGGCTTTCTTTACACTCGATGATCTGTGCTCCCAGTCTTTGGACGCAGATTTGGAACGGCGATCCAAATTACGCTGGTTACATAAATAAACACAAAATTCCTCCTCAGAAAGTTCTCTACACTGAGAACAGAGATCATTGTCCTTACATGAGAGTCAAAGCACACATTGTGTGGATCAGATGACGAAAAAGTATGTTTGATAACTTGCAATACGGGCGTTTCTCCATAAAGAATGAGAACATGATGGCCAATGTTCGTAGGTAAATCAAAGCAAAAAACAGCCAAAAATCTTCAATTCTTGAAGGCCTGTCTTGATGAGAAAGAGAATGGCTTGGCTTGGTATACTAAGTGGTCTTGTAAGCTGAGGTTGGGTTGCACGGGATTGATTGGTGCGTGACCCAGATGGACAAGATTGACCATGGTGATGTATAGGGATGTGCCGGGGTGAGGTGGTTTTTGAAGGTGGAATCTTTGTTCTGAGGCGTCTCCACACCAGGATCAAAGAAGGAAGAGAGATACATTATGTGAGATAGCATAAGTTTAAAAATCTGATAAAACTTCAAAACATAAGACTGCCATAAGAATTAAATCTTACTGACAAATCTGTGCTGTTTTATATAAAAACCCATGATATGCTAATTGTAAGTTCATGGCCTGCAATTCTAAGATTCCAGCTATCCTAACAAACAAAGTGAAACCATCTGGAACCTGAGGCCAATAAATTGAGAGGCTCCAAACTGAGCCGTTTTTCAACATGGCCAATTCAAGTAATATTCATATTGACAACTATTGTGAACTTCCATTCAACATTTTCTTGCTTTCCATGCCAAAATAAACCAGAGATCTTTTCAAACAGTCAACATTTGGCGGTTTTTATTCAAGAAACACAAAAAAATATCTGAAACAATGTTATACTGTACCTGTCCCTTGACAGAATCCACCCTGGCTCGAACATACTTCCGCAGTGCTGCTATGTTGACAGCTCGGTGAGACCCAGAGGACTTCACAATAGCAACATTGAACTTGACAATGTCCCCTTTCTGAAGGAAATCACGCTTGTCTGCTAGACTTGTGATTCCATATGGATAGGTGACCATGCTTGGGTCGTCCTCCTCCCTCACCTGCACCAGACCACAGTATTCATCCTGCTCAGGGTTGACGATCCTCATTGGACGGATAATCTTTCCCTGCAGGATACCCTGATCTCGCATCATTTCCTGCAAACATAAAGCAAAACAGGTCCTTGTTTATGCTCTCAATTCCACAGATGAGCTTCTATTATTTGGTGTATTTTACATTTTTCAATTGTGTTTGGCTTACCAATAATACCTGCAGAACAAGATTCTTACTTTAATCTATATTTGTTTGTTATGGATGAGGTTAGGTGAAATAGGGTTTAACGTCGCATCCAAGATTATTGCACTTATATAGCAACGTGCATGCACGTGTATGTGTGGCTGCTTTTACTAGTCCAGACTGATGCGGATTTATAGTGCTAGCTCACTGAGATACCATGCCGCAGTTTAACATGAATACCCCACTCAGACACAGTATACTGACTCCGAGCCGACCAGTCCTTGTTTTAGCCCCTATTCCGAGCGCCAGACAGGGTAACAACAAGTACAATTTTTTAAAGTCTTTTTGTATGATGCAGCCGGGGATCGAACCCCGGACCTTCCGCTCTCCGGGAGGACGCTCTACCACAAGACCACAGAGGCGGTCTGTTATGGATGAAAACAGTACATCATTATCAATCCAGCAAACTCCACACAAACATACCTCTGGTGCAACAGTTCCTTTTGGCAACTTGCGGATATTTTCGGCACTTAATTTGCTGCTTTTTCGAGCAAGGATATACTCTACTTCATCTCCTAGTTCCAGATCATTGGCATCCTTGTCGAACGAACTGCAAGATAATGAACATGTGAATCTCATGCAACATCATCATTTCAAATACAACAAACTCGGATACCAATAACCCAGGCCTTACAGTAAACTCCACCAATGTTACAAGTGCCATTACCATATAACATGGTAAATTTCTATTTGATTCACATCATCCATAATTCTATTACAATACAAGCATCTTTGAGTGTTTGTATGTTGCTAAACTCAGCACTATTCCAGCCATATGATGCAAGTCTGTATATAATGGAGTAAGACAACCCAGTGATTGACATCATGAGCTTTGATCTATGCAATTGGGATACACTGAATGCGTAAAAAAAATCAGTGAGCTTGACCACCCAATCCTGTTGGTTGCCTCTTTATGACATGCACGGGTTTCTGAAGACTAATTGTAACCCGGATCTTCACGGGGTGACACACTATCAACCAAGTCAGCAAGTCAGACCATCCAATCACTTCAGTCACTTCTTATGACAAGCATGGGTATCTAAAGAGTGAAAATCATGGAATACCTATAGTGGAAGAAGACTTCCTTGTCATGTTCTGCATTCTCTATGAAGCCATAATTATCTTTCAGTGTTGCAATAAAGCCCTGACAGCGACCAGTGATGTTCCTCAAAACCACTCGAACATTCACAGCTTGGCGCTTGTTATTGGACTTTTGTTCCCCTATCGAAAATTCAACCTGAAAAATATAATACATAACAAATTGACACCACACCCATTTCAAGAACACGAATAGCAGTACTATTTAAAATCATCTCCACAGGCGCAGTGCAAAAATGTGAGCAAAATATATAAATATAATACAGTCCTAAGGTCAATCTCACCTCCCACCCCCACCCCCACCCCCACTCTGTAATAAATGATTAATGACCAGTCCTTGACCCCAAGTAATTTCATTAGTGATTTTAGTTCCTCACTATTTGCAGTGCCTACATTTAACTATTGATGGACATGTCACACCATAATGATTGGTTTGTGAAGTGTCCTGGGTGTATGCTACCCAAACTTTGTTATCTGATAATGCTTTAGGGATTGAACTGATGATGACATTTCTTGGAGCTCTTGCCCGGAAAGTTAAGTGGAACAACAGACACTTTGACCTGTCCATCAAAAGTTGACATTAATTTGCAACAATACCCAGACATTTTATCACATTAATAGTGAGTGAGTGAGTGAGTGAGTGAGTGAGTGAGTGAGTGAGTGAGTGAGTGAGTGAGTGAGTTGGGTTTAACGCTGCTTTTAACAGTATTCCAGTTACATCACGGCGTGTCAGCTTAATGTGGGTGGAAAGACCCGAAGTGATTCAGGTCTCAGATGTTTACCACTTCGGTGAAACCCACGAGCACGGGTATGGGGTGAACCAGGATTCGAGCCCACAATCATAGGTTTCTGGCGTGCCCAAGGGACGCAACTCTGCACAGCGAATCGCAGCATCTTAGACGACTTGGCCACCTGTGTCCGCCACATTAATAGTAACAAGCAGTGAATCTAATATTGATCATACCTTGTCACCATAGCGGGGAGCCTGTTTCATCTCCACAAGGTCTTTAGTAAAATACGTTATAGATTGGATGGTGCCTTCATAGTCAAAGACAACGTTACCACCCTCTTGTTCTTTGTTCTTGGCTGAAACAGAAACGGAAAATTCACAGGTGAAATATTTTACATGTTGTATCTTGTACACAAAGAACAAACTTAGAGAATGTTCATTAACTATGACTGTGATTTTAAAAATGGGATCAGAATTCTGTGAGCATAACAGACCCAAGCTTGGATCCATATAAAGCTTATCTTTTAAGAGGAGCTGTATAAGAGAAACTGCATAAGTTAAAAACAGACAGAACTCAAGACAAAGAATACCTTGTGTTTTATGAGTTGCAGGCTCTCTATCTACTGTTCCAATATATTTTTCGTTATGAATGGTCAGGAAAGACACAGAACCTTTAGGAAGATGCTTGATACGAATGGCAATCTGACGATTGGAGGCAGAGGGATCCTGAAATACAAAACATGCTATTAACTCAAAAGGCCAAACTTTGTTTACAAAATCTGCGTACTTAAAAAAGCAGAAATAGGGAAAAATGTAAGAATATGAAAAACAGCGGGTTTCCTCTTTCTGCTGACAAGAAATAAATAAAACCTCTTTTACCATCTCCATCAATATAAACATATTAATCAAAATACCATAATTAAAACTGAAAGAACATTCATCTTAAAAACCTTGACACATGGCAAGTCCAGAAGAAAGTGTCTGTATACATCATTGAAACATGTTTTATATTTCCTCAATATTACATCAAATCTGAGCTATTTTTCATAATGTGACAGTGCCCTTGACCTTACACTGATGTCACCCAAAAGTTGATCAATCAAGACCCCACCACAGAGGTCATGTATACCAAGTTTCCAAACCTTTTTCATTGAGTGACCTTGACCTTCAACACAATCCAATCACATGTGCAAACATTACTCGTTGCAAACTTAGGTGGTATACAAATAAGAAGTCTCAATAATAACCTTACAATACTTTCTGAACTAAACTATATACCGGTACTAGTCATGTCATGAGTGAATTACCTTCAAAGTGACCATGACATTTGACACATTCATGGTACATGAAAGGAGTTGATTTCATTACACAGAGTATCGTATCTGATTAGAAACTGCAAGAAGTTTTCATGAATAATATAAAGTTTCATAAAATTTAAGTCATATTTCATAATATATTTTCTACATATCCTTTTTGATTCCTAATTCATATGACCTTCAGTTCAATGCAACCCAACCTCCTCTTCCCTTAGTGGAGGGCAACAACACAAATATACATAATAAGTTCATTTTCTGCAGGTCATTTTTGGAAATAACAAGTAGTATGAAATTATGCATATATCAAGTGTATTTTAAAGTCAGCTCTTTTTTTAATACCAAGTCTTAGTCCTTGCTCAACCACCCAATCTAACCTGCTTCACTATTACAATAGCAGTCACCCTTGGGCTTGCCTTCTCTATTGTTTCTCTGGTCTCTATTGTCTAGCCCCAGCCCCGCCCCAGCCCCAGCCCCAGCCCCAGCCCCAGCCCCAGCCTTGGGCTTGCCTTCTCTATTGTTTCTCTGGTCTCTATTGTCTAGCCCCAGCCCCAGCCCCAGCCCCAGCCCCAGCCCCTTACTTTCAGTGATGGTGCATTATGGCACTGGTCAGTTTGAATTTACACTTGTATTCGACTCTGCATTGAAGCAAGTTCTCAGTTCATTGCTGAAACAATGTAGTCAATTATCACAAGTGTGTCTGACAAATCAAATGATGTATATGATGTTGTGACATGCTAGGGCCCAGTGCCATACACTTGGGCCTCCGCTCATTTAATCTAATGTATTAAACAACTGGCATCTGTAAATCAACCTGCGTTTGCGTGATTCATTCACCAAAACCACTCCGGTTACATAACTAAGACAGTATAACAGCTAATTTTATTTGTCAAAAATCCAATAATGCATCACACTACTGTGTGGATTCTGTATAATGTTACCTGTGCAACAGTAAACTCAAGATCATCCTGTACGTTCACTGCAAATGTTGGATCAAGCAGTTCACTAAAGTGGAAGAACATTCTAGCTTCTCGGTCAGCACACTGGATAAACCCATAGCCTTCTTTCAAGCTCACAACTAATCCCTGAAGATAGAAAAATGGAAATATAGTACATTTTTAGGCAGGCCACAAAAGGTTAATCTATATACTTTATGGTTTATGTTTTTCTTGTACAAGGGTATCCAAAGAACTATCATACAAATGTGTAGTGTTTTGTTTCAATGACATGTTAACAGGTAAATCTAACAATCTAACAAGTTATTGCACACACCGTTTCTCGGACTTCCCCAACAGTATCAAATGTTTCCTCCGTCAGCTGTATGTTGGTTGCCCGCTGGAGTTTATCACGACGGTCAGTTGCAATGTTGAACTCCACAGTGTCACCTTGCTGGAGAGTATAATCACCCTTCTGGTCTTTATCACCAAATGGAATATCCATTGTACTGGAAGAGAACGGGACAGTTGAATCCACAACAACTATGACAACACACTTCACTGACAATGCTGCTCATACAACAGTCATTGTTTCAAAATAGCTAACACAGTTAAACATGTTAAAATCACAACCTAGAAATTAATTTCCTACTAATTGTGTGTGTTTATTGCAGCATTCAGCAATATTTCAGCTATATGATGACAGCCTGCAAATAATGAAGTCTGGACCAGACAATCCATTGATTGATAATGTCAGCACTGATCCACGCCATCTGGGTATGATGACACACAATCATCAAGTCAACGATCCTGACCACCCACCCCATTTAGTCGTCTCTTACAACCAGCATAGGACCATTTCTAACCCGAATACCCACAGGGCTACTAAACTCATGACATTGGAAGCTAAGGGTGTGCGGTATTACTAGTATACCAGTATAGTGAGGTTCACTCTCTCCCCGATACGTATCACAACATCATTCTTATGCTCAATATATCGGGTGATTTCAAATGGCAATTTTTATCATGTGTTCAATGTTAAACACTGGCCAAATACCCAAAGCGTGAATCCAGAGCGTGCATCCATGCCTATTCATTGAATGAGTAAACATTATGTTGTACCATCATCTTGTTTTGTTCCATTTATGAACTTCAATTCATAAACTGATGTTTCAAATTGCTTCTGAATTCAAAATTTAGAATTATGCAATATATCATGAGAAGTATCGCAATTGCGGCCTTGCACATTGTAAAATATTGTGATACACTATAAAACTCAAATACCCATCCCATTGGAAGCATATTTTCATGTCCAAAGTACAGTCTTCAGTGATATAGACGAATGACAGAAAAAGATGCACAGCAAATCTTTTTTGAAGAGCAACAATGAACTGAACACACTGTAAACTGTAGTGAAGCATGGCAATGGACATGGAGACATTGTAGTCAGATATGATATGAAGAGTTGGGGAGTTTCCAACATTATCCCACTATGTTCCCGCAGAGGTACCCGACTTCAGCCTCAGGGGTAGGTTGTGCTTAGCTGTTGATTTAGTAAAATCTAATTATTTTTTTCATCTGTATACTTATCCTGCACAACTACAAATTTACAGTCACTCGTACAGGCCTTATTTTCAACATCTTTTTCAGGTATCAACTTCATCGTGTAATTTCTCAAGGATGTCAAGTAAACTAAATTCTTCCTTTAATAATAATCACAAAATGTATTAAGTTTTGACAATGAGACCCCTACAGAGCTGCATGACTCAGTGGAGTGTCATCTCCCATATGAAGACTCCCTGCTACAATTCATAAACAGACAAGATTTCAACAGACAGTACAATGGACACATACCCTTTAGGTGTTTCATATATAATTCTCCCACCAAGAGGATCACTCTGTCGACGATTGTTGCCATTCTTTAAAGTTTTTAGCACTTTTCCTTGTATCATATCCAGACCAATATCCTCAAATATCACAGTTCCTTCTGGTAAGCGAGATATATCTACAGCAACTTCTTTGCCCTGCAAGGAAATGTCACATGCATCATACACACAATCTCAATCACAATGTTCTGCCGAGGTAGCACAGCGTGGGATTCTCGCAATATTTCATCGATTGGCGCATCATATGTACTCTCAGTGGGACAAGGGGTGCATTCATGTAGATGAGTTTATTTTATATAATGATGGGAGTCACTTAATGTCCCCAAAACTGTTTACATCACAGGACAACTGCTTCAATTATTGAATGTAAATGTCATGATTTTCGTTTCCTCATGCGTCTCAATTTACTATTAGCACCTTTCATTTGACTGAAAGTCACAAATGGTCCAATCTGATAATGCAAAAAATGTTTCTGCTTCAAATGACCTCAGCATCGCAGAATCACGACAAGTTGTGCTATATCACAGCCACCTGTAATAAGAGTCATCAGAAGATGACAAATCCCACCGGTCCCCAACAAATCATCAGACTCATCAGAGAATTTCCATATCAATTTTTAATCTGTCGGTGAAAAGTCTTTCACAGAAACGACACCTACCCCAGCAATTTGAGTCCAAATTGTTTCCATAGAAAAATAAAAAAGCCAAAAATCTGCAAATATCAAAAGGCACCACTTGAGGATCTGTTTGATATACATGTATCTCCCAAGGCTTGTGGAAAGGTATTGAACGTTTTTTCTGTTGTGCTCTGGAAACGAAATCCATCCCCTTATAAGACTAAGTCCAAATTGTTTCCATGGAAATCGAGAAAAAGTAAAATGTCAAATCTGTAAATAGCAAAAGGCGCCACTTCAGGGCCCGATTATCTGCTAATTTTTGCTGAAAAATATTTGAGTTATAATATGCCGGGGGGATAATAATCAAGTCTTGGATAGACAAACCAATGGATGATACTATGAGAAACATCCCACACTCTTGGGGTACGATGACAGTCAAGCAACCAAGTAACTGAGTCTGATCCCCTAATCAAACTGTGACAAGCAAGAGCGTTTGGAACTAACCAGGAAACAATTTGGACCCAATAAACATACAACATCAGTGTATTATCCAGTGTTAGAAACTAACAGCTTTAGCATGTTTAGTCCACTAGTCCTAACGAAAACACATAGCAAAATCTTAAAAGGACAAATTTCTACTAGTCCTTATGATGCTTTTTACCACTGGGCAGTTTGGCAAGGACTATAGGACTAGTGCCAATTACTAACGCTGTTAGCTGTGACTATATTTTCCTAATGTGAGAGCAGTAGATAAAGAGGAAAATCGTAAATTAGTTATCTTATCATAGTTGGAGGCAAAATGAAAGGCATCACCCATGATCTAATAGACAACAGATGATGCCTTGACATATTTTGTATTTAAAATGCATGGAGGATACAGCCCTAAGTTTTTATCACAATCATTGCTTATCACTTACATTTCTATTCTGAACACTAAATTCCACATCATCCCCGAGTATTAGCTCATTGATGTTATCCTTGAATTCACTGTAGTGAAAGAAAATCTCCCTCACTACATCAGCTCTCTCAATGAAGCCGAACGTCTCTTTCATGGAACACACAACTCCCTGGAACCTCTGCTGACTCGGAGGCTGCAGCATCTCGATCTGCCTTGCACGTATGTTACCATTCCTGTATCAAGGAGCAATGAAAGGCGAGTTATGAATCATAACATGGGGATAGTCAGTGGGTTCTTTGAACATTATATAGCATGGTTTTTACAACATTTTTAGTGGTAACAAATATTCCAGCAATATCATGGCAGTGAACACCAGCAACAGCTCTACACAATGTATCCATGTTGGGAATCAAACTAGTGTCATCTCCATAAGGTAATGCACTGTGCTACACCTCCCCTTAACAATCTGAAGATGAGAAAAGCTTTTTGACTTCATCCCTTTTCTGCCCAGTTAACAAGTTAAATTCAGGTATATTTGGGAGCGTTACCTTTTATCTGTGGCTATGTGAAACATGACCTGGTCTCCTGGTTTGAGTTTCACGCCACTGTCCGACAAATCCTCCAGACCATAGGGCAGGAAGAAGCACTCTCCATTATGTTCATAGGTGACTCGACCAAGCCCATCCTGAGTGTTAACAACTGTTCCCTGTGCAATGATAAGCCACAGCCTCAGACCATCTTTGTTCATCTTTGTTGTTTCTCTATTGCATTTTCGTAATATTAAAAATTATTACTATTGTTACAGTTACCAGTGGCTGGTTACAAAAAATGTTTGCAAATGGGAAAATATCTACTTGGACCTTCAGATATGGGAGTCATTTTTTTTATAATTATAGTAATGTAACTAAAGTGATGAGGATAATTGACCAATCCTTTTGCATGACCAGCATCTTGTTTCCAAAGACCCACTGCCATGAAAATGTCAGGCACAATGCAACTAATTCACATCCTTAGACATAATTTATCTTACATTTTTTGCATGCGATGGTTTGGCCACCTGAACAATGCTGCCGACAAAGCGCTCATCACTGAGAATCTCTGTGGTCACCATGCTGTTGTCCACCTTCACCACAGTCACTGCTATAGGCTTCCCCGTCCTCCTGTCGTAAGACATTTGGAATTCCACAGCATCTTCAACACAAAAGAAAACAAATATTGAAATCATCAGGTGTGATGGATAGGCTTCCAGAAAAATTGATTAGCACTATCAAGATTCAAAGTCGCCCTGAACACTGACCAACAAAATTTGTACAACGAAAGATTAATGACATTCTAATGTTTCATAAAGAAAATGTAGGTACCTCCTATTTTCATGGTGTCTATATCACCACTATATTCACTGAAGTGGAAAAAGAGCCTGGCTTCTCTATCACAGCACTGAATAAATCCATAGGAATGCTGGAACAAACAATGCATATCTTCAGACGTGGTAATATCACACATACTTCCATTGTTACATCTCCCAACTATCGTGAAATAAGTCATAACGGCATCAATGCTATAACCATCACTTAATTACCAAGATATGTTATTCTTTGTGCAACATTGCTTCTTACTTCAAATGTCTTAAAACTAGGATCAACATGATCAAAAGGGCAAAATGTCATGTTGGACATATCTTATCAAACAGATTCTTTACAACTATAAAATAAACACAATTTAATATGCAACAACAGTTGTCAGACATACAAATCAGTACTAATCATGCTAATGCTATAGCCTTTCAAATATGTCCAATATTTGAGGTATGCATAGGACTTACTGTTTTATTAGAACTAGCTTCACAACTCTAACTTTTGCCAATACACAGCCTGTATAATGTATATACATCATACATAATCAGTTCATATCATGCATCATGGAATATGCCTTAACCATCAACAATGCTTTATGTAAGAGGTGACTAACAGGATCGGGTTGTCAGGCTCACTGACTTGGTTGATGCATGTCATCATATCTCAATTGCATGGATTGTCTGGTCCAGACTGGATTATTCACAGACCAGTGTCAAACAACTGAGATAATGCTGATAGAGGCGCTAAACAACAAACAAAAATCTTTCATTATATTTCAGTCTGTTACAACTAGTGTTAGTTTCTATCTATAGCTGGTTACTTACCTGAAGTTTGTCAATTATCCCTGTTTCCCTAAGACCATTGTTGCCTGATGTTGGAATATTATTGTAAGATGAAACTATGTTGGGACCCTGATGGAAAGACATGATGGCGGGATCTTGGGCTGGCGGCTGGAATTTCTAATAGTCATGAGAAACAGAAAACAGTGGTAGCAAACTGACATGCAAAAAAAGAAGAAAATAAACATCAGCACAAATAAGAACCATAATGATAGCTTACCAAGTAACTGAATGAATTAGTGAGTTGTGTTTAATGCCACTTTGAACAGTATTCCAGTCATATCATGGCATGTCAGCTTAATGTTGGAGTCTTCCAAGTGAAAGAGAAATGTTTTATGCCGCTTTTAGCAATATTCCAGTACAGTACATTGTATTTCAGTTATTTAAAATTGCATTCCAGCTTAATGGGGAAGAGAGATTTTTGCACATATATAGCAACTCTCTACCACAAGACCACAGAGGTGGTCTAACGTGGAAGGAAAGCACGAAGTAATAGGTCATTGATATTTTTATAGTTTGGTGAAGTCCAAAGACATGGGTATGGTGCTGATAAACCAAGGATCATAATCAGGTCAAAGGTTAAAGATAACAGACACAGTACTGCCACATAACCATAGCTATGTCACCTTTCACACCTTATGTGACAGTCAGTAATTATACAGGATAGGGGTGTCACAATAAATCGAAATATCGATATATTGCTATTGCTAACCACTTAAGAGTCAATAAATCGATTGTTAAATCAGTTTCAGATCAATAGTATTGATTTCAGTTAGGAACATTGGTAGTTTCGATTGTATTTACTGTAGTTTTACAGTTTCAATAAAATACATGCAATGCTGTTCAAATTTGTTTTTCTTTTGATCATGAGTGGTAGTAATTTACACATGGTAATGTGGCAGTTTCTTTTTCTTAAATTATTAGGGAAAAGAAAAAACAAATCAGTCATATCTCAAACTTTACTTTTTATTTGTTGTTATGGTTATCACATTTAACATGTTTAAAGGAAACTTCAGTTCCAAAGTTAAATTCAACTCTAAAATCCATCTATAATGATACACTGAAAACTATCTATATTTATCGTTATAGTTGCTTGCAATATTAATAGTTATCGCAATAGTTGCTTGCAATTCTTTCAATATCAATAGTTATCGCAATAGTGATTTCAAGACCAATAGTCACCCCTAATACAGGATAAATGTAATGGAAAAAAACAACTGTTTAATATGGTTAAGTTAAACCTAACTGTACCTTCCACTGAGGACTATTCATCTTTCTGACAGACATTGGACGAGAAGTTTGTTTGAAGATTCTTGTGTTGATGCTCTGTGTCACTTGTTGTCCTGCTGTTGTCCCTCTATAGTACCTCAGATGTGCAGTGTGTGCTAGTTTTTGACGGATTGGGCACCTGGTTCGTTTGCTTAGGTATCAAAAGGTTTTCCGTAGTTTTCGTTATCTTGGTTAAACTCAACGTTTTATCTTCCCCTTTTTCAAAAAGGAGTGCTGGAAAAACAAAAGAAACACATTAGGATTCATATTTTACATATACAGTTTCGTTTACAAAGGTACACGAACATGAAATGCGAGTGCGAAAATGCTTTTTAATGCCAAAAAGCAATATTCCAGTCATCTCACAGAAACAAGCAAATCCATGTCTTGGGCCTGGCAAACCAGTGGTTGACAATATGAACATCAATCCATGTCATCGGGTACAAAGACACAATCATCTAGGTCACATTTTAGCACCTAATCCATGCGAATCTGCTCTCACAACTACACGGAGCAATGTCAACCTCTTCTTCCCCAAATATCATCACATGAACATGAATGAAATTTGCTAATTAAACATTGGGGCAGTGCTGTCCAAATGATACCATGGCTTCACTTCATTAGAGTGACTGGGTGAGTTTGGTTCAACACCGCTTTGAACAGTACTTCAGTAATAACGACTGAAAGTCCAAGTTAAAACAACTTAGGAACACTGTTATGGTGCTGACAAGATGTGACAACCCAAGATCCTAATTGAGACAAACTTGGGATTCTACCCCACAATCATAGGTGTCTAGCAGTAGCACAGATCAGGGTTGCAACTTGGTATCACTGCCAGAGCAGTCTGTCTTCAGCCACATGTCCACAATCCATATTTAGTCAAATTTATTTCTGTCAAGTATTCTTGGATAATAATAAGTCCACATATGACCACTGAAGTGTACTTAAAATGATGCCAAAACTTACCTTTGGGCCAGTAGACAATTTTATCACGGACTAAAGGACTAGCATTTGCCATATGGGCAAATTTGTACCCAAATAACCAAAACTAAATACTAGGTATTTTTTTTACCAGTTTTTCATCTAGCATGTGATATGATTCAGGAAAGCCTCAGAATATAAAATCATTATCAAAAACATCAAGTATACTGGGTCCTGCCCCCAATTCCCAATAATTTCTAACACTGGGGTCATGTCATCACGGTCATAGCTAGAGGGACCTCAAACCAAAAAGACCAAGCTAAAACTTAAGGAACCTTAATTTTGAAAACTTTAAAAGTATGATAAGTGTGCAGAAAAGAAAAGACTTCAAACTAGCTGCCTAAACTGCACATAGGTAGGGAGGTCACATGATCATCTACTAATGGTACTGACATGGAAGTGAAGGGGGGGTTGTTGTTTCACAGATGTTTAGGCCTAGGCATCCTACATGTTTTGTTTTTGTGCACTGTGTAAATCAACACTTTGAATATGCAAAATAGTGGCCAATGTTTCAAAGTTGTAAAATACAGTTATCCAAAATGTATGCAAACCATTTTAAAACAGCAAAGTAGCTGAACAAAATTTGCTGAGTTTGGCATTTGTCCAAATATCTTGCGCAAAAGAATGGCCTTCGACGCAGCTGGTATTTGAACGACACTGCTCGATAACTAAAGGTAAGAAAAGACGCCTCACTAGCACATCAATGATAAAAGATACTCTTGAGTCTATTTGCATCAATTAAAAGCTCTCAAAACAATCACATATATCACATTCTATATTTTTTTGCGCACCCCAATTCAGCACATCACTGCATCATTGCCGCCATCTTAGGATACCAGTACCCTCTAACCTTACAAAGTATAAAGGAACAAATGTCACCACAGAGAGACATATTTTTCCATTTATAATTAAAGAACCAACTATTAAACACATTTGCCGTATCTAAGAAAACTACATTTATATATACGAGTAAGTGATGTAGATTAGAGAGTACATCACGATATTCGTGACGTCATCAACAACAGGGAAAGACGGAAGAGGTCTTTCACAAGAACTGATTGTTTACTTTCTCAACATTCTTTTAAGTCGTGTGAGTCTGAAGCATCAAAAACGTTTTATTATGACATCGTCTTAAATCTTCATTTTGTGTGTCAAGGGTATAGATGTCACATAGCTTTACCAAATGCAGAGTTATATTTGGCAAACAGATATATCTTCACTCAATATTAGTCTAGAGTCAGAGTCATGGGATTTCTAACGCACCGCTTCATCTGACGATTACTCATTGACAGATTGAAAAAATATCCGTCATAAGTGTCAGTTTAGGTGGAGCAGTGCGAGGTAGGTGTTGTAGTTGGAGGTTTTCCATCAGAAATAATGAATACATCAGAAGTTCATGGTTTTAAGTCCACCAACAGTAGGCTATATATTGTGTTAGTTTACCACGTTTACTGACCACTCATACCAGTTGGATGATCATGATAGGATTATATGAATTATTAACAAATGAAAATGGTGAATTAGACCCCAATGTGCAACCTGTTAGGCCTAGACAAGAGGTGGAATAATTTGATGTTGTATTGGAATGTTGATATTTGACACAGTGAGTGAATGTTGTTTAACACTGCAGGACTTCAGTGATATTCCAGCTATTAAACAGTAGCCTGTAGGTAATTGAGTTTGGACCAATTTTATCAATGGGCCTGTAATTTGCCTGACTATTATTGGAGTATGACAGAGCTCCAGATAAGCTTTTGGTGTTGTGGGTATTTTACCCATGCATTTTAAAATCATTGGGTATCAGTAATTCTATCTGGGTATTCAAATTTCTGTTACCCACTAGTTTTTACACATGTGGGTATTTAATTTAAATATTTAAAAACACTATTCATCTAGGCCCTGCAAAATGGTTTCGTGTGGGTTCGAGAGCTTTATAGGACTCAAAAATACCACGATACTTCCACAAGAAAGTGTGATGGCAAATGATCATGATGTAACTGTCATCGTGGAGTTTGGCAAGGTTGACGGAATGCCTGTTAATAATTTCAAAATAAGTTGCTGATTTGCTAATTGAATACGCAGGGTTACTTCACAATATTTTGATGATATGCACAAGTTTTATTTTTGTAGCGTATCTGTAATGTTCGTTGCATATTTGATACGCTTGGATTTTATTTGACTGCATATTTCTGCTATTCTGATGTGTATTTTACGCAGATACGCAGCTTATCTGGAGCTCTGTATGATCTGTGCAGTGAGCCAGTGAGATCACTGTAGTAACTGAAGCTAAAACTGAAGTGACATTAAAGTTTGAATAGGGCCATGTAAACAATGTCAGGTCAATAGACACTCTGTCTAAATGGTTGGCAAAAACAGAACAGTGACTTCTGGCAAAAAATGTGATGTGTAATATAAGAATTATTTCAAGACAATGAAAGAAATTGAAGGAAAACATTGTTCACCATTTATTTATTTCACAAGAACATATATTCTCAGATTTATACCCAATTATAGATCTAGACTTATGTTTCATTATTCTTATGAGGTTAATAACAACATTCTCGAATTGATGTATTACATTTCTCAATATTTGACATCTCCACACAATAATATACCTGTTCCTCTCTTGATGCAATAATTTTTATTCTCAAATTTATGCACGCAAGAACATTTAAAAAATCTCAGTGATCTTCAGACTGAACTTTCAGTAACAGTGATTTTCTTTGTTTATGTTAATTTTGGCCATTGGATGGGTGAATAAATTACCTGTGTCAGTGAGGTGATTATTAAGATAATTATCTTGATTAATGTTTGACTAGCTGTGATAAGTTCATTACTTATTGTAGAAAGCTTACACATGTTAATGTAAATACTAAGCAATCACATGAACAATGATGAATGTGATATTTGTTTGTTTGTTGTTTAACGCCGCACTCAGCAATATTTCAGCTATATGACGGTGGTCTGTATATAATCGAGTCTGGACCAGAAAATCCAGTGATTGACATCATGGGCATTGATCAACGCAATTAGGATACGATGACATGCATCAACCAAGTCAGCGAGCCTGACCACCTGATCCCGTTAGTCGCCTCTTATGACAATTAGCATACTCAAGAAAATACAGTAGTCAACTTTACGGCTAGCATGGGTTGCTGAAGACCTATTCTGTCCCAGATCTTCACGGGTCGAATGACATATTGAGCATTTTTATACAGTTAAAAAGTTTTGATGCAATTTCATGTTACCTAACCATGCTAACATCCATTTAAACAACTAGCAGTACCATGCTTATTGGTAACCCAAATTACATTGAGACTGGGAAGCTATTACTATGGCCTAAACTTGATCCCTTGCCCTCTTAGAGGTGAGGTGAAATTGGGTTTAATGTCGCGTCCAAGATTATTGCACTTATATAGCAACGTGCATGTACGAGTATGTGTTTGTGTGGCTGCTTGTACTAGTCTGGACTGATGCCGATTGATAGTGCTAGCTCACTGAGATACCATGCCGCAGTTTAACATGAATACCCCACTCAGACACAGTATACTGACTCCGAGCCGACCAGTCCTTGTTTTAGCCCCTTAATGCCGAGCGCCAGACAAGGTAACAACAAGTACCATCTTTTAATGTCTTTTGGTATGACGCGGCCGGGGATCGAACCCCGGACCTTCCGCTCTCCCGGCGGACGCTCTACCACAGGACCACGGAGGCGGTCTGCCCTCTTAGACATACCAGTGTGTTCAGGGGCTTTTTAAAATTCTGTTTAGGGTAGCATTGGCAGTTTCATTTGCATGATTTGAGTGTGGACAGTGGGCTACGTTTAAGCAATATTTCACACTTTGTTTCCAGGTTATTTCATAAACTATTCATTATGCCTCTCGAGTGGTTATTTGGGCGTAAAAAGACGCCAGAGGAATTATTGCGCCAGAACCAGAGAGCTCTCAATAAAGCCATGAGAGATCTGGACAGAGAGAGGTCAAAGATGGAGCAACAAGAGAAGAAGGTCATTGCCGACATCAAAAAGATGGCCAAGCAGGGTCAAATGGTAAGATGATGCATTCATTATTACACAGATATGATTAGCGTGATTATCATTGCAGGTTGAATTTATGTCCAACCTTTAATTATGATTAGTTGAATGAGCGTTTTCCTGTTAAAACATATTTTGAGGATTGTTTGAGGTTAACTGACTGATATTGGAAGATGACAGATGATGTTGATGGCAACAGCAGAATATATTATGCGATTTCCTTTTAAGAAACAATTAGCCATCATCTCTGGTACACAATCAATGAGTCAATCAATCAATCAAATCAATGTTTATTGTTTATTTGTAAGTCCAAATGACCCATAATTCATACAATCATAACAGTACAATTTTGTTACATCGCATTTACATCATATCACCTCAAAATTTGAAGACATTATATAGATATTTCCAAACATGTAGTTCAGGAATTTGTAAGTCTTCATGTCATGGAGAATAAAAAATAATGTCCTTTATCTTTGGTGACATTACACAATGAACAGTTTGCCTCGATATCTTCAATATCACACAGACCTTTTCTACACAAGTAGTAATCATTAGCTTAGTGAATGAAGTGTTGTTTTCATTTAAGAAGATCATAACACCATCCATCTTCCCGGGGAAAGGGAACTAACTCTCTGTAAAAGTCCAGTTTCCACCCTTGCCGAACAAGGCTGGAATTTATGGGCTCGAGAGTTATGTCCCATCTATGTCCCTCCTATTGACTAATCTGATTCCAGCTCTCATATCACTTGCATTTGCTTCAAACAAAATAGTGGCGCCAGTGAAAATGATCTGATCGATAATCAAGATCTATATTGTAATAAAGAGGGTCTTATCTTGCGAAGTGCATCAAAGTACTTGAGCACCTTGATTAGAAACATGAAAAGATTTGGAAAATATCTGTTGACGCCCAGTTGACGGTACGCTTGCTCTGCAAATGCTGCAATCGACCGAAATCTGCACGGTTGTCGCCATATTGTTTACGAACCAAATGTCGATCTTGTTACGCGATTTGGATTGGACTATGCAAAGACTCGTTCGTCCAGCCAAAATATAGCTCCATAATTGCAGCCTAGTTCGTCAAGGACTTATATAGCCAGTTAACTCCCTTGCCTTGGGAAGTTGAAAACCATCATGATGTATGCCTTTTGCAAAGTATGGTTGAATATTAACAGGACATTTATAGCAATGATGATGGCCATTTTTGACATAATAATGTGTTATGTTACAGGATGCTGTGAAAGTGATGGCAAAAGACCTTGTCCGTACTCGGCGCTATGTGAAGAAGTTCATCACGATGAGAGCAAACATCCAGGCAGTGTCACTAAAAATTCAAACACTGAAGTCTAACAATGCAATGGCACAAGCTATGAAGGGCGTTACAAAAGCCATGGCAACCATGAACAAACAGGTACTTGTGGGTCATCTTGACATTAGTATGTTTTAGTATTTTGTCATGATCAACCTGCTGCAACAACAAGGACAACCCAATTCAGTTGTAGGTGTGGAGACTGACGTTTTACCTCCAACTATGTGTACGTCAGAGTCACTGAAATGATCATGTACGAAATGCTCCCTCAGAGCTACAGATAAGCAGCGTATTTGCTTAAAATACCCCAAAAAATATTTAAAACCCAATTACTTTCAATTAACTTGCATACAGAAACCCATGCATTAAATGGAAAACTCAAATTATAAAAACAGCTCAAGTAAATACCCAATGAACCTTTTTCAGCTTGCGTTCAAAGGAGCTAATTTCCGAAACACAATTACGAGCTAATTTACTTTCCGAGTCAAGCCTATATATTTAGAACAGTTATATACATCTAAAACATTATTTCATTTTTTTTTAATCTTTAAATGTTCACTAATTTTGGGAAAAGCCCAATAGAGTGATGAATAGATGAGTGAAAAAATATTCGTTGCCCAATGAAAAATGTAGTAACCCAATTAAAATAGAAACCCTGGAGTAAAAACTCAATTTCTCAAAAAGTTATCTGGAGCTCTGCTCCCTGTATTTCAGCTGTGGAGATCTATAGGTATGTTAGTAGTAGTAGGCATAGTTTTAAGTGAAATTAACAGTGAAATTATATTAATTATAATGAACTGACACAGGGTGGCATGAAAAGAATATTTTTATGGTAATGTGCATAGTAACATGGTATGAACGTTCATGGTCGTGGGGTTTTCTTGGCTAAGTGTTATTGATTTGAAAAAGTGATGTTAGCTTTGCAACTGAGACAGACAGTTGACATGTGAACATGTGAATGTAAATAAATATTTTGAGTAATTTACAGCATTAGAAACTAACAGTTTTAGTCCACTAGTCCTTTTAATGTTACATATAGCAAAACCCTTAAAAAGGGCAAATTTCTATTGTCCTTATGATACCTTGACTATTCAGCAGTTTGGCAAGGACTACAGGACTGGTGCCAATTTTTACCACTGGTTCACAACATTTACCAGTCTTTTCACAAATATGTAAATGGATCTATCACATTTTCAAGTATCAACCATTGAGACAAAGCGAGTCTTCTCATGAGTATTTATGCTGTGGTTGTAGCTGAAGCTGCCTCAGATTCAGAAGATTATGATGGAGTTTGAAAAGCAGTCCGAGATCATGGACATGAAGGAAGAGATGATGAGCGACGCTATTGATGATGCCCTCGGAGATGAGGAGGATGAAGAAGAGAGGTAAGGGAGGCTACACCAAAAATGTAACAGTCAAATTCTATCCAGAAACTTGTAGGTTACTATCCTCCTTAGTTATAGTCCATTGGGACCAACCTGAAAATTATGACTTTCCACTTGCTGAAGTAGTATCTGCTGAAAATGTGCTGAGTTTGATCCTGTGAGGTATACAGTGTCATCAGTGCTGTGTTGGCAATAGTGATATATTCTATGGGATGTTTGTTTGTTTGTTTGTTTGATGTTTAACGCCGCACTCAGCAATATTCCAGCTATATGACGGCGGTCTGTAAAATAATCAAGTCTGGACCAGACAATCCAGTGATTGACATCCTGAGCATTGATCCACGCAATTGGGATTGATGACATGTATCAACCAAATCAGTGAGCCTGACCACCCGATCCCGTAAGTCGCCTTTTACGACAAGCATAGTCGCCTTTTACAGCAAGTGTGGGTTGCTGAAGACCTATTCTACCCCGGAATCTTCATGAGTCTCTATGGGATGTGAATTCTGAGACGATTAAAGCATTTATGGTAAAATTGCTCTGTTGTAGTTAATTAGTCAGTTATCACCATTGTGGATGAAACTTTAAATTTCATTAAAGAATTGCTTGCCACATTGCTTTCAAATTTGAAAAGACTCCTTTCTGAGTGAGTGAGTATGGATTTACGCCGCTTTTAGCATTATTTCAACAATACTACGGCGTGGGACACCAGAAATGGGCTTCACACATTGTACCGATGTGGAGAATTCAACCCGGGTCTTCGGCGTGACGAGCAGACGCTTTAAGTACTAGGCTACCCCACCACCCGATTCCTTTCTGATGAGAAATAGTAGCCAGCTTGATGTTCTAGACAACCAGTTGTTGGACTTCTATTTTATTTGGAAGCCTCCATGGCCGAGTGGGTTGGGTTGCTGACTTTTTGTGCTGAAGATTAGGTGCCTAACCTGTGGGTTCGAATCCTGTTTGGGTTAACACTAAGAAAGTGTAATTCCAGACATAACATATGATATATAGCTCCATGCTTTTAGTGATGTCAGCTAATTTGTACTTTGGGTTATTGTTGAACTTGATTTGTTTCACATGTGACATTGTTTCATTGTAGTGATGCTATCGTGTCTCAAGTTTTGGATGAACTAGGCTTACAAATGGCTGATGAATTATCAGGTAAGAATATCAAAATTTCCTGAAAGTTACAAAGGTTTAATTAAACATCAGAAAATGCTAAGAATAGCATGTATAGATAGACAACTTTGACATTTATGGTTCCCCAGTCACTGAGACGTTTTGGGGATCCGAGGTTGAACTGGTTTCCAGTAAGCTCTGCTTCTGGGTAACAGAGTAGAATGACAGCCAAACATTGTATGAATGTGATCGCAAGCTCCGTTCATACAGCTTGACCCTCACTCTATGAAGATTCATACTCTAATGAACTCACACAAAGTGAAAGTCAATTCTTAATTGTAATTTGGGAAAGTTGGCAGCTATGGTTTGATATATGTTTGAGGATCATTTGTTCTTGTTCTGTAGGTCTGCCAACTGCCAACCAGACTCTCACTGTCGGAGCCGCCAAACAACCCCAAGCTGCTGCCGCCGCTGATGTCAGTGCTGCAGATGCTGATCTTGAAGCAAGGTTAAATAATCTGAAGAGACAGTAAGACTTACAGAATCTGTGGAATGATACAAGAGTGATATTGCCTGAGAGCAACCTCCCTGTCGACAACATCTTGGTGATGACAGCTGCTATGTGATCAAGGACAAACTTGAGTGTAGATTGTCATGGAAACAAGTCATCGGCAAGATAAAGGTCTTGCTCACACAGTGTTGGCATATTGTAGTGTTTAATTAAAAACTACATCTTCAGTTCAGTTCGGGAAAAGAGCATGGTCTGTTTCATAGTCATGAAAGTGGCCGTCACAGAGGGAAGCACTACAAAACAGTTTACACGTTATAACATTGTCAGTTAGCTTAATATAAGATCATTCAAAATGTGTAAGATTCATTGGGGCTTATAAAAACTGTTTCTCCACTTTATGATCGAGTTTCGTTCCAAAGTCCTTCATTTTTCGTCTTTTAAGTTACTCTGTGCATAATTGAGTTTTTGTCTGATTAGTGGCTGTTATCCATCCTAGGGGTTTAGCAATTATGTATAGGTTTAATTAATTTTCCAGTGATGACATGTTAATTCTGTTCCATATACATGGGACCTGTGCCAATGAGTATTGAAGAAAGCTCGTGTTAGTCTGTATGAGCTCACATGAAATGATCAGTTGATAAAGTGTAATGCTTACATGTAATGTTAATGTACAAAGGTTGATATTAGGTGTTTGTCAGTACTGTCATGCCTGCTTGTTAAAGAGACATTGTTATTATGTGTGATTTGATCATATTTATTGATCTGGCATGTTTGGTCAGTAGCATAGCATTAGAATAGGAGGGTATGGTTTCTTTCATAATTAAACATAATACAGAATAAAAATTCCAAAGCTTTTGAGAATTAGAAATAGTACAGTACCTCGGCTACGATGACAATCTGTGATTCCATGGTCACCAGGATTTGAATGTGGGAATATTTTAATACCATGAATACATATGAGCAAACAATTTTATTCAACACCATTGTGCATTTTGGCCCAAATAATCAGTTGACCAGTTGTAGCCTTTAATAAGCTATTTATGAAAGTAATAACTGCTTATTTCGTTATTTCTTCTCGTATATTTGTGAAGAATTTTCAATGTAAAAATGTATTTTTACCTGTGTATATATTAATATGTATGCCTTTTGAAGTAAACACTTTCAAACGGATATGTTGGGATTTATTTATTTGTCTTCATGTCAAGTGTGACATCAGATGTACTGAGCATGTAGTCAAGTCCCAAGTTAAATGGGCTGCATATGTATGTAGCTGCAATAACCTTACATTCTACATATGACTACGCATAATGGGCTTCATCCTAAGAAACTTTGCTGGCATATCATTAGCTGACAATGAAGATCAAGGTCACAGAGTAAATGGGACTCCGCAATGGGCACATTCCCAGTCAAGGTCAAGGTGATGTGATGAGTGACTTTGTGAAATTAGGACTTAAAACTGATATTTGTCAATCATATGAAGATCTGAATGTACTCAATCTCATTAAAATCAGATCTTAGTTCTCGCTATCGCTAAACAAAGATCTGAGGTCACAACGACCTTTCATCCAACCAATCGGAGCGTCGCTTACCAGATCATGAAAGTGACTGTCGGAATGTGTTTTCTAACCATGCAACCACGAAATATTTTACACGGGGTATTCCAAACGACAGTTACGGGGTTTATGATTATATCCATCCAATCTAGGCCATCTATAAGCCATTCCAGTCACACTCATTAATATCCCAGCAATATGACGGCAGTCACAAACTGTCAACTGTCACCTTGTTGATACAACATATACACGTCACATAGACGTTCAGTAGCTGTCTGTAAAAAATCTAGTCTTGACAATCCAGTGATTGACATCATGAGCATTGACCAACACAATTAGGATACAATGACATGTATCAACCAATTTATTTAGCGAGCCTGACCACCCGATCCCGTTAGTTCCTGAAGACCTATTCCAAGCTTCAGGGTGGAAGGAGAACCATGTCTTTGGATGCTGTAAGACGAGCTCACTTGACTTTCAGGTGAGTTAAAATACCAAGAAACAAATACAATGCCATGATTTTATTTGTATAAAATACTCTGTAAATAGGGTAATAAAGATGATTACAATACATGTTCCAATTCTCAAAACGCATGTCTAATGCAAGACAACTTTTTTTTCTGTTCTCATAATCTAAGCCATCCGTTCAAAATTAACTTTTTTTAACAAATCTTTTTGCTTGGATTGCCTTCTTCAACATTCTATACATCATATCTGACGATTATTTTGTAAATCTGGCTTAAATTTTTGTCATAATTTGGACCTATATGAGTGATGAAAACACTAATACATTTATTCCTAATACAGGATATTTAGCATCCCCAAACACACAAGCATGATAACCTCTTTATCATATAATGTCATTCTATAATTCTGTGCTTGAAAATCGCTTTCCCTCTCTCACAAACATTACCTAAACATGCACGCATTAATATTTATTACGTCACAGGGTAAGTGATGAGTCAGTCGGACAGTGACAGTTCCAATATAGTTCCAACCGAAATATGTTTCTTATACAGTGGCAAAGCAACATATACACAAAACAACAATTGTTTTTACTTGCCTCTCGCGGCAATCCATCGGTCTGTCCGCTAGAGTAACTGCCCTTTGTCAAAGGGAAGCTAGTCTAACCCTAATCTATGAGACGTCACAGCCACGTTCAGACGTTGTTGACAGTCAGCCTGTCCTGTCCTAACGTTCTGAAGTGCAGTCAGATGTACACACAGCGACAAAACGAAACAAGGTAACAATTCAAACATATTTTGGCCAAATACAACTATTTTAATTTGTGGAAAAGTTTCCAAGCCGCAGAGGTCTACAAGCACAGATATGGCTACTGATCCCGCTTGGCTAGATCTAGTGCCCTCGCAAAATTGTTTCGCAATTTGTCTCCAAAGTTGCCCAAACTTGTAAAATGCCTTAGCTACGTCACAGTTAGACACTGACTTTTGATATATTAGACTGTTCTTTTGTTAATGATATCAATTATCCCAGTAGTTTCTCCAGACTCCTGATGGTTAATCCTCAATCGCCGAATGACAAGGGCGACGCCATGTCTGTAAAAAGTGAAAGTAGTCCCTATTTGACCTTTGATATCTGCATCTCTATCCGCATATGACCCCAATGGATATCGTTTTTATCCGTTGGCTTTATCCTGCAGAGAACCCTACCCATAATATGATAAATATCTTTTATTATGCCATAAGTGGTGCACTGTTATTGAACAGGAAGAAATGACGGACATGTTTAGTCAGACATTCTAATCATGTTGCATGGTGCCAGAAGTAGATGTGCCACAAATACACATTGAAACACTGTCAATGAACGCTTATGAAACAGGCCATATTAATTTCTTGGACAAATGATTTCTTGTAAAGAAGTGTACGTTTCTTAACTTTGTTTTGTATTATGATGCCTCGTCCACACACTATTGTAGAATGGTACCTCATCCACACCAATAACTAATAGCTGATTATGTAACGTAAGGACCAGTGAGAGAAGCAAACACTCCATTTTCCTCCATCATTTGAACACTACCTTTAATGTCTAGAGTATGGAGATTGAAAATAGAGACTGAAATTATGACATCAAAAGGTTCATATATTGTTAATCCTTTTACTTGATCTGATACAGTAACTCATTTACATGGAGCAGCTCCTGTCAGGTCCACCATTGACTGCCTATCCACTTGTGTTGGCATGAACTCTCTACCAGAGTTCCAGGACATTAAAGGGAAACAACACACCAACTTTGAAAGTATTGAAATATAGAAGGGCTGCTTCTCCGCGGATTAATAAAAAACTTGCTTCTTATGATTAGACTGGTTTGACTCATGTTCGGCACTATTTTCACTGCGCTGGACGAAGCAACACCTATCAGAGGATTGAAACAAGAAACCCAATATCATAAAGGATTTAAAATAGTCACAGCCAAGCTGACATGTGTTTGAGAATGACAATTTTGAAGAACAATTCCAGTATGTACCCCTCTTTCAACTAAAAAGTTCACAAATCTGACAGTGTACAGACAGAATCTGTAGTACTAACAAACACACCATGTTAGTTACTGACATCCACTGCAAAAGCAGCATGTAAACCATAAATTCATTAGAATTGATTGACCCGAATTTCGGTACATAAATAAAAAAGAACTCCTAAAAATGTCGTTATATAGCTTAAACCTCCAGTAAGGCACCAGTCTCTCCTTCATACATGGTACAAGAAGACATCTTTAAACATTTGTGGAACTGTTCTGTGAAGGAACATCTGAGGCAAGCTCGTGGGAGAATCAGGTTTCCAAAATACAAAAATAAGTCGTGTAAGGTTCGCATTTTCCCTGCCCTTTAACAAGAAAAACTATTTGCTTCATCGTTGAAGTTGCAACCCTCACTTTTTCACATCCAGTGCATCAGGAATCTGTAATTGCACACATGCCAAGGGGAGCTAACTCTCATCACAGAAAAGAAACATATATATTTCCTGAGTGTTGATATCAACATTTGAGTATTTTTAGCAGATTCTGCATGCGCCGAGGGTGGAGTGCCCCTCTTATTTTCCGTAAGTCCAGTCAAAGATGGAGGCGGAAGGTTTTCTTCACATTTCATCTCACAAAAGACGTTTTTGTTTTGCATACACATCAAAATCCTCCTTGTTAAGTTTGTACCCCCAGTGCTGTAACGTCTGTCGCACCACTGGCGAGATGCCATGGTTGTCGTAGCCACACCCACTCTTCACACACTTAGAGATGAGATTGTTCCGCCACCGTCCCGTCTTGCCTGCACACCTCAACCACCGCCCAATCTGACGTCTATCATCCTCTGTCCGACGCCCTTGATAAAACCTGAAACATATCAGTGGTTTAAACTAAGCATAGACATAAAGTGGTCCTTGTCATAACCCTAATGTTAAAAGTTACAGATAAAAGGGTCCCTAGATTCATACAGAATCTCACCTGAGTCTCAAGTTATCTGTTCAACGAAGTCATCACCAATGGTTGCTGCCATTTTTTGTGAAGCGGAGATAAAAACTGCGATCTGATTAGATATCGACTTTTTCATTACAAGGGCTACAACTCGTGATCTACGCGAGGTGGTGCCAGGGTCAAGCAAAGAAGAGTAGCCTTGATGTGGCAAGGGTAGAAACTAGGCTTTGATATAGGCTGGTGGACACGCTTGCCTCAGGAAGATGTAGAAACTAGGCTTTGATATAGGCTGGTGGACACGCTTGCCTCGGGAAGATGTAGAAACTAGGCTTTGATATAGGCTGGTGGACACGCTTGCCTCAGGAAGATGTAGAAACTAGGCTTTGATATAGGCTGGTGGACACGCTTGCCTCGGGAAGATGTAGAAACTAGGCTTTGATATAGGCTGGTGGACACGCTTGCCTCGGGAAGATGTAGAAACTAGGCTTTGATATAGGCTGGTGGACACGCTTGCCTCAGGAAGATGTAGAAACTAGGCTTTGATATAGACTGGTGGACACGCTTGCCTCAGGAAGATGTAGAAACTAGGCTTTGATATAGGCTGGTGGACACGCTTGCCTCGGGAAGATGTAGAAACTAGGCTTTGATATAGGCTAGTGGACACGCTTGCCTCGGGAAGATGGTAGAAACTAGGCTTTGATATAGGCTGGTGGACACGCTTGCCTCAGGAAGATGTAGAAACTAGGCTTTGATATAGGCTGGTGGATACGCTTGCCTTGGGAAGATGTAGAAACTAGGCTTTGATATAGGCTGGTGGACACGCTTGCCTCGGGAAGATGTAGAAACTAGGCTTTGATATAGGCTGGTGGACACGCTTGCCTCGGGAAGATGTAGAAACTAGGCTTTGATATAGGCTGGTGGACACGCTTGCCTCAGGAAGATGTAGAAACTAGGCTTTGATATAGGCTGGTGGACACGCTTGCCTCAGGAAGATGTAGAAACTAGGCTTTGATATAGGCTGGTGGACACGCTTGCCTCAGGAAGATGTAGAAACTAGGCTTTGATATAGGCTGGTGGACACGCTTGCCTCAGGAAGATGTAGAAACTAGGCTTTGATATAGGCTGGTGGACACGCTTGCCTCGGGAAGATGTAGAAACTAGGCTTTGATATAGGCTAGTGGACACGCTTGCCTCGGGAAGATGGTAGAAACTAGGCTTTGATATAGGCTGGTGGACACGCTTGCCTCAGGAAGATGTAGAAACTAGGCTTTGATATAGGCTGGTGGACACGCTTGCCTCGGGAAGATGTAGAAACTAGGCTTTGATATAGGCTAGTGGACACGCTTGCCTCGGGAAGATGGTAGAAACTAGGCTTTGATATAGGCTGGTGGACACGCTTGCCTCAGGAAGATGTAGAAACTAGGCTTTGATATAGGCTGGTGGACACGCTTGCCTCGGGAAGATGTAGAAACTAGGCTTTGATATAGGCTGGTGGACACGCTTGCCTCAGGAAGATGTAGAAACTAGGCTTTGATATAGGCTGGTGGACACGCTTGCCTCAGGAAGATGTAGAAACTAGGCTTTGATATAGGCTGGTGGACACGCTTGCCTCGGGAAGATGTAGAAACTAGGCTTTGATATAGGCTAGTGGACACGCTTGCCTCGGGAAGATGGTAGAAACTAGGCTTTGATATAGGCTGGTGGACACGCTTGCCTCAGGAAGATGTAGAAACTAGGCTTTGATATAGGCTGGTGGACACGCTTGCCTCGGGAAGATGTAGAAACTAGGCTTTGATATAGGCTAGTGGACACGCTTGCCTCGGGAAGATGTAGAAACTAGGCTTTGATATAGGCTGGTGGACACGCTTGCCTCGGGAAGATGTAGAAACTAGGCTTTGATATAGGCTGGTGGACACGCTTGCCTCAGGAAGATGTAGAAACTAGGCTTTGATATAGGCTGGTGGACACGCTTGCCTCAGGAAGATGTAGAAACTAGGCTTTGATATAGGCTGGTGGACACGCTTGCCTCAGGAAGATGTAGAAACTAGGCTTTGATATAGGCTGGTGGACACGCTTGCCTCAGGAAGATGTAGAAACTAGGCTTTGATATAGGCTGGTGGACACGCTTGCCTCAGGAAGATGTAGAAACTAGGCTTTGATATAGGCTGGTGGACACGCTTGCCTCAGGAAGATGTAGAAACTAGGCTTTGATATAGGCTAGTGGACACGCTTGCCTCAGGAAGATGTAGAAACTAGGCTTTGATATAGGCTAGTGGACACGCTTGCCTCAGGGAGATGTAGAAACTAGGCTTTGATATAGGCTGGTGGACACGCTTGCCTCAGGAAGATGTAGAAACTAGGCTTTGATATAGGCTGGTGGACACGCTTGCCTCAGGAAGATGTAGAAACTAGGCTTTGATATAGGCTGGTGGACACGCTTGCCTCAGGAAGATGTAGAAACTAGGCTTTGATATAGGCTGGTGGACACGCTTGCCTCAGGAAGATGTAGAAACTAGGCTTTGATATAGGCTGGTGGACACGCTTGCCTCAGGAAGATGTAGAAACTAGGCTTTGATATAGGCTGGTGGACACGCTTGCCTCAGGAAGATGTAGAAACTAGGCTTTGATATAGACTAGTGGACACGCTTGCCTCAGGAAGATGCACTGCATGTATCTTTACTTACAATAGCTCTCAGCCAAAAATTCAGTTTGTTGTTAACAATATTTCAGCACTAAGACAGCAGTTGGAAATAATGGAGTCAGGACCAGACAATCCAATGATTGATAAATGAGCAACAATCTACATTGTTGGGGTTTAATGGCATGTAATCAACCAAGTCCTTCATGCTGCCACCTGACAACCATTGAGTTGCCTCATACAACAGGCTGGGTACCAATTGTTACCTGAACACTGTAGGGTTGTGTGGGTCCAGGGTGCTGTTGTACAAAGCAATCCGAGCACTAAGGTGATCATAACTCCCATACCGTAACACAGACTTACCACAGTCGTAGCCCTAGGGTTGTACAATGGCACCCTGGTATCATATCTACATTACTGCAACCACCAGCCATATGTGGTAATATGCCATATTCCCGAGGCAAAGGAGTTAACTGACTATAAAAGTCCAGTTTTCACCCTTGTTGAACTTCCCTGGAACCCTACAGTTACATTTTGGATTAACTAACGAGTCTATGCATAGTCCAATATAAATTGCGTAACGAACAAGACATACGGTTCGTTAACAACATGGAATTCAACATGCAGATTTTGGATGATTGCAGGATTTGCAAAACATGTGTACCGCCAACTGGGCGTTGATATTTTTACAAATTGTTTCATGTTTTTAATCAAGGTGCTCAAATAATTTGATGCACTTCATGGTGTAAGACTGGTCTTATCACCATATAGATCTTGATTATCGATCACATTGTCTTGACTGGGTGCCGCCATTTTGATCTGATTGATCAATAGGAAAGACAAAGGAGGGACATAACTCGTAATAGCCACTGGTGGCGCTATGATCGAGCCCAAAAATTCCCTTTCATAGTCAGTTAACGCCATTGCCGTTGCCTTGCCCCTGGTAATATGCTCACAGCCAGTGCCACTGACACAGTCAGGTGTTGACCCTACACTCACCTGCAGTACCACTGGAACCAGCCATAAGGGTCTTGTTTATGAATCCAGCCACTTGACTCCCACATGTCCAGGCTGCCGCCACATTTTGCCTTGTATGTGTTGACCGTCTCGTCATATGTTGATGCTGACACCTGTGAGGAAGACAAGACGCCCACATTGGACCAGGAGTGAGTATTACCCTGCGGGGAGACCAATAATTGGCTTCACATTGTACTCCAGTGTGGAGTGAGTGAGTGAGTTGGGTTTAACGCTGCTTTTAACAGTATTCCAGTTATATCACGGCCTGTCAGCTTAATGTGGGAGGAAAGCCCGAGGTGATGCAGGTCTTAGACGTTTACCATTTCGGTGAAACCCACGAGCACGGGTATGGTGCTGACAAACCTAGAAACATTATCGGGGCAAACCGGGATTCAAACCCACTCTCATAGGTTTCTGCACAGCGAATTGCGGCGCCTTAGACGAGTGGGCCACCCATGCCCCCACTTCAGCGTGGAAGCAAACCTGGGACTTTGCTAAGATGAGTGAACACTACAACAACAAGGCTTCTCCTCCGATCCAAGACCAAAAAGGAGCCAGTCTTGCATCTAGCTTCAGAGCATCACACACATCAACAAAACAGCCAGATTAAATTGGCACCCTTTACAGCAGTTCACAACCTTAGAGGCATTTTCAATGTACTTTTGTTGTCTGGTGTACACAACACTGGAATCCAAAATGTACCCTTCCTTGCTCATTTATGCTGAACAATGGTTAAAACATGGCTAGAAACAGCACTTGTTTAAAAAAAATCAATGTAAATCCTGACACTACAGTGACCTCTGTAGCTATGAACATGTGAACGGGACATGGTAGGATTCCTGGCTACCTAATTGAGCACAGTCTGTGACTTAAGGCTCAAAATGAGTCAAGCAAAATCTCTGAAAATGATCCTAAATACTGTTTCATACTCGTAGCAACAGTGTTTGTTTGTTTGTTGTTTAATGCCACACTCAGCAATATTCCAGCTATATGAGTGAGTGAGTGAGTTGGGTTTAACGCCACTTTTAACAGTATTCCAGTCATATCACGGCGTGTCAGCTTAATATGGGAGGAAAGCCCGAAGTGATGCAGGTCTCAGACGTTTACCACTTCGGTGAAACCCACGAGCACAGGTATGGTGCTGACAAACCTAGAAACATAATCGGGGCGAACCGGGATTCGAACCCACAATCATAGGTTTCTGGCGTGCCCAAGGGATGCAACTCTGCATAGCAAATCACGGCGCCTTAGACGACTGGGCCACCCGTGCCCCCTCCAGCTATATGACAGCAGTCTGTAAATATTCGAGTCTGGACCAGACAATCCAGTGATTGACATCAATCCACGCAATTGGCATTGATGACATGCTTCAACCTAATCAGCGAGCCTGCCCTCCTGATCCCATTAGGCACCTCCTACGACAAGCATAGTCGCTTTTTACGACAAGCATAGTCGCTTTTTATGACAAGCATAGTCACCTTTTACAGCAAGCATGGATTGCTGAAGACCAATTCTACCCGGGATCTTCACGGGTCCGTATCAACAGTGAAATGAGAAACACACAGCCAGATTCCCGCACCTGTTTTCCTATATTGAGACCTTGCAGCCAGTCCTTGGGCAGCTCCTTCCATACACCAGAATAGCTCTTCTCTGCAACAAACAAGCATGTAAGAATGGACTTCCATATTTATGAGCTTATGGAGGTATCAATGTGAAAACTGGTGTGCATACTGTAAATCAACGTTGCAGATTTATGAAGTAATTTCTTAAACATAGATAATTATATAAAGCGACAAAACCCTTTCCATTTCCAATACAAATCTCTGCATAAAGCAGAGTTGATTGTACGATTCTGACAACATCATGAGCATGTATGAATCATTATCAAATAGTAATAATACCGGCTGTTGAAGTCCACAATAATAACTTCTCAGGCTGTTTATGTAATCAATAACACAAATGAAACATACAGCCAAAAACACAATTGCGAATGCCATGGAATCACTTGCAATTTATTTATCTAGAAATGAAGTCTTAATCCTCAAACAAAGACCTTGATGAGTAATACATGGGTGGGATCAGTGTGACATGGTGGCCCAGTCTTCTTAAACGGCAATTTGCTAAGCAGAGTTGCATCCCTTAGACTTGCCAGAGCCCTCTGATCTTACCCAGATTTACCCCGATGATGTGTCAAGGTTTGTCAGCGGTGGTGAATATCTAATTTGACCTGCATCACTTTTCTGGTGTCGTGTTACTCCCCAACCCCAAGCTCTCTTAGGGCTGGTACATAGCTACAAGCACCGTAAAACTATACTCACCACCTTACTAAATCATATATGAAACAAACAAGTTTGAATCTTACTTGTAGCACCAGATTTGATTGGTCGAAAATAGGTTCCTCCAAAACTGCCAGCTTGCATAACTTCTTTTGGCGTCATATTTGGTCGGAACTCTGGAATGCCAGCAAATACCATTTCCCCTTTGTTGTTACGTGTTGGCAGACTAGCTGTGAACTCAATCTTTTCATCGCTCTGTTAAAAGATAACATGCAACACAAACTGTGGAGAAAATTCCAGAGAATATAGAAAAAGGTCACGATAAATTTGTGATCTAAACTAAAATTCATTAAGCATTTTGCAGTATGGAAGCATAGTTTTCTATTCATATTCTCACATCAAAGGAATATCACAGCCATGTTACTTTCTATGAGGTCACCTTGCAAGAAATGAAAAGATGCCCAGACGTGTGATAGAAGAAATATGGTATGTGAGTTTCTACACTGTTCCACGCAAAGCATTGGCTATACTGGACACAATGTAGGATTTAAAGTGGTACACTGTCACTTTTATTGCATACTTTTGTCACCATATGCAGCCGTACTGAAAATGTCACTTTTGGCCCTTGCTTATCTGTGAAGATCCGGGGTAGAATAGGTCTTCAGCAACCCATGCTTGCCGTAAAAGGCGACTATGCTTGTCGTAGGAGGCGACTAACGGGATCAGGTGGTCTGACTTGGTTGATGCATGTCATCGATCCCAATTGCGTGGATCGATGCTCATGATGTCAATCACTGGATTGTCTGGTCCATACTCGATTATTAACAGACCGCTGTCATATAGCTGGAATATTGCTGAGTGCGGCGTTAAACAATAAACCAACCAACCAACCATTTCTTCAAGTATGAACGATCCCAGCTATGGAGTCTTTTAGAGTGTGGTCACTGAATTTAATAAACAAAATTCAAACATAGCCACCATTGTTTCTTCATAATTCAGGTGAGCTACAGAGCCTTATTGCTAATACATGTATATGGTATTTACAATACAGAAACACTTAATGGTAATTATCTTTTACTGATATGTCATTTGCACTCAATGGGGCAACTTTAGAAACTGTATTTCAGTGAAGCACTCTATTTATCATGTAGTGCCAAATGATTTGCAGGTGTTTATCTTCAGAATCATCACACATCGGGGAAACCCCTATCTAACTTTTTCTGAAGATTAGCCAAAAGTTTGTTCTTGCAACAGCTAAAGAAAGATCTGAGTGAGTGAGAGAGTAATTATTGCTTAACGCCACAATCAGTAATCTTGCGGCTATTCGCAACTAGAAAATGTGTAATCAGATCACATGGAAATAAACATGACGCTAAACAAAGATCGGAGGACTTCCCATTACAGATCACGTTAGAACAACCTTTCGCAAACTTTGACCGACCAATGAAAAGATTAACAAGTAGTCAATATTGGCCAATCAAAAAACAGCTTGTACATAGGTGTTATGGCCTCTTCCTGCATGTTAATGCCCTATCCCAGTTCAGTTCATTTTTCACAAACAATGCTATGAAGTGTAAGTATGGTGACCACAACACAGCTCCTGAAGTTAATGACTGTGTTAATCTTGTAAACACTGAACACAAGATGTGATAAGAAACAGTGAAAGGCTAATTTCCTCAAACTTTGCATATTTGTACTTTCATCCATATTGAGAACTAAGGACACGGTGATGGTAACAAGGGCCTCTGATTCCAGGGGTAACACTGCACATTGAAATTGGCACAAATTTTACTCAAAAAAGGAATAAAAAATATATACACAATAACACATGAAATACTCTAAACAGTAGTGAATATTGGAAAATATGACACATAAAATAACATCAACACAAAAAGTATTCCTAAAGCACAAGCATATTGCACTTTTGACTTGGTCTTAATTCTCAGGCACCACTCACATCAAACCAAAAACATCCTTAAATATAACAAGTCTAATAGTAGTCAACTACAGTATTCTAGTATTTTACTCATCAAGGAATACATTTAGGTAGGGAGGCTCTTTCTCAGGTTTATTGTACACAATTGTTTATTTGGTTTCACAACTGTTTATTTGGTTACATACTAATTTGAACAAAAAACCTTAAAAAAAACACCGCCCGCACTATATTTTCAAAAAACATTGCCTGAGAACCATTTCTTTTATTTCATTTAGCCTGATATAATTGGAATATTACTGAATATAACACTTTAAAAAAAAAATACATCGGGTTGAACAAGAACAGGCAGAAACCTGTCCTAATTTCTTGTTGGAACAGACAAGAAGGATATTTGGCTTACAATACCAGAAAAGGACAGGAACACAGTGACAAACGTCACTCTTCTACTTTACTAATCCAAATCAGTACATACTATTCTACTTTTGTTCATATTCAGGAAGGCAAGGACAATAGAGTTGCACACATGATATGTCTTTAGGCTATCATTATCTCAGTGAGATTGATAGGGAAAGACAGTGTGTAGTTGCTTCACAGCTAGCCCCAGGCAGCAGCTGATCCCCTCCCAGACACCAGTACTTCCCCATTGAGGTCTCACACAGAGAGCAGCAGAAGACAGGATCTATACACCTGAACCGTGCACGTGCCACGGGGCACTCGTAAACATAGGCGTGCCCTTTTGAATTGAAGTGTGCCAACTAGAAGAAGAGTTTTGATTTATCACTGAAATTGAATGTGATTTCAACAATTATAGAGAATAAGCAGCATTATTACCTATGAGGGCAAACATATCGGGGTTCATAAAAATCATATATGCCTTAGGGTCATATCACGTCACGTGACAACAGTGTATTGTTTCCGCCATCCCGACGACATTGTGGACGTCATTCGAAACTTATTGTGACGTGGGGTTGGAATGATGTCACACTAGAAACGAATGTCATAGCTGAAGATTGTTGTTTTGTCATTCGACAAATTGTGGTTCCGCTGCTGTTGCAACTTTGTTCCTATGTAGACATCTTCTTCGGTTTTAAATAGAAAATTATATGATTGTTCGACACACGCTCAGGAATACCAGAATTTAGACACTGAACACTCCAATAATATCCTCTATGGAGTTTTCAAAGTTTGATCTTTTTCATTGAGATTGAAAATACTCCTTTTCATTTGGCTCACTTTGAAAGTAAATATGAAACGTCAATATCAGAAAACAACCCGCCTTTATTATCCACCGAAACCGATTCCATTGCGCGCAAAAGGCTAAATAAAGTGAAAATTATATGAATTCCGTTATGACACCCGGTGTTCACTGAAAGGGTAAGCATGTCCTGCCTTGGGATCACTCAACAAAATTTCAGCTCCTCAGGCCTTACAGTTTCAGACGAGATTTCAAAATGCAGTGACACTGGAAACATGACATGTTCAACGTCAGCACTGTGGCGGCCATGTTTAGAATTTGATCTGAAATTCTGTGGGCAAGTTTAGAGACACCTTAACCGGGATCATTTCAAGTTCAAATCCATAGGCCTTGTAGTAGTTTCAGAGGAAATGTGTAAAAATGCAGTAACCTTAGAGTGGTTATAACTGGATCAAAAGTCAAAATCATAATAAAAAACAAACAAAAAAAAACAACCACTTGCTGCATATCAGATTTTATAATAATACCTGCAGACATGGTTGAGTTATGGCCAAAAATGACATTTTCAATATGGCCACTGTGGCGGCTGTGTTTAAAGTTGGATTAGAATTCTGTGAGCATTTTTTAGAGACACCACAGCTGGTATCCTTCATACTAAATTCATCTGCATAGGGCTTGTAGTTTCAAAAATGCAAGAGTTAAAGACAGTCAGGTGAGCTAAAAAGTAAAAGTACAAAACTCATACCAAATTAAAGTTCAAACACTGCTGTTACCATGGTTACATCTTTGCCCCAAAATCCACTGCTATTTGAGTATTAATTACCTCTATGTTTGTTTCCTCATCTATCAGCTTGGGGTACGGGGTCTTCTTCCCTCCTTCTTTTTCTGCAACTGTAGTAATCTTTTCTTTCACTTCACGTTTCTTTGGTACTTTACCTGTTTTCTTAACAGACCCTGTTTTTTTAGGAATCTTTGCAGTTTCGGATTCAACTGTTGGTGCTTTCCGTTTCAACATCTGAAACAAAAATAATGTAAGAGTGATGCTTTGTCACGGAAGGGGACACTGGAAATAGGCTGCCTTCAAACCCAGCCTTCGGCATGACGAGCGAACTCTTAAAAGAAATAGTGTAATAAACTACCCCTAAAACAAACAACAATGGCATAGAAACTTAAAAGTAGTTTGTTTGTTGTTTAACACCACACTCAGCAATATTAGAGGTATATGATGGCAGTCTGTAAATGGATCAGACAATCGAGTGATTGACATCGTAAGCATTCATCTAAGCAATTGGGATACAATGACATCATCAACCAAGTCAGAGAGCCTGACCACCCGATCCCGTTAGTCCCCTCTTACAACAAGCATAGCCGCCTTTTACGGCAAGCATGGGTTGCTGAAGACCTATTCTACCCTGGATCTTCACGGGTTGCTGGCTACTGACTGTGGTGAAAGGGTTGTGTTCAAAAGAAACTGGCTTTGCTTTTGGTTCCTGATTCCAATCAGCATGGTTTTGGTTTGCTTTGTTGTTTAAATCCACACTCAGCAATATTCCAGCTATATGACGGCAATAATAAATAATGTAAATAATCGAGTCTGGACCAGACAATCCAGTGATTGATATCATAAGCATCAATCCATGCAATTGGGATCGATGACATGCTTCAACCAAGTCAGCAATCCTGACTACGCCTCTTACGACAAGCATAGTTGACTTTTATGGCAAGCATGGGTTGCTGAAGACCTGTTTTACCCCGGATCTTCACGGGTCCAATCAGCATGGATTGCAAATGCCCCTCAAAACATGACACTATGATGATCAATACTGCAGACATGATATGGCTCCCAACATGAAGGCTGTGTGTTGCAATACCCACCAGGGAATTTAGAAGCTATATCATATAAGACACATGATCAAAAGAATGGCAATGAATTATGCATACCGTATTCGACCCATTGAGCGCCCAGGGCACTTAAAATAAAGACAGAAGGGGTGGGCGCTTATTGGGACCAATTCAGAGTCAAATTGGCTTAAATTCATGGATATTCTTCTGTCGCTGGGGGGCTAGAGATAAACTGTTACTCACGTTTTACTGGTGAACATCTCCTTATTAACCGACAACAAAGATTCTTGACCGTATATAAAAAACAGGTAAGTAAATCTTACTCGGGCATCCGGGGAAAAGGGGGAGCGCTTATTGGGACATAGGTGCTTATTGGGTCGAATACGGTAGCTAACATATACCAATATACCACAGGTTACCCATGAAACAAGAATCATCAGAAAGATGACATATCCCCCCAGCAGCTGTCTGTAAAGTAACCACAAGTAAATGTGCAATCCTGTATTTAATGAGGCAAGAGTTGAATGAAGAAGCATACATTGTTTACCCACAAAAGATCCACCATGGTCGCATCCATATGAAATGGAAAGTAAAACCAGTGTGTTTCTGTGTTGTTTTTTATGCAAACAAATGCCAAATTACAAGAAACAATAACTAAACAAGCGTATAATCAACGAAGTCAGCTATATCCCCCGCCCATTTTAACACGTTATGGTCCCAAACCAGGTAACTGACCCAACATTTCTCTTAGTCCATGTCAAAATAGCTGCAATGGAAATTCTAAAATATACATTTCTAAAACTCCTTAATATCTAATGGCACCAGTTCAGTATGTGCTTTATATATAGACATGCAATGTTTGGCAAGGTAATATTTAAGTTTATTTGTTATACTCCATAAGTGAACCCACCCTATATTAAAACTAAAATCCAACTTGTTGCCATGGAAACGTAAAAAATACAATTCATAAAATTCCTAAATAGCAAAAGGCACCAGTTCAGTATGTGCCTGGTAGACATGCAAATTTTGTAAGAAAGTATTTAACAGTTACGCTCCGGAAACGAACACCACCCTTATAGAACCTAAGTCCAACCAATCTCATTCAAATCAGATCTTAGTTTTCGTTACCGCTAACCAAAGATCTGAGGACATCCCATTACGGGTCACGTCAGAACGACTATAAAATATACACACGATAAATAAAGCAATGCTCAGGTGAAATATTTTCTTTGTGTTGCAAGTAAAAAAAGTGTAAAGGAAAATCGCACAAAACCAAGCAAGTGACTTTTCAAAACTTTGTCACCATTACCTATGCCATGTATGCAAAGATACCTACATTCCATTATTATTTTCAAGACTAAACTTTATTTCAGTTTGTTGATCAATGTGACTATACGCCCTTACACTATCAATAAAAGCGACAAATGCGTTTATGAATGGCTCAGCACAGGTTGTGAACTATATGTTATATGCACCATTAAATATGGGCATTTAAATTCTGGAAAATATATCTATCGTGTATAATACGCACAGACTTCTTTTGTATCATATTAGGCTGTCAGCATAGTCCACAATATTAACGATCTTTCAACTCTGTTTTTTTTTTCTTACCAAAACTATATTCTAATAAGAGCCCCCTTTTTCTAATTTTGAGAGCGCACAAGGCGTTTTTTACATCAATTACGGTATAGAAAAACTGATCATTATATGAAAAACGGATAAGGGGGTAGACTATGGCCTATGTTGACCATAACATCTAGTTTTCTGATAGAAAAATCTCTAATAATACAATTTAAAGGAGCCCAGAGACAATAATAATTTCAAGAAACTAAACTAAAAGCGCAATGCAGGGCTGTATTGGATATATAATTGTTTCAGGGTGAGTATGACCATGATGACAGACTAGGCATGATGAAAACTTTGGTAGACATTTAGAAGTTGGAAGAACAGAAATACATGACACTTATAAAATATAAGGAGTTGCTAAAGATCATACAAAAAAGTGACATGTATTTAGGCATAATGAAATATGAAATACAATTAAATACATTCATACTGCCTGTGAACTCAAACTTGTGTGAACAAACACGGAACAATTCTAAAGGCTGACCAAATGCATATGGCAACAAATATTTACACACTCACTCATTACCTTTATGCGATTATACAACACGATCACCACAAAATCTCGTTTAGAAAAGCACGCGTTTAAAAGCGCCCTCTGTAAACTAAGAACTTGAATAAGTGTAGAAACAAGTGCGTGTTTCGTCGTTTATCAAAGGGACATAACTGCTGTTGTGAAAAGGTTACGGAATGACCCGAATGCTGACGAGTCATTTACGTAGGTTATATAAAGGGACACAACCGACTTCCTTTATGAAGACGGAAGCGACGTAAACAGAGTCAAGATGCCTGGCATGCAGTTTGAGTATGATGAGGAGGGGGGAACTTTCTACTATTTCCTCCTCTCCTTTTGGGGTTTAGTCCTCATACCGGCTACATATTATCTATGGCCACGTGCCAAAGCAAAAGGTAGGACTTTGACATCCATTTTGAATTTCGTATTTTGATGGGATAAATAAATCTGCTACACCCTTACAAAGTCCAAATAAATAAAAACATGGATATCCAATACTGTCTCAGTATCAGACTGTTTCAGGCTAGACTTCTTTTTGTAATTTAAAACTCTGACGTGTACTCTAAGGCTTGGGATTCAGGCATTCAATAAATGGTTATGTATTTGTTATTTTAATGTTTCAATTCACACATATGTCTTGTCCCAAACAGCCAGGAAAGGGAAAACCGCAGATTGGCATATACGTAATACATCAATTATAGTATAAAAACCTAATACTAGCATTGTTAGCATTTACATGACACCTTGAATAATTTAATAATCAGACTTATGAAAATAGTCTTTATGTCAATTTGTAGATTGTACACTCATCGGTTGGCAGGTGGTTAACATCGCTATCATATGTTTTGTAGGCATAAATAATTTCTCAAAAGTTCTATTGGCTCAAGTGAAACTTTCATCCAGTAATAGGGGTGGTGGGGTAGCCTAGTGGTTAGAACGTTCACTTGTCATGCTGAAGGCCCAGGTTAGATTGCCCCTTGTGTATCCTAGCATACTGTGTTTTCGAGCCCCTAAGAAGTGTTTCCCATTACATGCCTAATAACAATCTCAATACACTAAAATAAAATTTTACCTTTGAGAACATTTATGTCCGTTAACACTTGGATGGTCAAAGGACCATGTCTTGTTAATTTTAAAGTGGTAATGCCTTGTGGAGGATTTAGATTTATTTTTCAATGAACAACATGATCAGTCACATGACATAACAGGCAGAAAGTTTACAACCAGCAGCTGATACATCATCGGTGCATACAATTGTTTGCAACTGCATGCAAATTTGTCATCAGATCAAATTTGATCAAATGTGCATTTGTGAAAAGTAAGTTTTGAGGTATGTTTTCATTATCATACTTATTGAATATCTCACCTCATGTAGCTTAATTCGTAACATAAATTCAGCGGCAGGTGGCGAACACTTTGATGTCTTCAGTGGGCTTTGAAACGTCTACCTAGATTTCGTCATTATGCAACTGGTCACATGTTGTTTAGGAGTTCGAAAAGAGTGTGAAGCCATTCGCCCATTTGCTTAAATTACAATATATGAAAACCATACTCGCTCATCTAGTAATAATAAGTGACCGGGTCACAAAAGATAAATATAAAGAAAAAACCCTCTAAATCACTGATGGATCAACTTCAGAAATGTTTCCAAAATGCAATTGATATGTTGGGCTCATTAAAAACATTTAAAAAGAGCTAAATTTGGTTGTGAAATCATATTTTTGAAAAATAATGATGGAACTGATTGTAAACAATGACTGAAGTAAGTAAGGATAAGATATATGGATGACAAACTTCCTTATTACATTTTGGAGCAACATTTCAGAGTAGATTCTCAAACTGTTATCAAGCAAGGGCTTGATAACAGTGTTAGAACCTACACTGAAATATCGCTCCTATTTGTAATAGAAGATCCGGGGTAGAGGAGGCGACTAACGGGATCGGGTGGTCAGGCTCGCTGACTTGGTTGATGCATGTCATCTATCCCAATTGCGTGGATCCATGCTCATGATATTAATCACTGGATTGTCTGGTCCAGACTCGATTATTTACAGACTGCCGTCATATTGCTGGAACATTGCTGAGTGCGGCGTTAAACAAACAAACCAACCAACGACTTCTAAATGCATCTCAAAGAAGTTAATGACTGTACTGGATGTCCATGTTGTATTTATCATGTTTATGTTTACATGACCTCTGTTCTGAAAGGGGGCGGTCGGGTAGCCTAGTGGTTAAAGCGTTCGCTCATCACGCCGAAGACCCGGGTTCGAATCCCGACATGGGTAAAATGTGTGAAGCCCATTTCTGGTGTCCCCCGCCGTGATATTGCTGGAATATTGCTAAAAGCGGCGTAAAACCATACTCACTCACTCACTCTGTTCTGAAAGAGGTTATCTGGTCTATGTTTAAGCTCTTTGTTTTAAATTTCATATTTCCCAGTGACTGGGATGGGTCCAAATTTACTATCCTGGTACCTGCTTCAGGTCTCTTCAGGTTTCTTCATTGGAGCCCTGGCAATACATATTTAGGTGTAAAAAATGATTTGATCATACATACATTGAAGTTGATTGCAGCTTTATCTTTACTCAAACATATAAACAGGAAGAAATGAATGCATATTCAGAAAGAAATACGAACATTAGCGACTTGTAGTGTAACCATGGAGTTGTATTGTTGTTGTCATTAAACAATATATCATGTGACTAACCACGGTCCAGGTAGTCCTGTGGGTAGCCCTATTCTTTACTGAGGTCTATTTTCCTCTTCATATTGTGTCTCTGTTGTCACATGTTGTAATGAAAGTGAGCGGATGCATAGCAAGTCATGTTTGAGGTGAGTGAGTTTTAAGCCACTTTTAGCAATATCACGGCGAGTGACACCAGAAATGGGCTTCACACATTGTACCCCTGTCGGGAATCAAACCCGGGTCTTCAGCATGACAAGCGAACACATTAACCACTAGGCTACCCAGCCACCCCCATTGTTGGGTTGTAGTGAGATGTTAACAATGACAGGTATGCTAGCCAGGATAGATAGGAAAAAACTCTGTACCTGCTGTTAAGGAAGTTATCTGGCATGCCATTGAAATAATATCATCTTGGTTTTTTTCAACCAATATTGGTCATAAAAAAATAGTATTAAACATGATAGACATTCCACATCACTAAAAATCACAAACATGGGGGTTCTTTTGGACTTAGAAAAAAGGAAAATTGTTGAATTCAAGTGTAAGTTTCCAGAAAATGCCTTCCATTTGTCTGATGCAATTCACAACAGCTGTTAAATGTTAGCTTAATTTATCATTTTGTGATGGATGAGAAAACTGAAATGACAGTTTAATGTTTTTTGCTTTCTGTTTCCCGTGTTTAAAGGTCTTGTGTCATCATATAATGGGGTCAGCACTTGTGTCATGTTGTATGGCACACTAACAAAATGACACTAGCATGTTGACATTTAATGATTTATTGACCTTTGCAGCGGTAGAAACTAACACTTTTAGTCCACTAGTCCTTATAATGATAACAAATAGCAAAACACTAAAAAATGGCATATTTCTACTACTTGCAGTTTGGCAAGGACTACAGGACTAGTGCCAATTTCTAACCCTACTTTGGACAGCTGTCTCTTGTTACAGTGTCATGTTTCTTCCTTCTTCTTTTTTTTATATATTCAGCTATTCCAGACATGTAAATTATTACTACCTCTGTAACACACCACTTACTACCTGTGTCGGATCACAGTGACTTTGTAATCAATATTTGCATAGTACTGTCCACATGTTCCCCAAAATCAATGAATGTTCTGCAAACCAGATGAAATAGATATGATATGACAATATGATATATGATTACATAACAGATATAACTTGTTACCTGTCATATAGCCCAGTTGAAATGGGCTCATGTTGCATAAGCATGAATATTATTTATTTTGTCTTTAATCTGCAAACAATTCTGAAAAACCTTGACAAGAGTTTTCAGTGAATTAATTTTCATTTGTTTACCATGGCTAAGTGCTCCTTAGTCTGTCTGAACCACAGTCCCTGAACCATATCATTTTCCTACAGTCCAGCCCTTATGATGATATTGCCCAAAAAGATGCAAGTATAGATTTGCCGCAGGTTCAGAATATCCCATCTCACTGAGGTTCCTTTTTAATTTAAAGGGAGTTGTTTGTTTCCATCAAAATGATATGTTTTCAGAGACTAAGCATTTGTCTTATTCCGTGGATAAACTGTTTGCATGATGTAGGGAACTGCCGGCATGTCACATGCACTCTAATAGAGTTGTGAAATATTGTTTACATTAAAACTTAATTTACATAGCTACAGTCAAATAAACATGCCTGCACTCATGGCAGCCATGCCAGGCCATACATGACATAACAATAATCTCGTGTGTGAACATGCCCCTGTCTGTTCCCTGGACCTGGACCTCCATTGTCTCTACACTGAGCGTGGTCTATCACCTGATGCATTATCTCATGTGCAACATTACTTCGTTCATTGTTGCCCGTGACTGTGACTCGTACCATTTTCTTACTATTACTCAGAACTAAATAATTATCATGCCCATGAAATCATTGTAATATGAGTTGCATCTATTTTTGTCATATGAGGGACTTATTTAAACCTGATGAGGCTGTCATGGCGACTGATTTACGACACCCATTGTCTGAAGAACATTTAATTGCAAAGGCTCATTACCCTGGAGCCATGACATCTATATGCCTTGAAACATTTAATTGCTGTTATTTATAAGATGCTAATCCTAATTGTTAATCCCCATTTTTGTGTACATCGACCGTCTGAAATCCTGAACAGGATGTGCAAGTATGTCACTGATGATTTACTGTTTACATTTATATTTATTACTTACTAAATGTCAGGTGACCTTGGCTATATAAGCCTTGGTCCAGAATGATTGAGAGGAGAGGAAGAGAAGGGGTTTGACTCTCTTACCAAGCAGACCTCTCTCCCACAGCCCAGAGTGTGTACCGACTCTCTGTGGCACCCTCAGTTATTATCTAAGTATAAATTGTAAATTGTTAATTGTTCTTGTAAATAAAATTGTGATTAGTCTCCTGTGACTCCGTCTCTTTGCTGACTAATTCCCCAAGAAAACCAGCACGTCATTTGGAAGGTATTGTTCACCCAGAACAGTTCCATGATAAGGCACTCCACTGCAAGTCTGCAGTAAATGTCTGTAAAACTTCCAAAGTGGGAATTAGGAATCTCCCATTTCATGCAGGGGTCGATATAACTGGTGGCCCTTTGGCCCGGGGCCAGTTAAATTTGCAAAGGGCTTACTGAAACGTAAAGTAGGTGGCCCACCTGGCTAGTCAAAATTTCACCACTTCTCTGTGTATATTTAGTTTTGTTTAACTGGATACAACTTGTGAATCATGTAATTTTGATGAGTAAATATTTAGGACGATGAGGCCGTGGTTAAGTCAAAGAAAAATGCATGTCGATCATCTCAATAAAATGACTACTGGCTGCCGTTTTGTAATGTTGTTTACAACAGCAGGATTTCTCAAATTTCTTGAGCCCCTCAAGGTAACTCAGTCGCTAAGCTTGCTAAAAGACCTCGAGTTTGGCAAGTTCAGGGACTCCATCATTAGTTGGTCAGTTCGTTTGATGAATGGCCAGACACTTTCGAAAAGGAGAAAGCTCTGCTGGCTACCAATTTGTTGTTAAATCTCCCCCTCTTCATGTAATAATATGCATGACTGATCCTCTGATGTTACAATCTCATTAAAATCAGATCTTAGTTCTTGCTATCGCTAAGCAAAGATCTGAGGACATCCCATTACGGGTCAAGTCAAGACAACCTTTCATCCAAAGTGTCGCTTACCGGATCATGAAAGTGACAGTCAGAAAGTGTTTTCTAATCATGCAACCTCAAAAACATTAACACTGGGTCTTCCGAACTACGGCTACGTCCCGTACAACTTATTCCGTAAAAATTATCGTATATCTCTCGCTTCCATGCGATAAACATTTGAAAGGAGAAGGCGTTGCACAGTACGTGGGAAGCGCTGCCATACAAGCTTAACCAAAAATTAGACATTCCGGAATGTTCGCTTGTACATATTTTTCAACTGTAGTCTGAAATGGAAGTTGCCAGGTTGAAATGAGTGTCGGAAAGCTCGAGAAAGCTGCTTTCTTATAGGCTGATGTCTACTTCTTGTTAGTCGTTTCAGTGGTCAATCAAAGTTCGCGAAAGGTCATTCTGACATGACATGACTCGTAATGGGATGTCCTCAGATCTTTGTTTAATGGCAGCGAGAATTTAGCTCTGATTTTTATGAGATTGCTGATGTTATGGCTATTCTTGTTTTTCTCTGTTATCACGTCCAGTGATGAAGGGGCTTTAATGCTTAGTTTTGACATTATTGCACTGAATGCAAATTTACCATACTTCCGAATTTAAGAAAATCCCAGTTTTGTAGAAAATAAAATTGTGTCAATTTGCTTTGTGTGGAATCATAGATCCGTCTCTACATAGTTCATAGTCTCACATCATTAAAACAGAAATGAGTAGAAGATGGTTTATTTACATTTTTGGCTTGTAATTACATTTGTACAGATATTCCAAATATCAACCATTACTGGTACTGTCAAAATATACCACTGACTGAAAATAAAAGAAAGAAGGATAATTTAGTAAAATCTACACAGAAATCCTTCAAAATTGATTGACAAAATGGTGGAAATGCTGATGTGATTTGTCTCTCCTGTACTGGTAGTTATCTCCCCTGTATCCATGATTATGAAATAGTGGTGACTGACCATGCTGAGTAGTATTTACTTCAGTATGTAGAAAATACGACCTGCGTGTACAGTCACCCACAAACACTTTGGCTCCCGATATATCACAATACATCATAATACATTATCTAATCCACAGCCCAAGCAAGTGCCCCTAGTAAGACAGTCCATATTGCCCTGTGTCTAGTGCAGATTATTGACAGCAAAACAGCAGTGTAGAAGTTTAGTGTAACTGTTTATGATAAAATTGTATTTCTTTTTTTTTCCCGTTTCATCAACAAATTTAACTTGTGTTCGGTTTCAATAAGCTCCTTTTAGTATGCTTCAGACTTCCCATTGTCAAGGTTATTTATCATACCCCGACCTAAAAGGGCGAGGTATATAGTTATGCCACGGAATTCCGTCTGTCCGTTTGTCCTTCTGAGGACATTTTTGTGTGCGACCTATAACTTGAAAACTACTTTGTAGATTCTTTTCAAACTTACTGAACACTTTCTATACCAATAGGAGGGGTGCAGTGTGAAGTTTGATTTCAATATTTGAATTTTCTGAAAACATACAGCTATTTTTATCCCCCGCCGCGCGAAAGCGCGAAGCGGGGGATATAGTATTCACGACCGTCCGTACGTACGTCCGTACGTCCGTACGTCCGTACGTCCGTACGTCCGTCCGTACGTCCCACCTGTTTGTTGCCGCGATATCTCAAGAACTAAACACTGGATTGTCTTCATATTTGGAACTATGGTGTATATACAGACTCCGCAGACACCAGTCGGTTTTGGTGACCTTGATCCCATTTTCAAGGTCACAGCAGGCAAATCTGCTTTTGGAGTTGGAAAACGGTGTTGCCGCGATATCTCAAGAACTAAACACTGGATTGTCTTCATATTTGGAACTATGGTGTATATACAGACACCGCAGACACCAGTCGGTTTTGGTGACCTTGACCCCATTTTCAAGGTCACAGCAGGTAAATCTGCTTTTGGAGTTAGAAAACGGTGTTGCCGCGATATCTCAAGAACTAATCGCTGGATTGTCTTCATATTTGGAACTATAGTGTATATACAGACACCGCATACACCTGTCAGATTTGGTGACCTTGACCCCATTTTCAAGGTCACAGCAGGCAAATCTGTTTTTGGAGTTGGAAAACGGTGTTGCCACAATATCTCAAGAACTAATCGCTGGATTGTCTTCATATTTGGTACTATAGTGTACAGGCGGGGGATATTTCGTCACTCTGTGACAAATACTTGTTTATTTTTATCTTAGAATTGTTTTACTTTACCATTTGTGCGACCTATAACTTGAAACTAGTGCCTGGATTCTTTTAAAATTTAGTGAACAGTTTCCATACTAAAAGAAGAGGTACAGTGAGAAGTTTAATTTTGATGAGTGGATTATCTGAGAAAATATTGCTTTCTTCATGTTTTGAACTTGGAATGGTTTTTTTTGGCTTCAACTTTTGTAAGACCTATAACATGGGAACTACTGCATGAATTCTTTTCCAAGTTGGGGTACAGTATCTATACCAATAGGAGAGTTGCATTGAATTATCAGAGAAAATATCCCTTTTTCATGTTTCGAAATTAGAAATATGTTGGAGTCAAAGTCAGGGGTATTAGTGAGTCGTGCTCACTTTTTGCCTTTTTTTTTTTTTTTTCAACACCCAACACATGCCAGGGGTAGAAACTAGCATGTTTAGTCCACTAGTCCTTATAATGATAACATATAGCAAAACCCTTAAAATGGGCCAATTTCTACTAGTCCTTTTGATACCTTAACTATTGGGCAGTTTGGCAAAGACTACAGGACTAGTGCCAATTTCTAACGCTGCATGCTCAAGGAACTAATTTTGCAGAATGTATGCTGACTGCTCCTGGTGGTGTTCTGCCTCTGAGTTAGAATTGGTCACAGGAACCTAGGCTGGGTGAAAGTTAAACCTTATGGATTTGGCGATCAGGCTCGGTTGATATCTACCCAGATGATATTGATTGTTGCTCATAATATCAATCACTAGATTGTCTGGTTTGGACTCAATTGTTAACAGGCTGCCAACACATCGCTGGAACATTGCTGAGTGTTGTGTTATGCAACGAACAAACAAGTGTTTTTTGTTTTCATGTTAATGTCCCCAGACGTTTGTTAACAAGTTCCACTTACTTCCAGATGAAATACAACAGTCGCGGGTCCAGTGTAGCTGTGAGCCGTGTCAGCTGAAGAAGACTCTGCTCAAGTCCAAGGACTCCTGGTTCCATGCAAAGGACAAATCCCTGTGAGTAGACTCAACCGTTGTCATCTTCCCTTAGCGTGGTAATGTCTTGCATGTAGATGTGATCAAGTTTGTCATCTTCCTTTAGTGTGGTAATGTCTTGCATATAGATGTGATCAAGTTTGTCATCTTCCTTTAGTGTGGTAATGTCTTGCATATAGATGTGATCAAGTTGGTCATCTTCCTTTAGTGCGGTAATGTCTTGCATGGCGATGTGATCAAGTTTGTCATCTTCCTTTAGTGTGGTAATGTCTTGCCCATGGATGTGATCAAGTTTGTCATCTTCCCTTAGCGTGGTAATGTCTTGCATGGCGATTTGATCCAGTTTGTCATCTTCCCTTAGCATTTTAATGTCTTGCATGGCGATGTGATCAAGTTTGTTATGTTCCCTTAGCATTTTAATGTCTTGCACGTCGATGTGATCAAGTTTGTCATCTTCCCTTAGCATTTTAATGTCTTGCACATGGATGTGATCAAGTTTGTCATCTTCTCTTAGCATTTTAATGTCTTGCATATAGATGTGATCAAGTTTGTCATGTTCCCTCAGCATTTTAATGTCTTGCATGGCGATTTGATCAAGTTTGTCATGTTCCCTTAGCATTTTAATGTCTTGCACATGGATGTGATCAAGTTTGTCATCTTCCCTTAGCATTTTAATGTCTTGCATGGCGATGTGATCAAGTTTGTTATGTTCCCTTAGCATTTTAATGTCTTGCACGTCGATGTGATCAAGTTTGTCATGTTCCCTTAGCATTTTAATGTCTTGCACTTGGATGTGATCAAGTTAGTCATGTTCCCCTAGCATTTTAATGTCTTGCATGGCGATGTGATCAAGTTTGTCATGTTCCCCTTAGCATTTTAATGTCTTGCATGTCGATTTGATCAAGTTTGTCATGTTCCCTTAGCATTTTAATGTCTTGCATGGCGATGTGATCAAGTTTGTCATGTTCCCTTAGCATTTTAATCTCTTGCACTTGGATGTGATCAAGTTTGTCATGTTCCCATAGCATTTTAATGTCTTGCATGGCGATGTGATCAAGTTTGTCATGTTCCCTTAGCATTTTAATGTCTTGCATGTCGATTTGATCAAGTTTGTCATCTTCCCTTAGCATTTTAATGTCTTGCATGGCGATGTGATCAAGTTTGTCATGTTCCCTTAGCATTTTAATATCTTGCACATGGATGTGATCAAGTTAGTCATGTTCCCTTAGCATTCTAATGTCTTGCACATATATGTGATCAAGTCTGTCATCTTCCCTTTGCATTTTAATGTCTTTCATGGCGATGTGATCAAGTTTGTCATCTTCCCTTATATTAGTTTGTGCATAGATATTAGAAGGAAGGTGATGGTGAATGAAGTTCATTACCATGATAATAGTGTGTTAGTTTTTGTAAAAGGTTTAACTTAAAATGGTAAATGGCTAATCTGTAATTCAAAATGATACTTAGTAAAATTGGCATGGTTTATGTTGGTTGCTTTCATCAGTCATGTCAATAGACGCCGTTCTGCATCTCCGTGTGAAATTATATTTCCTTGTTTTTTTTTGTTTCAGGAAAATTGGTTTGATAATTGGCTGGCTGATCTTTTTCCTGTTGGCCTACAAAGTGTCAAAAATACAGATGGACTATGTGGAATACGACCCTTTCCAGGAACTTGAAGTTGACAGAGTGAGTATTTGGATGATAGTGTGCCAAACTGCTTTTCAACAAAACAAAAACAATACATGTTGGCCATATGATCAGTATGATGACCGAACTAATTGGGGAAACTATAGTTTGGTGCTGTGTCGTTGCTGAGGTCCAGTTATGGTGTAGCTATGGCCATAACCAGGTATACAGCATGATCAACTTTCATTTTTCAGTCCTGCTTATTTTTGTTCAGAAAGGAAACATTGATTTCTGAACAAGATATACAAAATCAACTTATAGTGGGGAATTTGCAGAAATGATCAGTCAAGCAATATTACCACGATCAATAGTGGTTCAAGCGAGGGGAATAACAGCAAGTGTTCAGACCAATGTGTGTTGTGATGAAATCGGCAAATTTCATTAAATGTTCTGTAATCTTGCTTCAATGTCATGCAGTGGTAGGGCTCCCACATAGTTGATGCTGCATGGAGGAGGGGTCATTTGACTTCCATGAATTATACACGGCCTTATATCATTGCCTGACTGAAATTAGACAAGCATCGATATTAACCCGCTTAGGGACCGCATTTGGATCGATGCTCGTGACATCAATCACTGGATTGTCTGGTCCAGACTCGATTATTTACAGACCCATCAAATAGCTGGAATATTGCTGAGTGCGCCATTAAACAACAAACAAACAAACTCTGCTCTTGTCACTGTTACACCACAAAGGGGCCACATGTATTCATGGGTGATGGAAGGAACGTGTGTATATAAACCCATGGAGTATTGACAATTAACGTTTACCAACTATGTCTACAGGGTGCCAGCCCGGGAGAGATCAAGAAGGCCTACAGGAAGCTTAGTTTGATTTACCATCCCGACAAGCAAACTGGAGACCCCAAGAAATTTATGAGAATAGCCAAAGCTTTTGCTGCGTGAGTACATTAACTTTAATAAGTTTAGTGTTCGGTTGCAAATGAACTTAACATGTATCAAAACGTATGTTTGACACATCTAAACATGCTAAAATGAAAACCCATTCGGTTTATGTCCTAAGCATGCTAAGTGCAATATATATCATGTATACAATAAACTGCGGTTATAACGAACTCAAAAGGACCACTAATTTTAGTTCATTATAACCATTGTTTGTTATAAGCATATATACAGCAAATATACAGCAAATGGACTGGATCAAAACACATTTCATCATATCCGTAAGTGTATTATAAGCATGTTCGTTATAGTTCGATAGTATACTGTACATCTAAAGAATTTTTAGGTTTGGGTTTTCCAAGATAGCTTAGTTATAATTTTGAACTGAATTTCTGATATTTCTTCATTAAACAGACTGACAGATGAAGAGTCTCGCAAGAACTGGGAAGAGTATGGAAACCCTGACGGTCCTGGAGGTAAGAGCTGTGAACACGGTGCAGTCTTCTGAATTGTAGAAGACAGGATAGAGTGATTGAGTTGGGTTCAACACCACTTAGAACAGTATTTCAGCACATTTTGTCCCGGTGTGTCAGCTTGTTGGGAGAGGACACACAAAGTGATGCAGGTCTTGGATGTTTAACCACCAGCACAGATGCTCACAGACATGGAAATGTAATTAGGCCAAACCAAATTTTGAACACTTGATCATAGGGTCCTGGAACACCTAAGGGACACAACTCAGTAAATTAATGGATCGAAACTAGAATTAGTGATTTTTCTATTGTGATGATTATCCATGATCCACTAGGTATCCAGTACCAACTAAGTGCTAGACTTCAAGGCTGTTTACCCTATGTTATAGATACTGTGACTTGACAGATGGCAAGTAGCATGTCAAGTCCTGTTCAGATTCAAATTAGGTGTTATCAATATTTGGATACGAAGATTTCCAAGTGCATGGTTACCCCTTGACGTATCCCACTGACAACAAATGTTTGGGTTGCAATTTTGGCAGAATGTACTGATAAGTCAAGGTTACTTTTTTAAGTTTATAATGTGTAAAAGTGGTTTCCTGTTTAACACATGATACCTTGCTCACGACCTAATACATATCACGATACTAAGGCGCCGTGATTCGCTGTGCAGAGTTGCGTCCCTTGGGCATGCCAGAAACCTATGATTTTCGGTTTCAAATCCCGGTTTGCCCCAATTATGTTTCTAGGTTTGTCAGCACCATACCCGTGCTCGTGAGTTTCACCGAAGTGGTAAACGTCCAAGACCTGCATCACTTCAGGCTTTCCTCTCACTTTAAGCTGACACGCCGTGATATAACTGGAATAATGCTAAAAGCGGCGTTAAACCCAACTCACTGTCTCACTCTTATCTGTGGTGCGTAGGATGGCCATATATCTGGCACACTAACGATTTACTGTTGGCAGTGTTAGTATGGCGCAATGGATGAAAATATTTATGTTTTCTCTACTCATTTTCACTAGAAATTAGTGTTTGGTGTAACATTAATTAAAGAATACACTTAAGGTAAGAATCAGTACTTTTTACTTTGTGTGCGATTGAAAAGTCAGTGTACTAATCTTGAGTATGGTTGCGGTCCTTTATCTGTCCATATCTGATGACTCTTTATGTCACATGTTCTGCATGACATTGGTTTCAGCTACCAGGTTTGGTATTGCTCTGCCCAAGTGGATTGTAGAGAGAGAAAACTCCATGTGGGTAAGTAGCCCCTGATTAGCAAGCAGGAGCAGCAGCGTATAGGGCGTTTCCTGCATATATTTGACACAATAATTTCCTGAAATATTCTCAAAACTTTTTTAAACAAGTCATAACTGACACAATACATTACTGACTACAGTTTTAATGTTGATCTTCTGACCTGAACCTCCTCTAGATAAAGGATGGACTATGTATTCTAATGTATTCTTAGTAATTTCTAAAATGACACTTGTTGCATAGATAACTGATATAAAATAGTGTATTAGTGTAAACTCAACTGTATTAGTGTAAAGAAAGTCATAACTCTCAAATCTAGAAAAAGTCCCCACTCTCAAAAATATGTGCTGAGTCATCATTTTCTCAAAGGCTATGTAATGCCCTGTTTCCTGGTGTATGTGAGGTAAGCATGTGGTGTGTGTTGCAGGTGCTTGCTGCCTATCTCCTGGTGTTCATGATCCTAATGCCGATCATAGTGGTAAGTGAAACAACCTCCAACTTGCCGGGCCTAACGAAATGTGTAGGCCCTGGGGCACCCAGCAGGATAGCTCCCAGTCTGATTTACCACAAAAATACATTTGTAGCAACATGTCACAACAATATGTTGAGAGTCATTGTCAATTGTTTTGATATGGATGTTTAACTTTTATTATTTTGACATATCACCATGTAAAGGTAGCATTTACATTACCATAATCGTATTGAGCCTTCATCTCACAAGCCAACCAAAGAAAACCAGCAGAGTCCTACTACACTATTGAATACAGTAAACTAGGGTTATGACAAACTCAAAGGGACCACTAAATTTTAGTTTGTAATAACCGTAGTTCGTTATTACCATATATACAGCATATACACAAAAGGCTGGGTCAAAAAAATCAGTTGGTGATATCGGTCAATTCGTTTTAAGCATGTTCGTTATAAACGTAGTTTACTGTATGTTCTCACTTTGAATAGAAGTAGCCGCACAAATTACAAACAAGACACAATCCCCCCAAAGTGTGCATTGTAATGTTTAATCCTCCACAATTCCCATGGAGACCAACTAACCGAGTACGTGTGATGATTTACTGTGTTTGGTTCCCTTGAAAATGGGGAGGGTTTTATTCAATACGATGTAACCATTATGTGTCTTGTTTGTAGTTTGTGTGTCTACTTCTGCTTCCACGCTGTACATTTCCATAGTTTGCTTGCTGATCTGTGGAAACATATTAACAGTGTATACATAAGATGTGTTTGAGGGGCGGTTGGGTAGCCTAGTGGTTAAAGCGTTCGCTCGTTACACCGAAGACCCGGGTCCAATTCCCGACATGGGTAAAATGTGTGAAGCCCATTTCTGGTGTCCCCGTTGTGATATTGCTGTAATATTGCTAAAAGCGCGTAAAACCATACTCACTCACTGACGTGTATGAAAAAGAACTCAATGAATTATGCAGTGACTTTCATTGATTGAAAAGTTGTAATAAAATCTCCTGTTCGGTGTGTCTGTACCAGCATTATGACATCTTCTTCCACCAGGGCATGTGGTGGTATCGGTCAATCAAGTTCAGTGGAGATCAGATCCTGCTGGATACCACCCATCTCTACTTCTACTTCATAAGCCGAACTCCAAACATGATTCTCAAACGTGAGTTCACAAGTTTACTGCAGAAATATTAATACCTGTATCTGTACCAAGTAGGATATGCCTGCAGCTGTCTGTGTCCACTTTGAGTGAGTCTGCTGGGAATGCTAATGCTGTTTTCTATCTCTACCTTGAGAGTTGGGAAATACAGTTTGTCTGTAATTTATGTATTTGGATAATTTCTATGACTTCTTATTTTGCAGTTTGTAGATGGACAGTGATTTTTAACAATACGATGCTCATTTGTTTTCTATCATCACTTCTCTTCCCCAGGTGCTGTAATGATCCTGGGAGCATCATTTGAATTTGACCGCTTTCACAATGCTGAGATCGCAAACAGACCAAGTGACAATGAAGAAATTCCAACAGTTAGTCTTGATTCTTTTTTACTTTTTTGACAGATCAACCTTCAGTGTGTGAATGTTTTATTTGTTTCCGTATTTTACTGTGTTTGCAGGTGATGTTTTGTATTTTCATCTGTGACTGTTTACATATGTTGTGTTCCCATGTGTGACTGTTTACATATGTTGTGTTTCCATGTGTGACTGTTTACATATGTTGTTCCCACATGTGACTGTTTATATATGTGACTGTTTACATATGTTGGGTTCCAACGTGTGACTGTTTATATATGTGACTGTTTACATATGTTGTGTTCCCACATGTGACTGTTTATATATGTGACTGTTTACATATGTTGGGTTCCAACGTGTGACTGTTTATATATGTGACTGTTTACATATGTTGGGTTCCAACGTGTGACTGATTGCATATGTTGTTTCCATGTGTGACTGTTTACATGTTGCGTTTCCCTGTGACTGATGTTGCGTTCTCTGCTGCAGCTGATGAAGCTGTTGCCGAACATCCAGAAGGAGAACAAGAAGCCGCCGCTGTGTTACCCGTACAGCATCAAGGCCCGCGCCCTCATCCTGGCTCACTGCCAGAGGATGCCCCTACCCCCTCTCAGCCTTGACCTTGGTAAGTTACAACTTACATACATCTGTTTCAACACATAGCCTCGTGAAAAAATATGTTATCTTTTTTCATCATCCTTGAAAAGATGCATCTTAAAGTTTAGTTAGATAAATGCCTTTTATTGTAAATTGTTCTTGGAACTGTGTTCTGTTGTATTGTTTTACTGTCATGTGTTTTTTGTTTTGGTTCCTCAGACAAACAATACATCCTGAACAAATGTCCATACCTCCTGAATGAGATGATCAACATTTGTGCCCAGCAGGTTGCCATGGCAATGGCAGGAAGATGTAAGTGTTGCCAGGATGTCATTCTGTGCCCACCCACTCAACCCACCCGATGAACCCATCCACCCAATTCACGACCCCTCTCAGCATGTTTAAATGACCCACCCACTCAACCTGTCCACTAATTCCTCTCAACCCACCCGATGAACCCATCCAACCAATCCACGACCCCTCTCAGCATGTTTAAATGACCTGCCCACTCAACCTGTCCACTAGTTCCTTTCATCCCACCCGATGAACCCATCCACCCAATTCACGACCCCTCTCAGCATGTTTATATCACCCACACACTCAACGCAGAAGCTCAGATGTATATCAGTAGTGTGTGTATAAAATGATATGAACTCACATCATATGATAATTGATATCCTTAGTATTATATTACTGTTTGAGTCACTATATGCCTGAAATAAGTGTGTGTCAAGCATGTACATGGCACGCTATTGCTTGTCAAAAACTGTGACTGAAGTTCGATCAGAACGTGTCATCATGGCATCCTACCCTGATGGGGTGTTCGTGTAAAAAACTGTGTCACCTATATGAAGTGTGTCAAGAAGAGCTGAGTATTGCCTTGTAATTTGCAATACGATTCGTATCTTGATACGGACTAACAATACTACTGGTATCACGTTACACCACATCAAATAGTAAACAATTATGAAACCACTGAAATACAGCTCTAAAACATCTTTCTTCATACATTTGACTGACGATTCAAATATTGTGTGTACCTTAGTTTCGATGGTCGTTTCATTCCTAGTGTCAAGCATGCAGAACAGTGTCACCATGTATGAAGTGTGTGTCAAGCATGTAGAACATTGTATCATTAGGTATGACATGTGTCAAGCATGTAGAACATTGTGTCACCATGTATGAAGGGTGTGTCAAGCATGTAGAACATTGTGTCACCAGGTATGAAGGGTGTGTCAAGCATGTAGAACATTGTGTCACCAAGTATGAAGGGTGTGTCAAGCATGTAGAACATTGTGTCACCATGTATGAAGGGTGTGTCAAGCATGTAGAACATTGTGTCACCATGTATGAAGGGTGTGTCAAGCATGTAGAACATTGTCACCATGTATGAAGTGTGTGTCAAGCATGTAGAACATTGTGTCACCATGTATGAAGGGTGTGTCAAGCATGTAGAACATTGTGTCACCATGTATGAAGGGTGTGTCAAGCATGTAGAACATTGTGTCACCAGGTATGAAGGGTGTGTCAAGCATGTAGAACATTGTGTCACCAGGTATGAAGGGTGTGTCAAGCATGTAGAACATTGTGTCACCATGTATGAAGGGTGTGTCAAGCATGTAGAACATTGTGTCACCAGGTATGAAGGGTGTGTCAAGCATGTAGAACATTGTCACCATGTATGAAGTGTGTGTCAAGCATGTAGAACATTGTGTCACCATGTATGAAGGGTGTGTCAAGCATGTAGAACATTGTGTCACCATGTATGAAGTGTGTGACAACCATGTAGAACATTGTGTCACCATGTATGAAGGGTGTGTCAAGCATGTAGAACATTGTGTCACCAGGTATGAAGGGTGTGTCAAGCATGTAGAACATTGTGTCACCAGGTATGAAGGGTGTGTCAAGCATGTAGAACATTGTGTCACCATGTATGAAGGGTGTGTCAAGCATGTAGAACATTGTGTCACCAGGTATGAAGGGTGTGTCAAGCATGTAGAACATTGTGTCACCAGGTATGAAGGGTGTGTCAAGCATGTAGAACATTGTGTCACCAGGTATGAAGGGTGTGTCAAGCATGTAGAACATTGTGTCACCATGTATGAAGGGTGTGTCAAGCATGTAGAACATTGTGTCACCAGGTATGAAGGGTGTGTCAAGCATGTAGAACATTGTGTCACCAGGTATGAAGGGTGTGTCAAGCATGTAGAACATTGTGTTACAGTGCAGCAGAGCCCCCGCCTGGACACGGTGGAGAACCTGATGAAGCTGAGTCAGATGATCATCCAGGGTCTGGAGGAGAAGGCCAGCTCACTGCTGCAGCTGCCTCACATCACACAGGACATGCTGAGACACTTCGTGGGCAAGAAGGTGAGGTCACAGTCAATTTGAAGGTTTATTTGTGTAGAGTATGTCCTTGGTTCCCTATGCTTTCCTTTAAGTACGACCCATGACGATAGGTTTTCACCAACCCATGCTTGCCGACTATGCTTGTCGTAAAAGGCAATTAACGGGATCGGGTGGTCAGTCTTCCTGACTTGGTTGATGCAGGTCATCGATCCTAATTGTGTGAATTGATGCTCATGATATCAATCACTGGATTGTCTGGTCCAGACTTGATTATTTACAGACTGTTGTCACATAGCTGGAATATTGCTGAGTGCGGCGTAAAACAACAAACCAAACCAAATTCTTCAAGTACAATAGTAGATGACCACAGTGGCTGGGACGCTTCAACAAAGACTTAGCTGTGATCTGGCAAATTGAGGATGTTCCTTGGTAATATTCACCTTGTTATCACTACAGTCTTTGCCCTGTTTCAGAGGAACATTCGCGCCATTCGTGACTTGGTGTCCATGAAGGAGGAAGATCGGAGATCGATGCTGCGTGGTCTGAATGACAGTGAATACAATGATGTGATGAACGTTTGTGCCCACATGCCCAATGTCATCATGGAAGTCACATCTGAGGGTAAGCTTTGCTTGTCCTGAAACTCGTCAGAGGACATGTCTCATCACTATTAACAACCTAATGAAAGGGCAGGAGCAGGTGACCAAGTGATGTAAGATGTCACAATTATCTATGAAACATTGCATCTCTTAACTGTGCCAGGATCTGCTGATCATGGATTGCCCAAATTTCATTTCTTGGTCTGTTCCTTGCTGCCCTGGTCACTTTGGACTTTCTCCCTATTTCAGCTGACTCATGATTTGACAGAGTACTGCTGAAATTGTCCACAGCCGTGTTAATCCAAACCCACTCACAAATGAGTTACTGTTAACCTTCTAGCGCCTAACAGGCAGCTTGAGTTGTATACTCCCCAGGGAGCTGATAATGAAAAATTGAGTGCACACTGATCCACTGACCGGGGTAATAATAATGCAGTGCTTCATGCACACGTTGTGTATATATTGAGTTATGTGCTTTACAAGCAAGTCTTTAGGTGGGTCTTTGAAGGTCAAGGTCACTTGAAAGGTCATGGGGTTTCTGTTTTATAGAAGTGCTGCTGCATTCATGGGCTGTCCTTGTTCAGAAAAGATCCAACAGTGTGTGTTACAAAGTTAGCTCAAATAAGAGAACATTCTGTTTGCAGCTTTGCAGTAGAATAGTGTTTTTTGAAAAACTTGAAATGATGACATTAAACCTTGAAATGCAAAGAACCTTCTTAAAATTTAGGAAGCTAGATGCATTCTAGCTTTAAATTATACTGTATTGAATAATGATGTCATTCCACTGGACATGCTGGACGTGATATCTCAGAGCAGAAATGCATTAAGGGTCTTCAATGTGTCCAGCAAGTTGCATCAATCTCCGTATTTCCCCCAACAGAAGGTAATGGTAACAGACTGTTATTGCATGATGGTGGAAAGATTTCTGTGGACTTCTAGAAATGGAGTGAAGGCAGCTTCTTCTGTTTTTGGATGTACTTGCAAATACAGGCATTGGGGTAGCCTAGTGGTTAAAGCATTCGCTTGTCATGCCGAAGCCCCGGGTTTGATTCCCGACATGGGTACAATATGTGAAGCCCATTTCTGGTGTCCCCCGCTGTGATATTGCTGGAATATTGCTAAAGCGTCGTAAAACCACAATCACTCACTCACTCACTCACTCACTCACTCACTCACTCACACAAAGAAACATTAAGGGTATTTGTGAAGTGTGATTTAGATGAAATACAAAACATGCATTTTTCTTTCCTGTCCAATCTCAGTTCTTGATGATGAAGACAAATCTATCACTGCTGGATCAATTGTCACGGTAACGGTGAGACTGACACGCGAGGATCTGGGCTCGAAGTTAAATCGTGAGTTGCCAGCCTCCGAAGGTGTTGAAGATGTTGGAGACAACGATGGAGATGAAGAGGCTGAGGATGGTGAAGAGAAACAGGTGAGATAATACAGTCCTGTCGTAATTCCAGGTCAGAATAGATTCCCAGCTGCTCATGCTTGTCCCAAGACCGAGACAGTGATTGGGTGACCAGGCTCTGTGGTTTGGCACGGCTAGATGCTAATGCTTTCAATCTCTGATTTGCTTGGTCTAGATTTGAATTAATTACAAGCTGTGACTCTGCTGTTTCACTTCGGCTAATTTACCCGTGAAGATCCAGGGTAGAAAAGGTCTTCAGCAACCCATGCTTGTTGTAAAAGGCGACTATGCTTGTAAAACTCCATTCACACAGGGATAATGTTTGTTGTTGTTTTTTGCCATATTCAACAATGTTAAAGCTGTTTCAGCAACCCATACTTGCCGTAAAAGGCAACTATGCTTGTTGTAAGAGGTGACTAATAGGATCGGGTGGTCAGGCACACTGACTTGGTTGATGCATGTCATCGTATCCCAATTGCATATATATTGATGCTCATGATGTCTGGTCCAGACTCAATTATTTACAAACTGCCATCATATAGCTAGTATTCTTGAGTGCAGCTTAAAAAACAAAAAACAACAACTGTTGGGTGACTGGACATCATATTTCTGACAGAAGAGCCCCAATATTGTTCAGATTGTCAGGTCTAGACTTGATTATTTACAGACTGCTGTCCCAGCTGAAATATTGAGTGTGATGTTCAACAATAAACAACTAAACTTGATGAATACATTGTGCTGGGTTTTTCTAAGATGTTGCTTTGACTTCCTTGTTCCCCCAGACAAACGCCTCCCCCCAGAACAAGCCCAAGGTGTGGGAGAAGCAGAAGAAGAAAGGCAAGAAGGGAGGAGCCAAGCAGAAGAAGAAGACCAAGCAAGCCAACCAATGGAAGGCTGCAGCTCCACCAGCCAAACCAGAAGCAGCACAGACGAACGGGGTAAGGTCCTATACTTGTTGTATACCACGCAGGCTAATGGTGTAACTGTTTTTTACTTGTTTAGTAGTACACAGGCTAATGGTGTGAAAGTTGTTTTGCTTGTTTAGCACACAGGCTAATGGTGTAACAGGTTTTTTTTGCTTGTTTAGTAGCACACAGGCTAATGGTGTGAAAGTTGTTTTGCTTGTTTAGCACACAGGCTAATGGTGTAAAAGTTTTTTCTACTTGTTTAGCACACAGGCTAATGGTGTAACAGCTATTTTTCTTGTTTAGTAGCATACAGGCTAATGGTGTAAAAGTTTTTTGCTTGTTTAGCACACAGGCTAATGGTGTAACAGTCTTTTTCCTTGTTTAGTAGCACACAGGCTAATGGTGTAACAGGTTTTTTCCTTGTTTAGTAGCACACAGGCTAATGGTGTAACAGGTTTTTTCCTTGTTTAGTAGCACACAGGCTAATGGTGTAACAGGTTTTTTCCTTGTTTAGTAGCACACAGGCTAATGGTGTAACAGGTTTTTTCCTTGTTTAGTAGCACACTGGCTAATGGTGTAACAGGGTTTTTTTTCTTGTTTAGTAGCACACAAGCTGATTGGGGTAACAAACCTGTACTTGTTGTTAAGCAACAGGTAACAGTTTTCTGCTAGTTGATTAACAGTGTGGGTTATTGTTCTTATGTATATTGTTTAGCAGTGCATGCATATGAGGAAACAATACTATTCTTGTTGTTTAACAGAGCCGGGTAATGGTCTTATGCTTCTGTTTGGCAGCTCAGCCATTTCGGGTAATGTTTCTATATATCTGGTTTATCTGCACATGCGTACATCTTTACTCATAGTGGTGCCTATGCTTGTTGTCAGAAAGCTGTAGGTGTGTAAAACAGTGTGAACAACCACCTTGTGCAAGCAACTTATTTTTGCTTTTATTGAACAGAAAGCAGCTAAATCAGCAGAAGCAGCAGCAGCAGCAGACGCCGCAGATACAGCAGACGCAGCAGATGATGATGAGCATGAAGATGTGCCCGAGAAAAAGCCACGAGACTCGCATGCTGAGGACTCTGAGGAGGAGGAGAGGAATGAGTCAGAGGAGGAACAGGAGGAGACAAAGAAGCCTCCTAAAGTGGAGGAAGAGGAGAAGGATGAGGAGGAGGAAGAGGACTGGTCCAAGTTCCAAGAAGAATCGAGGAAAGAGAACTCTCTAGAAACCAAGAGCAAGGAGAGCCATATTGTCCACTGCCCGTATTTCCCTACAGTACGTTGTATAATATGCTTGAACACCCTTGTAATAGTAGTCAGAAAATGATTCTTTGAAGTATTGATTTTTGCTATGGGAAGGGATCAGGGTTTGAAACATAGGCTCTGCCAGCTGTGGACATGTCCAGTGAACCTAAAACATGTCAGTTTGTAAAATTATGTTTTCCTCTTCAAATATGAATCAAATAGGATAAGAATGAGAAATTGTTGGTTCTCAGGCAGGATATGTGAATAAGAGATGAGGGGATTTTTTAGGCACGGCGACTTGACTTGTTACTCATGATATCAATCACTGAACTGTCTTGTCCTGAGGTCGCCGTCATATAGCTGGAATATTGATTTAAAATATGAACACCCCCATATTCTGAAACTGTTGCTGCCCAAGGTATTATGTAGGTTGCGGAATAACGGACCTGAGTGTGAAGTTAATACTGAATAGGAATACTGAACAGGGAGATAACTCCTTCTTGTTGTTTGGAATTCTGAACAGGGAGATAACTCCTTGATGTTGTTGGGAATTCTGAACAGGGAGATAACTCCTTGATGTTGTTGGGAATTCTGAACAGTGAGATAACTCCTTGACAGTGTTGGTGGGGGATACTGAATAGGGAGATAACTCCTTGATGTTGTTGGGAATTCTGAACAGGGAGATAACTCCTTGATGTTGTTGGGAATTCTGAACAGGGAGATAGCTCCTTGATGTTGTTGGGAATTCTGAACAGGGAGATAACTCCTTGATGTTGTTGGGAATTCTGAACAGGGAGATAACTCCTTGATGTTGTTGGGAATTCTGAACAGGGAGATAACTCCTTGATGTTGTTGGGAATTCTGAACAGGGAGATAGCTCCTTGATGTTGTTGGGAATTCTGAACAGGGAGATAACTCCTTGATGTTGTTGGGAATTCTGAACAGGGAGATAGCTCCTTGATGTTGTTTGGAATTCTGAACAGGGAGATAACTCCTTGATGTTGTTGGGAATTCTGAACAGGGAGATAACTCCTTGATGTTGTTAGGAATTCTGAACAGGGAGATAACTCCTTGATGTTGTTGGGAATTCTGAACAGGGAGATAACTCCTTGATGTTGTTGGGAATTCTGAACAGGGAGATAACTGCTTGATGTTGTTGGGAATTCGGAACAGGGAGATAACTCCTTGATGTTGTTGTTGCAGGACAAGCAGGAATGGTGGTGGTTGTATGTGGCGGACAGGAAGCATCACCATCTCATCACCGCCCCCGTACAGATTTGCAGCCTGAAGAAGGAGGAGGAAGTCCAGCTCAAGTTCTCGGCCCCACGCAAACCTGGCTCGTATCAGTACTCCGTCATCCTGCGCTCAGACTCATACCTGCTCGACTTTGACAAAATATCCAACATCAAGGTATGCGATCACTTTTAGAAAATGTATTTCCTTGTGTAATGTTATTGAAATCACATACACTCTTAAGAGCAGCATTTAACCCTGCATCAAGAACTCTTTCAGAGAAGAATAACTTCTCTGTGTCAGATGTCTGAAAAAACAAAGAAAGAGGATCATTTGGTGAGACTCAGTGACTGATATGATTGTGTGTCATTACACCCCTGATGGCATAGATGGTTGTTCATGCTTTCAGTCACTGGTTTGTCTGGTCCATGTGTCCCATAAAGCAATCTTTGTGGTAGGATGATCGTAACTCCCATCCTTTAACATAGATTTATGATAGTCATAGCACAAAGATCACTTTGCAGAAAGGGCCCAGATTTGATTATTTTACTGAGTGCATCATTAAATACAATAAACCTTCAAAATACAAGATGTTGCAGCCTAGTGGTTAAAGCACTTGCTCGTCATGCCGAAGTCCCGGGTTCGATTCCCCACATGGGTATAATGTGTGAAGCCCATTTCTGGTGTCCCCCGCCATGATATTGCTGGAATATTGCTAAAAGCGGCGTAAAACAATACTCTCGCTCACTCATTCACAATACAAGACTAAGACCTAAGACAAGAATAAGACTGACCACTCCTGTTGCAGCTGGACGTGAAGGAGGCGAAGGTCGTGTCCGACCATCCGCAGTGGGACATCTCGGACGACGAGGCGGAGAAGGAGGATGGCGCGGGAGAAGATACAGAGGAAGATAGCGACTACTCTTCCGAGGAGGATGACGACGATTAGGAGGGATGGGGAGGATGACAGGTGGGAGGTTGTACAGAATGTTATTGATATATTATCCAAGAGGGATGTGTTTAGGCAGGGAGTAGGGGAGGAATGCAGAAGAGGGTAAGGCATATATGTATTTCATTAGATTCGGATGAGAATGGGTGAATATGGGGGTAGGATAATAATTAAGTGGGAGGGATAAGTAATTATGGGAGGGAGTAGGTTGACGTGGGTGGGGAGGGGGTAGGTTGACGTGGGTGGAGGGGGGGGGGAAGGAGTACCGGGCTATTCCAATGTTACAGAGTGTGAGTGTACAAGCTTGTTATCTTATGTGGTATGTTCGGGGAGAGATTAGTGCAGCATTGTTGTTCAAATGAGGTCCATGATTGGGTTCTTGTTATATTCGAGCTTGGTGGCGACTGTCCCCCGGGTGATGTGTGGGCAAGCACTGAGGACAGATGTGTATATGGATGGTGTGTATGGATGTCAGAGTGATGACAGCAATAGTTGCTCCAGTCCTGACAGAGCTAATCCCTGATGGAACAACCCACAAAGTACATATTATCAAACCAGGAGGGTGTCAAGGTAAAACATTGCATCAGATATTGTCCTTCACAGAACATTAAGGGATCCGTTATTTAGTGTAAGGGTCGGCCATCTGGATTGAACGTTAAGGGATGAGTCAATTATTGCAGTGGTCGGCCATCTTGAGTGAACATTAAGGGATCAGTTATTTAGTGAAAGGGTCGGCCATCTGGATGGAAGCAGTGGAGGAGGACAGAATTAGGGTACTTAAACAATGACATTTTATTTTAGATATGAACCGTCTGAAATGTGTTTCTCATATTGAAATCACTTTGGTTATGTTACATTATAGGCAGCTCAAAAGTAATAAACAAGCACTTTGGGTCAGGTTGTTTTACTGCTTAAGCATACAAATTAAGCATCCCCTTACTGGTATTCTCCCTGTGATAAGTGACCAGTCCCTATGTTCTTGAGGATCAGGTCTCGTAGCCTACATGTGTACCAGTGTCAGGGTAAGAAGGGAACCTGCAAGTGCTTGTGATGTCCGCTTGATTATAGCTGCTGATTGAGAATGAATGATATTTATAATATATAAGATCGAACGATCTGTCGAGTTTGAATAAGATGGTGAATGTTATATAGATGTTTTGTTCACATTGTTTTGTAATAATATGTGACCATGTTTTGAAGCTGTGTTTTCGATCAGTTTTGTAGATTTACTGCTTAACATTTTACTGCATAAACTTTTCACATCTTCGGGCATTGTTTTTTAATTCATTTATCGTTTGTATCACTTTGTTCATTGGACAATGCAACCAAATCGTGATGTGTAACAGTGATGCCCCGGCATATGAAGACAAGGTCCCTCCATAATGTCTGGACCTCTTAACCCAGGCACGGTTCCTGGGACTGTTGAATGTTACACTGTTCCACACAGTTGCTAGATTGAGCTGGCACAGAGCCTTGACCTATGTCAATAGATCCAAGATGGAGGAAACACCAGATTATATGGAATATGACCCTGTTTTAGGTGTATCAGTAAAAGGGCCAAACAGATTACTGCGGCTAAAACTGCCAATTCTCTTCTCTTATCAAATGTCAATTTAGATTTACCGTATTCGACCTTATTTGCGCCCAGGGCGCTCTCAAAATTAGAAATAGGGGGCTCTTATTAGAAAAAAGTTTTGGTGAAAAAAACAAACAGCCTGAATGATACAAGAGAAGAGTCTGTGCGTATTATACACGACCGATATATTTTTCCAGAACTTAATTCCCCATAATTAAGGGTGCATGTAACACACGAGTGGGTATTATGCACAAATAAATAATGTTGTGTACATTAATCAATCAGAAGGGGTACTAATTGGGATGGTTCACTAGCCATGCAAGATATTAGCAAATATCGCCGTGGGCGCTTAGTAGAGCGGGGCGCTTATTACGTTGAATACGGTAGTTGTACTTTTTAGTCAACCCAAACAGGTTACTGCCAATTCTCTTCTCCCATCAAATGTCAATTTAGATTTAGTTGTACTTTTTAGTCAACTTCTTAAAGAAGATAAGAATTTCAACTTTTATTCTTTCAGTGCAATGTTTCGGTACCAATACAGGTACCTTCATCAAGCAAGAGCTTGCTTGAGATATAAAATGGCTGTTCTTTATATTTATGCATTATATTCATTACTGTGCCTCTGCAATTTAAATCACACAAGGTCTTATCTCATGATTGAACATGTATACTACTGAAAAGAACTAAGAAGTTAAAGGTCGCCCGATTCTTTCATATTACTACAGTTGTGGCATGATAGATTAACTATAGTAATAGGAAAGAATCAGATGTTCATTAACTTCTTTTTCGAGTGGTATGTGTTTTCGGCTGATGTCATAATGGTATAGCAGAACATATATCTTCAAACATCAAAATTTCTCATCATAGACTACCATTCATAGTTGGTGAGGGGCGGTCGGGTAGCCTAGTGGTTAACGCGTTCGCTCGTCACGCCGAAGACCCGGGTTCGATTCCCGACATGGGCACAATGTGTGAAGCCCATTTCTGGTGTCCCCCGCCGTGATATTGCTGGAATATTGCTAAAAGCGGCGTAAAACCATACTCACTCACTCATAGTTGGTGACAGGGAAACTTCCTATGAATAATCAAAACAACCGTCCCAGGAATCGCTGACAGTTTTTATTCTTATTACTTAAACTCCATAGGTTCTTCCCCATTTCCTGTTTAGCTCTCGATGTTGCAGTTGTGTTGTGTATGAAGCCGAGACATTGTCTTCATGTGATAATGGTAATCTCAATGCTATTATGTATAATAAAATTTGAATTAGCAGACATACACTGTCGTTTTGAATGGCAGGAATAAAACGTGCTGGAAATGCCAGAGTGGAGCCCTCCTTGAAGACAATGTTAAACATTTGTTTCTATATACAGGGGTGAGAATCTTCCGTGGATCCGCGAATTTTAGTGACCAAGTTCATTAAAATCTTATGGTTTCCCCCATAACACCCCCAAATTATGGACCACGCTCCATTGTAAGTATCAGCTGAAAAGGAAAACAGCCATTCTCATCCCTGTATATATAGTAATGGACTATTTTGTATTTAGAATTAATCTTTTTCAGGATATATTTCCTAATTCCACTCTGACAGCTATGCTAGTCAAGTGCTCAAGGAGTTATTAAAGCCTGGTCGCTGTTCTTGGCCATAGGTTTCTATATGTTCTCCAAGTTGTGACATTAGGATAAGGTGCTTTAATAATATGTTCGGATGATGACATGTGGAAGACCCATCATTAACTACATACAACTAGTCAGACAGGACCAACTTCATTTTCATGTTGTATGCCTTCTGTTCAGTTTGCAAACAAAGATTGTGAGAAATATAAGTACATCGGCATGGGAAAGTTGTATACCGGTACTACTAAAAAAAAGTTAGGGACCCCCTGATTCTTTCATATTACTCAGTAATGGCATGGCATGACAGATTAACTATAGTAATAGGAGGGAATCATTGGTCCTAAACTTTTTTTAAGTAGTATATATTTGAAAATTTGAAATAATATTGGTCTCACCTTGAACCTAATTAATAATCTTACACTGCCTGTACGTCTTTGTCGTGCTCTAGTAAATTGTTGCTGTTTGCACCACAAAGTCCTGTGCAGTCACAGCTGAAAGAAAGCTTCTTATTTGATTTTCCAAACTGATTGGCTATTGTTGGTTTAACACTGGTAATACTGAATATCAATGCGACAGAATGTGTACATAGTAATATCCTGGATAAGACTGTTATGATGTTGGAACAATTTGGTGTTTGAGGGGTTTTCAGTCAATATATTTATGTGACAATATAATTCGCATTCTTGTTGAAGGTTATCATGTTTGTAAATAGCTTATTAATCTGATTTTGTAAATAAAATCTGAAATACACAATGTACTTCATGTCATACCTAGAACAGAGCTGTGAAGAATATCTCACAATGTGTTGATGTTAGAAGGGTTTTTAATATGAAATGCTCTTTGACTGTTCATAGTTCTACAGTTTACAGTAAGGCCACACTTGACACCAGCTATTTCTGGTATCGGTAGAATGGATAATTTCATGACAAGTGCTGAACAAAGTAAAGGAAGGCTAAAAAAAATAAGTCTTGGTTCTCAGGCACTGCCCGCATCATTATAAAGTCTGCCTCATGTTTCGTTTTTATTTTCATTTTCAATTATTTTTTTAATTCTCATACTTAAAAACGATGCGATCCAATATACCACATAGTAACTTCCCTTTACGTGCCCACTGCTTAACTACGCATCTCATGTTATGGTAATGCGGCAATAGGAGTTTGTATGCTTGTTTATGTAGGGAGGCCCTTTCCCAGAAAAAAAAGAAATATCACCACCTGCCTGCATTATATTTTCAAAAGTCATTGCCTGAGAACCAATTCTTTTATTTTTTAAGCATTATGGTCATGAAATTAACCATGACGAACACGAGCTGTCAAGATGAAAACACTAGGATGTGCAATCCTCAAGTCGTCAATCTGCTTTCTTACACTTTCCTGTGGCAGATCTAGCAGTGTGAAGTGTTTCTTTACAGAAAAATAAAATAAACTATTTTCATTGTCAGTCTACCTCTGTCATTTTTTTGACGCGAGTAGTGGAGAGAACAGGTAAAGTGTGATGGTGATGCCATGCTGTGAGAACTTCATGGTGTGTAGCAGGTTCAGGGTTACCCTGTTTCAGAACGATATTGTAATGTTGCCCATTGGCTGAGGACACTTTGCATGGTACAACATTTGTGCAGGCAGATGGGGCAGTCTGGTAGCCTAGTGGTTAAAGCATTCGCTCGTCACCCGAAGACCCGGGTTCGATTCCCGACATGGGTACAATGTGTGAAGCCCATTTCTGGTGTCCCCCGCCATGATATTGCTGGAATATTGCTAAAAGCGGGGTAAAACCATACTCACTCACTCTACAGGCAGGAATATTTATAGCCTGTGCAGATGAAACAACTGCAAGTTTCCTGAAGGGATATATCTAAGCGAGTGTACAATAAATTTATATTTCTTAAAATAATTGAAGTTTAACCATATTTTCATTCACAAAAGTAACTTTAGAAATGGGTAAGAATACAATGCCTGAGTGAACTTCCCCATCTATTAATTACATAGTGCCAAATGATTTATACTACGTTTGTTTA